TTTATACGGTTTTCAACAATAGAAAGAGTAATTCTTGAGGAAGGTTTAGGTATATAATTTATTATGCTTTTATGTAAATTAGCTGAAATACGGCGACAAATGTTGAAGAGGTCGCAAAAAATCTCGCCAAATGGGAACTTTCCACGCGAACGCCGCGTAAACTAGCAAAGATACAGTTAAGTAATGTACTAGAGAATTCAAAATCTATAAAAATGCTACAAAAAAGTCCGCGATAGCATATCTCTATCTCTTACGATTGACTTACAATAACCACTTTTATGTTAACATTTTTAATTAAAAACATTACGTTATTTTCAAAGTTATTTTCTTTAGTTCGGTATTAATCCTTATCCAAATGAATATTTTAGTTAGCTTAGTCATTTAATGCAGATTAAAATTGCTCTTTACACTAAATCAATCAGATGAATAGTTTTTGAGATATCGTTGTTAGAAGTAATTAGTAGCGAAACATTTTTAATGCTTGGCGAGCATTGAGATGCCTACGGCGAGTCCATCCCCTCTGCCCCGCATCGCTCGACCGCCTGCTCAAGCTATATAAACCGGGCGATGTAGCGCGCGATCCTAGGATACTTTTTACCGCGGGAAAATATCTTATTTCTGAGGAAAAATACAAAAACTGCAATGTAAGAGTATACTAATATGTAACACCTAAGAATTTAGTTTTTGGTCATCTGAACGCGGGCGGAGCCGCGGGCAATGCTAGTAATTACTAAATCTAAATTCTTAGACCAACTGTTGAAACTTAAAATTAACCATAAAGTATTTTATAAGTATTCTTAAATAAAATAATGAAAGAAAAAGTTTATTATTTGATTATAAAACCCACAAATTATTTATTTTTCTGAAACATACGGTTTCTTAAACTTCGAGTGTATAATAATTCCCGGCAACAATTACAGTATTTATTTTAATACCAAAACAAACACTATGATGTCAAGTCTAGACCAGACTAGTGTAACTATTTATACCATAAATAATGATCTTCATGATATAATAAATAAATAGTAATGACAGCATAATATCTTACGATAATCTATTTATAAAGATTTTAAATATATTATTCTATAATATAAAAATGAATCGCTGAATGTTTTGCTAAGCGCAAATCTCGAGAGCAGCTCAACCGATTTCGCTTATTCTTTTTTTTAAATATTTCTTGAAGTACGAGGATGGTTCTTACGTAGAGAAAAATTTAAAAAATTTAATGAAAAAGTCTAAAAACAACACTTTTCTATACCCTCTTACAAAAGATTCGTAATAATACTTAAAAGTCAATTTGAGCTTTAGTACCATACCATAAAGTTTAAGTGTTAGTGGAGAGGATCCGGGAAGGCAAAACAATTGAGTGACGTTAGTATCGTATAATATATTAATGTCAATATTGGTCAATATTATTAACAAAAAAAAAACTGGCTAACGCTGGCTAATAACTATTTATATCTATTCAAAACGTACTTAGCGACGAACCCGAGCGAAGCGAGGGTTAGCCGCTAGTATATTATACAATAAAGAATTTTAAGTTAGGATTCTAAGGAGATAAAAGACCCTATATACGTACCTACTCTCTAGCTCATAAACTATGCAGAAATTAATGTCGATTCTTTGCTTTGTTACATTAAAGAAACACAATTCGACAAACTTTCGCATTTATTACATAATTAGAGATTTCGTCTAATGTTTTGTAGAGCACCGCATGACTACCGTGATCTATTTAATATTCAGAGACTAAACCTTATTGCGTAGATAAACGAGTATTATGCAGATAAGTACTTTTACTGTCTCGTGTCTACTATTTTCGATTGACGAAAGTTTGTTTAATAGGATATATCTCCTACCAGTGCAAAGTTACATAATACTTTGATAAGTATTTTATTTCACACACTCTCTTATTGCGGGTTTTTTTATGATGGTGGCAAAATATTAAGGCATGAGTTTTATTAGCACTGTAGCTGCTGCTGGAGCTTGGATTTCTTTCACATATTATGACCATAGAGTCACGGTAATTATGCATTACATTACCGTGATATAGTTCTATGTAATTTGACGACATATTTCGCTCAGTTTGTAGTGCTGTGCCAGCGGTCGCGGGTTTGAGACCCGCTGGAGGCATTCATTTGTATGATGACGAATGCTTGGTATACAAGCGTAATTCGTCATGGGTGTTTATATATATGTATTTAAAGTATATATCGGTGTCCATAACACAACTCACAAGCCACACAGCTTACCATGGAGCTAGATGGTGCTGTGTGTTAATATGCCAACATATTTATTTATTTATAACTGGAAATTTTTATGTTATTTTAGTAGTACAAGTAGCAAGAAAAAAATAAAGAAAAAAGAACGATAAATAAATGTATTTTAAAAGTAGAAGATGGCTATACACAAGTATAAAGTAAATAGAAAATAAAGAATTCATTTGAGTAGGTACCTTTTTTGGATAAAAGGTGATATTTTTAATTTTATTTTTTGACTAGCTATGCCCGCGGCCGGCGGCTCCGCCCGCGTTCAGATGACCAAAAACCAAATTCTTAGGTTTTACATATTAATATACTCTTACATTATAGTTTTTGTATTTTTTCTCAGAAATGAGATATTTTACCGCGGTAAAAAGTATCCTATATGTTAACTCGGATAGCCAGCTATCATCATAACAAATTTCTTCAAAATCCTTCCAGTAGTTTTCTTGTGATGCGGTAACAGACAGACAGACAGACAAAAATTCTAAAAACTATAGATTCGGCCTCTGTATCGATAATAATGTTTATTTCAATAAGATTTTCCAAAAAATATTTAATGTACAGATTCTTCACGGCTTTATTTCACGGCTTAGTTACAATTTAAGAATTATCTAGTTTAAACAAATATACAAAAATGTAAATTTAACCTTAAATGCAATGTAGTTTATACAAAGCTATGTATAAAAATTAATTTTTACAACAAATTTTTTTTACGACCGAGGCTCGGCGCACCGTTACTACGTTAGGACAAAGACTGAGTTTAGTTAAATGGGGAAGAGTTTTGCGTTTTTCCTCCGCCATGTCGCGATCATTATGATCCTCAGATGTTGTAAAGCTCTACAGTGTCAAAGGATATTTTTTTCATTTTATTTAAAACTCAATTAAAATGACAAACTGTGCAGTACCAGGATGCAAAGAAAATGGATATTATTTGTTTCTAAAAGACAAAAACTGAAGAAATTGTGGGCTGTAGCCATAAGACGACCAAAATTCGCGAAATTACAATCTTCATATTTAAGGCTATGTGGACATCATTTTATAGAAAATAATTTTACAACTCTTAAGTCGCCTACAGGTGAATATATATATATTTTTATTTCTTGTACTTTTTTACATACTAATTACAGTGTTTCATAAATGAATGAATGAAATAAAATGCTAAAACACATATTTATTGAACTGTATTGAAGGTCATTAATACCAATTTCAAGTAATTTTGATCATAAATAATTCTTTGCCATATCTCTATAAATTTTATTACCCTTTTTTTAACCCTCTAAGGGATGAATTTCGGAAAAAAAAACAAATATATTTCTTATTTTTTTTCTTAAAGCTAAACACCACTTTATGTGTATTTCACATTAAGAATGACAGTTTCATACAATCTTTAATTCCCTATTTTACCCACTGAGGGAATGAATATCGAAGAGTCCTTTCTCATCGGATATCTACATCATATAAGTCATACGTCCTCTAAATTTCCGTTTCTACGACCAGTGGTTTATGCTATGTGCTGATTCATTAATTAGTCATGAATACCACAGGATGCATCTCTCCTTTTCAATTCTTCCTTCAGCTGGTCTAACTTCCAGGTGCAATACATTGCACACAGACAGGTAAGAAGATGCGAACATAATAGCAGCAAAAAAACAGGTATAAAAGAGATATCATAATAAATTGTATGTATTCAGCCCTTCTTAACGTCCCAGTGCTGGGCACGGGCCTCCCTTCTATATGAGGGGGATCAGGCCATAGTCCACCACGCTGGCCAAGTGCGGGTTGGCGGACTTCACATGTCTTTCGAAAACTTGCTAGGTTCTCTCAGACATGCAGGTTTCCTCACGATGTTTTCCTTCACCGTAAGGCGGTAATCATGTTGAAAATGATTCGCACATGAAAATATCAGAAGTGCGAGACCCGGGATTTGAACCCGCTTCACTCGGTTATCCAAGCGAGCGCGTCACCACTGGGCTACCACTGCCTATTCATAATAAATTGCTGCATGTAAATAGGGCATACGTGTGGCGCCCTCCTTTTGAGAAATTTTCCTCATTGTGTATCTAGAGTTTTTGTATATCAATGATCTAGACTCATTTTTAACCAGTCAGAACTCGGAAAACGGTTTTCATCGAATTTAGGTTCCATTGAAATGAATTTTTATGCGTTTACATTTGGCAAATCTTTGCTAAGGGTTAGCCATTTACTAAGTGATTAATCACTATATTAGAAAGATACATAATATACGTTTCTTACTTATGAATGAATTAACCTGTTTATTTCGGTATCAAAACTTTAGTTTCAGCTTTTTTTGAGAATAACCGTTAACCATTATTATTTAAATTTACCAAATCGTTCATTTTCAACGAGCGATGAATTAACCATTACATTGGCGACATTAACCGTTTTGCTAAACCGGTTCCGAGCACTGCACTTATGTATTATCTATTATTTATCTGTATTGCATATAATAACTTTTTTACTTCTATAGTCTGTGAAGCCATGTACCAATCAGAAGGATGCGTTGATTATTTTGTTTGTAACGTATTGAATTTTGAAAACTTCAAAGTTCAAACGTTCAACTCAATTTTCAAGGCTTGACTATAGTTCTCTGAATATCTTTAGTACTTTTGACTGTTTTATTTTTTGATACTGCGAGAAAATCTTTAAAATTAAATATTCGTAGGTTTATGAGTGCATATATGTGAATATTATAAGTTATAGTTTAAATAGTTGCTAGAAATGATTACTTTAACGGAAGACGTCAACCAACTGTTGTAAGTACTTATTATATATTTATTAAACTTTATTTTTATTTTAAATTTATTGAAAATTAATATTTCGAAACTATTGTATGTTATTTATGAATTTTATTATGTATTATTTCATATTGTGTTCCATCCATAAGAAAAAGGCGGAGTCCTAGAAAAAGTCGTTATCCATTTTTTTTAAATAGGCCCCTCTGTTTATAAGTTTTTGTTAATCCATAAGTATACTTTTAGTATTTAATTTTTAGCAGTTTTATAGAACCTTTTATTGTTATAAATTTTTAGTAATAAGGTGCTTCATGAAATCTCTCAAAATGTCCGGCATATGATGGAAGAACTCTGGTTAAATTGGTCCCATCTAGGGGTTGATGATAAGACCAAATTCGACAATATAAACACATTAGTGCAGATTGAAAAAGAACTTCATCGAGATGTAATATCAGAGACCAGGCAAAAATTAAAAACTATGCAGGGTCAAGTTGACAGTAAGTTTTATAAGATTTTGTTTCAGATTAATATTTATTGTATTAATTTACCTAAAGAAATTCAACTTTAATATCATGCTTCAAAAGTACATAATATAATATTTATATCACAATATTACAGAATTAAAGGAAGAAACTGAAGAATTAAGCAGATGTTTGTCAGTTGATATAACAATACTGGATTTCAAGGAGGATATGATGTTGGTTGATTACAAGCGAGAGTTGGAAGAGCAGATTGCTGGGTAACCATCTTTTTTTTATTTAACATTAAATTCAATAATCCCTTCACGATCGCGGACACGCCGGCGTGTCAGTTAACAATAGATTTCTTAGAATTTTAATTAATTGCTTAGAAATTTAGAAATTTACCTGGAGGTAATAGCCAAATTTCCTAAACTTTAATCAAATAATCTTAATAATAGATAAAGATATATTATAATGCAAATAATGTTTAAATACGAGCATGGTTTATTGACAACAATGGTGATTGATATAGATCTTAAAATTTAAAATATTACTATATTGTTTTCAATATTAAGATATCGAGAACAAATGGAACAACGTCGCATGAAGATGAACAGATTATTAGAATGGCAAAGAGATCTTACTGATAAACTTGGTGTAACATTCCATGAATTGCAAGAGATTCCATTACCATCAGAAAATGAACTGGACAAGCTAAAAGAACATCTAGAAGTACTTCAAACTGAGAGGGACAAAAGAGTTGAGTTATTTTTGAACACCCAAGTTGAAATTAAGGACATTATGGGTAAGCAAATCTGAAGAATATTATATACTTTAAATTAGTTCTAACTAAAATGTTAAAAGTTATATATTTTTCTTTAAATATTAATAAATATTCTTATAAAAAGGTCATTGTAATTTTAAATTGATTAAATTAATTATGTAATTGAATCTAGGTAAAGTGTTTATTTGTCATTATTTGTGATAAAAAGGCAATTTCTTATTTTTTAACAGTAAGCATTGCCACTTTTTTTTTAATTTGTTAATTTAATAAAGTTAATGGTGTATATATTTTATAGTTTTTTAGTTGTGATGATATCAAACTGAAGTATCTTAGGAGAAGTAATTATTTACTTCATAACTTTTCTTAATTTTAGATAAACTTCAAATCAAGCCGCAAAACAAGTTTGAACATATGGCTGTTACTTCTTTGTCTGTAGACTTTAAAGTAACTGATTTAAACATGGATAGGTTAGCCAAGTTGCGGCAAGATTTACAAGAGAGATATGAGCAGATTAATAATAGGGTATGTATTTTTGAACCATTTTACATGTATAAGTATGTTTTAATTTTATTTATGATATTACTAAAGGTTTCATTCTTTCTTGTACATACTATCTCTGTTTGGGGTTAAATAAATATATGATAAATGAAATTAAAAATGTGTGTATTCAGCCCTTTTTTTTGGACCCACTACTGGCCATGGGCCTCCCTTCAATATGAGGGTGATCAGGTCATAGTCCCTCGTGCTGGCCCAGTGCAGGTGGGCGGACTGCAGATGTCTTTTGAAAACTTGCTAGGTTGTCTCAAACATCCAGGTTTCCTCACGATGTTTTCGTTCATCGTAAGATGAGTGGTAATCACGGAAATAATTCGCACATGAAAATATCAGAGGTGCGAGACCCAGTTTTGAATCCGCTTCAATCGGTTTCCCAAGCGAGCGCATTACCACTGGGCTACCACTGCCTCTAATATAATTCTTCTATGTAAATCTTTTGTTTCTTATTTTTATTTACCTGCATTAAATAACTTGTTTAGGTTTTGGAGTTACGTGAACGTCTGTCCAAGCTGTGGGATTGCCTTGAAGAAGATCATATTTATCGTGAAAACTTCCTACAAGCACATCCTGGCTGTCATCCAACAACTGAGGCAGCTATTAAAGAGGAAATCAAAAGATGTGATCAAATTAAAAGACAAAAGATTGCAGTAAGCATTGTGTCATCTTCCTGATTATTTACTGTCTATGAGAAACAAATGTTTCTTTACAATTACTGATAACATAATTACTTCCTATACTTGCAATATGACATGGTTTTTATAAATTTTGCACATTTTTATTGTTATTAAGACAGTTTCTTAAATCTGTTTTAATTATAATATTATCTATTGTTATTGATGTGAAAATTGAAATGTTGAGCTTGTTCATTTAAAAACACATTTATGTATTTTAATAATTATGTATATTTTGAAGAGTTACGTGTTAACGTTTAGTATATATTTCTCAGAAATGAGATATTTTCTCACAGTAAAAAGTATAAGTAGTAAAGTATCCTATATGTTGACCCAGATAACTAGCTATCACCAAATTTCACCAAAATCTGTCCAGCCGTTTCCTCATGATGCGGTCACAGACAGCAGACAAAAATTGTAAAAACTGCAGATTCGGCTTTTGTAGCGATAATAATGTCTATCTTAACAAGATTTTCCAAAAAAATATTTAATGTACATTCAACTTGAATTTTAGCAAACAAATATTTGGTCATGTTATAATTTTACTATAAGTATAGATATTATATGAATTTTCTCATTACAACAGGTATTTGTTGCAAATGTTCGCACTAAAATAAAGTTAATGTGGGACAGCATTATGTACTCAACTCAACAACGGGAGGAATTCATGCATTACTACCAGGATGTATTTACTGAGGACACTCTCACTCTGCATGAACTATACTTAGATAAGATTACTAAGTTCTACAACGATAATAAGTAAGTATGCATTTTATTCAGGCAATTGCATTATTTGGAATTTAGGTTTTCCCAGTAGATCTTAAGTGTTTAATTATATACATATATTTCACAACATTATACTAAATTTGCCATATTTCAAGCCATATTCAACTTCACTCCAGTGCATATCTATGTGCCTAAACGGTGGCCTATGTGTAAATCCTCAATCAGTTAAAACCTAAAACAATCCAGCCACTACTGAGATGAAGTGAAGAATTTTGTAGTGGCCTAGTACTTGCTGTGCCAGCGGTCGCAGGTTCGAGTCCCGTTGGGGGCATTCATTGGTGGTATGAGCATGAATGTTTGTACTCCAGTCATGGGTGTTTATATTTATAATATTTATGTATTTAAACTTTAAAGTTATATATGTATGTAGTGTATCAACTATCTGGTATCCATACCACAAGTCTCGTAGCTTACCATGGAACTAGATAGTGCTGTGTGTTAATATCCTAACATATTTATTTATTAATAAACTCCATTCACAGGCACATCTTCGAGTTAGTAGTAACGCGTAAGAACCTGTGGCTCAAGATGATGGAGCTCGAGGCGCGTGCGACGGAACCCGGCCGCTACAACAACCGCGGCGGTCAGTTGCTGCGGGAAGAGAAGGAAAGGAAGTCGATTGCTAGCAATGTTAGTATTTTTTTGTCTACTCTCAGACTAAATTTGGGAGTACATGAGCTTGCAAGATTTCTAATGTATTAACATATTCTTGAACATTTGTATCCACAGTTACCCAAAATTGAGGCGCAAATTCGTGATCTTGTAAACGAATATGAAGCTAAAACAGGCTCTACCTTTACCGTGGATGGGAAACCTCTTCTGCAGCTGATGCAGGATGAGTGGGAGACTAGGAAAACTGTAAGTTTTGATAGAAACACTTTTCTTATTAGTTTAAATAATATTTTATTATAATTATTTTTTATGTACTAGTATATATACTATTAAAACTTTAACACTCCCAGGTAAATTTCGAAGAATTTAATTAAATTTCTAAGGAACCTATTGTTAACCTATTATAACGCCGGTGTGTCCGCGATCGTTGAGGGATTAAAATAGTATATTTTTTACATACTATAGTAATAATGTTATTTTAAACACTAAGAAATAATTCACTTTCTTTTTTCATTTTTATTTGTAGATTTAGTCATTTATATTTAATTCAGTATAAATATTGTTATGAAGAAATGGAAAAAAAGTTTGAATTGCTCACCACTACATAAATGGTATTATAAAACGAGACATTTAAATTCATACTAAGATTTCAAAAAAGTTTCATTTTCACTTGATATATTATACAGTAAGGCTAGGTCATATGATAGTCTAATAAATAGATATTATTAATGCAGTGTGTGCAAAAACTCTCCTATTAATTTTATGTATTTAAATTTAATTACTAATTTAAGCTACTCATATTCATACTAAGTATTATGAAAGATTAATATTTATGAGTATGTGTGCTGGTTACATTTTTACGTTTTGACTAAATTTTGAGTAAGAATCTACGTAAAGATAAAGTTATCTCGGGACAAGAGTGAAGAGATAAGTATCTCACATTCATTGCGGAAACTCTTTGTGGGATCTCTGTCGGCTATCAGTGAACAGAGCATTATGAGATGATTCACTAAAACCACAGTCGAACCTGATGTCGATACAGTGAGATTTAGTTGTATATAGCTTCTATACTACAACGCCACCTCTCATAGACGCGAAACACTGACCGCTTCGTCTAAAATAGGATGTGAAATGGATAATTCATATATTGCATTAAAAGATAGGCCATTTTCAATTGATGTATCTACCACTAGTCCAACTGATATTGTAAAAGTTTGCGAGGATGTATGGATTTTTTTGTATGAATTTGTTACTCATTCACGCAAAATCTACAAAACGGATTTCGATGAAACTTTACATTAATATAGCTTATACATTTCAGTAACACATCCGTATTATATAATATTATAAATGTGAAAGTTTGTAAGTATGTATGGATGTTTGTTACTCTTTAACCAGAGCCAGAGCGGCTAAACGGATCTGGATGAAATTTGGCACAGAGATAGATTATAGTCTGGAATAACACAAGGCTAATTTTAACCCTGAAAAATGTACGGTTCCCGTAGGATAGGTTTGTTTTAGTTAGGCTATAATTTATAAAGACAATAACACAGAATTGTACTACGTAAAACTTTAGTAACATATAATAATATGTATGTGCAGGAACGCCATAATAAGCTGTCGGCGCGCAAGCAGGCGCTCACACCCACCACGCCGCTGTTCCGCTCGCTGGCCACGTCGCCGCTGGGCAAGCGCAACCGAACCGCCGCCGGCCTCGCCGCCACCGCCGACAGGAACAGGTATGTTGATATAAACATACATATGAATATTATATATATTCCGCCCCTTTTGAAGTCCCACTGCTGGGCAATACGACGGAGATCAGCCCATAGTCCACGACACTGGCCAAGTGTGGGCTGGCGGTCTGGGAATGTCTTTCAAAAACTTGCTAGGTTCTCTTTCAAACGTACAGGGTTCTTCACGATGTTTTCCTTCACCGTAACGCAAGTGGTAAGACCTTGTTCTATTAAAATTATAGAAAACAATTTAAAAATTTATTATATATATTGATAATATTAATAATTAATAAAAAAAAATCTAAATAAATAACTTCATCAAATATACATTCATACATATACTAAATTATACACTTGATCAATCATTATGACTACTTCTTAATACTTTACTGACTCAATGGTATTTTTTATTTATATTGTTAATACATTTTTAAACTATTACAGACAAAATATAGAGTTAGTTTAGTCAAAATATACTTTCTTTTGTTAGTATGTCTAAACTCTTCAGCCCTATACTCTATACTAGTAATGAACTACAAAATCTTCCAATATAAGTGAACTTCTTATGCAAAAATTATTTTATATTGAATCATTAGTTCCTAAGATTAATTCTAACTTACAACACTAGACTAGCTGGCATGTTTTAAAGAAGATCAGTGCGTAGTGAATATAAGTAGCTAAATGTCCCGCAGGCCGCCCACCAAGCGCCAGCTGATCACCGGCAGCGCTACCAAGGCGGTGTCCACTCTATCGTCCAACCTGTCCGCTCTCAAACGATCTGCTATATCTACTGTTAAGAGGTAAACCTTTAATATTATCATACAGTTTAACTGAAATTCTATTAAATGCAAGGATTTCAAAATTACCACTTCATTGCAAACGATTGTGAAATTAATTGCTGTGGTCCCATCTCGTTGTAAGTTACAGTTATAAATGACAACCTTAAATCTATGGAGGGTAGAAGTAAGAAGAACCGTCTTATACAGGGAATTAATTGAAAAAGTGTCCTGCTGTAGGGGTAAATAATAGTTCAAAAACCCACTAAGTGGGTAGTGTAGTGAAGTTTTTGTTGACTAAACCCTAATCTATATGTATGTAAAGTAATCCAATTTATATCCCTATCCTACTCAAATAACTTTTGGTGTTTACTTTAAAATTTACCCACTTGCTAATAGGTCGCGCCAACTTAATTAAACGCCTTTGAAAGGACACTGCATATATGGAGACGGTTGTCTCTTATCTCTCTTTACCCTCCATATCTAGAGCCATTGGTATTCGGCGCTTTTTAACGTCCCACTGCTGGGCACGGGCCTCCCTTCAATACGAGGGGGATCAGGCGATAGTCCACCACGCTGGCCAAGTGCGGGTTGGCAAACTTCACATGTCTTTCGAAAACCATTTATCGATTGTCATATATAATAGAACGTATGAAAGACGGGTGCCCGAATGTGGACCCGAATTTAGTATAGTAATTCTAGTCGTATAGAAATGTATATATATAGTATATATACATATATATGTATATAGTAGATATATATACATATAATAAAATTGTAACTAAGCCGAATCTGTACATTAAATATTTAAAAAAATAATAATAAAATAATGAAATAAACATTATTATCGATACAGAGGCCGCATCTATAGTTTTTAGAATTTTTGTCTGTCTGTCTGCTACCGCATCACAGAAAAACCATGATGAAATTTGGTATGGTGATAGCTGGTTATACGGGTCAACATATAGGATACTCTTCACCGCGGAAAAATGTCTCATTCCTGAGAAAAAATACAAAAACTGAAATGTAATGGTACACTAATATGTAAAACCTAAGAATTTGGTATTTGGTCATCTGAACGCGGGCGGAGCCGCGGGCAATGCTAGTACATATATATATTTTTAAAACAATACTTTTCATGCCCTTCTGCGCTTTCAGTGCTCGCTTGTAACCTAATGAAGTGCGAACATTACCTCACACAGGCAAGTTTGTTCATAGCAAATGTAATTACGAATATGTTACGTAAGTAGGGATTGAGAAGTATTGTGTATGCAAGTGTAACAGCAACCAATTATTTTTTGATTAATTGTAGTCTAATTTTGTTGTTGCAGTTTTTTAATCATTGTAGTAACTGATATTATGTAATGGATAGTTTGGAATTTGCTGTCGTCATATCATTATGATTTTTGAATTTATCTTTTCTTTTATTAGTTTTTGGGCTTCAATCTTATTTATAATTTTTGATATTTTTTTAAGATCCTTTCTTTGGTTAGAACTAGTTTAATTTTAATTTGCTTTTGTGTAGAAACTTATACGGTTAAATCCAATTAAACATATTATAGAACAAACGGCATTTTGAAACGTGGATTAAAATTGTACTATTGTTATTGCCTGCGTCTAGCTTCAATAAAATTTATTATTTCGGAATATAAGCTGAGCTGTTACAGTGTGAACAATTAACGAACTCTTTATCTTAAACTTTCGCATTTATAATTTTAGTCTAAGATTACTTCATCAACATATAATTTTATAGTATAAAATTTTCATATTCCATCTTACTTGTATTGGTTGAACGATTTCACAGAACCAATGAACACTATAAAACTTCCGTAATAACTTAGGTAACTTCCTATAGCTTGCTTTTACTTAAGCTAATTAATGTCGATATTGATCGAACTAGCCATTTACCCTGACTTTGCTCGGGTGTGGCTCTACTTGCTTGTGTTATTCTAGGTCATAGTCTATCTGTGTACTTAGTTTTATCTTTATCTGTTCAGCCGTTTCAATTTTATAAATATAATATTAATAATACACTAGCGACTCACCCTCGCTTCGCTCGTGTTTGTCCATTTTTTTTTTTACGCATACCACCTGATCCCCCAGGTGGTGATGTGGGACTCACCGGCTAGAAGAGCCGGTACTACCCACTAAAACCCGACATTCCCCTCCCCTCCGCCTTAATGGGACGCCGCAGGATCGCTTGCGCATAACTACTACGGCGCCCCGGCGGCAGGTCTGCCTAAGCGCTAGGCAGACCACCAAACCAATGGGGCTGCTCCACAGTCAACTCTGCTACGCCAGAGAGGTACCCGGAGCAGCCCCATTAAACCTAACCACCGCCCACCGAAGTGGGCCACCTCCAATCGGCTGCAGAGGACAGGGAGAGCGGCAACGAAACACCGACACTCCTCTTCCCCTGCAGCCCCACCGCGTCCGCCATCAAACGGTGGCGGCCCCGTCTAGGCCGCGGAAGGTAGGGAGAACGCACCGAAATACCGGCACTCCTCTCCCGCCGCGGCCTACTCCTCCGCCGGATGCGGGCCTGCGACCACAGTCCCGCAACCGGCACCCATCATCCGGTTGTGGGACCTAGCGGTCCCACCACCGGTGGCCGCAACGTCTTCGGCTCGAGTCCTAGACGAGCGGCCCCACCCAAGCCATTTGGTCCGCGCCAGATTTCTCCGGTACCACCCTAAGCGGGTGGCATTCCCCTATCCGCCACCTGGGGACGCGCCCGGTAGGAGTTGGCTTCTCCCCCGGGCTCGTGTTTGTCCCTAAGTTGCTTCCTTATACAAACTTTCATCCCCATTTTCATTCCCTAAGGGTGTATTTTCGAGATAAAAACTATCCTATGTCTTTCTCAGGGGCTCAAACGATGTTCGTACCAAATTTCATGTAAATCGGTTCAGTAGTTTCGGAGCCTGTTCGGTACAAACAAACAAAAAATAAATCTTTCCTCTTTATAATATTAGTATAGAAAAAAAACGATAAGCAATTGTAGTTTTGTCATCTCAGTGCTTATTTATCCAAACGACCAATTTGCTGAAAGAGTTTTAATATAGAATTATTGACTTATAAATGTCAATTCTGCTAGTATTAAATACACATAAAAGCGAAAAAATATATTTTATCTATGTTCTCGTATATAAATATCTCGTGTCACGGTGTGTTGTCGGACTTCTCTGAAATGATTCGACCAATTTTAATGTTTTTTTTTTGTATATTTGGTAGGTATCTACTATATGATAATATATATACTAACCTAACCCCCATTTTTTGTCGCGATTTTAGTATTTTTGTATGAACAATATTATGTAGATATAATCTATACATATAATAAAATTGTAACTAAGGCGAATCTGTAGATGCTTTTTGAAAAATCTTATTGAAATAGACATTATTATCGGTACAGAAGGCCGAATCTATAGTTTTTAGAATTTTTGTCTGTCTGTCTGTTACCGCATCACAGAAAAACCACTGGAGGGATTTTGATGAAATTTGGGATGGTGATAGCTGGTTATCTGGGTCAACATATAGGATACTTTTTACAGGGGGAAAATATCTCATTTCTGAGAAAAAATACAAAAACTGCAATGTAAGAGTATACTAATATGTAAACCTAAGAATTTGGTTTTTGGTCATCTGAACGCAGGCGGAGCCGCGGGCAATGCTAGTATAACATAAAGCTGCATAACATAAAGCCCAAGAGTTTTTTTTGTAGATTGAACGCGGGTCTGCTAATATATGTATATAAATCTCAGTAATAAAGTTTTAAAATAGAAGAAAAAAAATTACTTTAAAGTACAAAAAGTATTGGTCGTTTGAACAAATAAGCACTAAGGCGATGGTATGTCGGATTGAACCTAATACTGCGATAGAGATCGTAAGGCTTTGTAAGTTGCACTACTTAAATTAAAACTGTGCTGCTCTTAAATATGCTTCAAGTAATTGCAGTAGACAAATTGCGACATAAATATTTCGCAAGAACGAGTAGTATTACTTCTAGTTCAAGTAATATAAGAGCTAGAAAAAGTATGTTTAGGAAAGATAAATAATATTTACCCTAAAAGGCTATAAAAAAGCTCGTGAATGTGATATTTAATTAATGTAATATCACCGTTAATCAATCGAGTTATATTGATTGACTGATTAGTCTAAAAAATATCGAAAGATATGAATGAATGAAATTAAACTTTAGAGTTATATACAAAAGTGCTTGAATAAATCTAAATGAATTAAGTTTAATTTCGTTCATTCATCAGAACATACTTTGTAAGTTGAGAGTAAACTTGCTATAAATAAGATTGTTTGTATAATATATTCATTTTCTCTATATTAAATAATGTCCAAACAGATGTTTTCAATAAATATGTGTCCTTAATGAGTTTATTTCCGCCCTTATCATATTATTCCATTAATAAAATAAAAAGCGTGTGTTTGTACTTATGTACGCACGTAAGAAGTTATACTTCTTCGTTATAATAGAACAAAAATAGCTAAAGGTTTTCATCCTGTTTGCAACGTCATCATGTCGCTTTTTGGCCGTCGGTGTGCGCGCGCATCGTAAAAATTTTACTCATATTTTTTTCCAAACGTGCCAAAAGGAGTTCCAAACGTGCCGAAAGTTCAAAAATGCAGCGAGAAAATTTTAACAATGTATATTATTTAACTTTTTTAGGCGTATCAGTGGTCGTCTGGCCGCGCGGGCTGTGACCGAGATCAAGGGCGAGCACGCGAAACGTAAGCTGGACTATGGTGCTGAGGGCAAAAAGACACCCAAAGCCACTGTTAATGGCAGTATTCTCAAGCATAAGCGGACTGTGAGTATGGCTTCAAAGATTTAATCAATTTTTTATATAAGTCATTTTGTTATAATAATACAAAATAAGAATTTTTTTAAAAGGCAGTGGTAGCCCAGTGGTAACACGCTCGCTTGGGACACCGAGTGAAGCGGGTTCAAATCCCGGGTCTCGCACCTCTGATATTTCCATGTGCGAATCATTTCTAACATGATTACCGCTTGCCTTACGGTGAAGGAAAACATCGTGAGGAAACCTGCATGTCTGAGAGAACCTAGCAAGTTTTCGAAAGACATGTGAAGTCCACCAACCCGCACTTGGCCAGCGTGGTGGACTATGGCCTGATCCGCCCACGTATTGAAGGGAGGCCCGTGCCCAGCAGTGGGACGTTAAAAAGGGCTGAATACAAGAAATTTTTAAACACATTTTCAGTAAAAAAAATTTTAATAACAAATTTCAATTCTAAATAAATATTAATACTATCCATTATTTAATGAAAACGATTTTTCCTTTGTTACGCCATCACTTAAAAATTACTGTATCAGTATTGGGGCTTTGACCAATCGACGCGGGATCGATGTAGATGGTTTTAGGACATAATTTTTTTGACTTCTATACACTCTTCTATTATCTACCGGTGATTGGACTGTCAAACCTGAGGAGTCCGACTGGATGGGTGCCACCCCCTTATCTATTTCTTCCGCCAAGACACAATCATTACATTGTTGTGTTCCGGTTTGAAGGATAAGGTAGCCAGCGTAATTACAGGCAAGAGGCATATTATCCTAGTCATCACAGTGACAACGCAACTGCGGTTCTGCATTTTTGTAACATAAAACCCTAAGTGCATGAACTGTAGGTACCGCTTTCCATCAAGTGGGCTGTCTGCTCGTTTGTCACTGAATACCATAAAAAAACCCACAATTTATTCAAAATTAACCACGTAACAAACACTCACATACAAACTTCTTAAACATATCCAGACTAGAGGTTTTTTAATTAAAATTGATTAAAAAAAGGTTGAACCAAATTTTTGTATTTTAGATGAAGTTTGCTAAGATGATAGCTGGTTATCCGGGATGAACATATAGGATAATTTTTACTGTGAGAAGATATCTATCTCATTTCTGAGAATTAATTATTACAATGTGCCTAGGGATGAACCCGAACGCAGCGAGTGTTAGTCGCTAGTAGATATATAATATACCATAACTTTCTCATATACACTACAGTGTCAAAAGTAAATAGACAGGGCATTTTTAATGAAATCCTGTTTTTCATCATAAACTAAACATTTAATTAAAAAACTAATGCATGATTATTAGTATCGTGTCGATCCTCCTTTATTATAAAACAACTACACTCGTGAGCAAAAAAATCGACTCAGGACGCACGCTTGCGGTTAAAAAGCTCTAGCAAAAAATAGGATTTGGATAGGTCTCTTAGGTGGGGAGCACACATAAATGAAATATGTTCAAAAACTAAAAGGTTTTTACAACTGCTTAAGGCACTAGCCGGTCCTGGATGGGGGATACATCCACAGCATTTGCGTACAGTGTATACATCTATGCGGCCGGTCGTAAAACTTTTGCCAAAACCGATCAGCAGTATGGTAGACGTACCGCTCCGACCCCAAGTAATTTGGGAAATGGGCAGGAAGAAGAAGAAGAAGTGCTAATGTTCACTTATGCAAGCTAGATAAAATACAAAACCAAGCTATGCGTATTATTGGAGGATATATTAGGTCTACTCCTATTCATGTGATGGAGAGTGATCTCTGTTTGCCACCTCTTTATATAAGAAGGCTATATCTAGCTATGAAATTTTGCTTAAAATGCCAGTCTTTGTCTGAAAATGAAACTTTAAAATGTATATCTGATTTGAGTTTATCTTTGGGTAAAAGGTATTGGAATAATAAAAAGAAGCCTTTATTAAGCGTTACATATCTAGAAACAAAAAATGAAAATGTCAGCTCATCTAGCACTTCAGAGATGTTTAATTTAGATACATGGATGTCAAATATTAATATTAAAGATGTATGCAACTCCAAATTAAAGTGTATAAAAAGATCGAAAAATAGTTACGATATTAATATATTAAGACAAGAAATTATACAGGAAATAAATCATAATTATTTTGGGTGGTATTATCTGTATACTGATGGATCTAAAGATAAAACAAACGTTGGCTGTTCTTTGTACGATCCAAATTGTAATGTTAATAAAATGTTTAAAATAACTGCTAATACATCAATAATGACTGCGGAGCTTGTTGCTATTTTGGAGGCTTTACGTTATTCTAGAGATGTGTATAGAGATAACATTGTGATTTTTACAGACAGCGAAAGTGCTATACTGCATCTTATAAGTTGCGTAAGAGGAACAAGGGGAGTATCTGTAGCCTACAAAATTTTACATGAATTAACTAAAATACAATCTATCGGAAAGTCTTTAAAATTGCAATGGATTCCCTCTCACATTGGACTAACGGGAAACGAGGGGGCTGATATTCTTGCAAAACAAGCACCTCTCGTAGGGACAGTTATAAATTTAAGACCAAATTATTCTGATTTTTTAGATAAATATATACAAGAATGTGTAAACCGCTTTAAAGAGTACTTTGACGAAAGATCAAAACTTAAGGGAATATGGTATAAGACTACAAAGTGGGCCTCCTCGTATCCCGTGGTTCTGCGACTCAGGGTTGACGCGTCAACAAATTGTTATGGCTCTTAGGCTGCGTTCGGGACACGTTCCACTTAACAGATTTATGTTTCTAATGAGAAAATCTAATTCTCCAAATTGTAATTTATGCGGTGTAGAGGAAGATGTGCATCATTTCTTAGTGGAATGTGTTCGTAACGCGGATAGGAGACAGGAGTTGATGCGCCGTTTTAACGTTTGCTGGAATGATGTGGGAGTTTTTCAAAGCGCCTGTCTAAACCTAACTCAGAGTTAGCGAAAACTGTATATCAATTTAAGTTAAAATAAGTTATAATTAGAGGTACTAGTATTATTAGTGGTATACATGTCTTAAGGGAACGATGGGACTGACATTTAGCTCTGTTGCTAAGAAGTCCCTAAATAAAAATAGATAAAAAAACCGGAAGCTTTTATTATATTTCTGATTTTAACATCTTAAAGTTCTTTGTTTTAGCTTTAAAATGAGTGGTCTATGTTGTTATTAAAAAATGTTTTCTGGTAAAGAAAAAATATTGAATGAGATGGAGTCTGGAGCAATAAAAAAGTGATGGTTAACGGTAAAGAAAATACCACGTAAAATTCGTCAAAACAATAATTTAATTAAAATTATTTTTTTAATATTTAGTGTTGCCCCCCCTGGCCCTAATAACAGCTTCCAATCGCTTTTTCATGGATCGAATAAGTTTCCTTACTCGATCTTGTTCGATGCTATTCCATTCGTCGATTAGCGCTGCTTTGAGGTCCGCCATCGTGTCTGGTGCAGGATTTCTAGCCCGAACTTTTCTTTTAAGATCATCACACAAATGCTGGATAGGATTTAAGTCCGGGCTACGCGCTGGCCAGTCCATAGCGGCAATTGCGACCTCCTGTAAATACTGCCGGACGGAACTTGCAGTATGTGGACGGGCATTGTCGTGCATTAGGACGAAGTTTTCGCCAATGAAACCGGCGTAGGGAACGACGTGATCCTCTAAAATCTCTTCGATGTATCGGATCGCCGTCAATCCTCCCATTCGACCGCCAGATTCAATAAAAACCAACTCGGTTTTTGCCTCGTTTGAAATGCCGGCCCACACCATCCAGGAACCTCCTCCAAAAGCTACATTTTCTTTGATACAGCACTGCGCGAATCTTTCCCCAGGTCTTCTGTAGACTCGTCCTCTTCTATCACTACCATGCAAGCACACTCTACTTTCGTCTGAGAAGAGAACGGGGCTCCATTGTTCGTCAGTCCAATCAACATGTTCTCTAGCAAAACGTAGGCGGGCTGCTCGGTGGTCTGGGGTTAATTTGGGGCCAGTAGCTGGCCTTTTTGGCTCAAGCCTAGCTGCCTTAAGTCGTCTTCTGACTGTCCAGCTACTCACAGCTACTCCTCGCGTTTCTCTGAGCTCTTGTTGGACTTGAACGCCAGTGAGGGCCCGATTTCTTAACGATGTGCTGACAATAAATCGGTCATCTTTCTCTGATGTGCACCTTTTTCTACCGGAACCGCGTCTTCGATTAAAGCCACCAGTCTCCTGGTAACGACGGTAAACTCTGGAAACAGCAGACTGGCTCATGTTCAGTGCACGTGCCACTTCACGCTGACTCTGGCCTTGTCGCAATAGGGTGATCGCTTGAGCTGCTAAATCGCCTGTTGTGTCCATTTTCAGGTAGAATTCTTGATTGTTAATAACGGAGATGTGTATCGGTTGACGTTTGACGTATTACTGATAAGGGTGGGTGAGGTAGATAACCTTTTATATGGGTCAGTAACCCTTAATTAGCACTATTGTAAACAAGCGTAAAAAGGGTGGTTACTGATCACAACATATTGTTGGGTTGTGTGAGCAATAAACCTTACAATATTTTATATCATTTTGAAGCTAATACTAGCAGCTTTAAGATTTTACTATGAAAAAAATATATTTGCTTTCAGTTTTTTTTCCAGTGACTTGCGACTACAGATGTGTCGTCTGAGTCGATTTTTTTCCGTATTAATTTTATCATCACAGAAAACCAGGCCACTTCTTCCACCATACCAACTAGCCTCCCAAACCATAACACTTATTCCGGTCTTTTTTACAGTATGTTGCAAAAATCGGTTTTCCATCTAAATTACTGCACGACGCATCTCATTCATTTTACTCCGTTGTTGCTAAACTGAAAAAATAACATGGCTCGAAAAGTTCATCATCCTTAGATATCATATCCTGTGACTAATCATATCTTCGCATTTTTGGAAATTTTGTCAACAAAAGTTTCTTTTTGGCTACTCTTTTATAAAAATCAATAATGTGTGAACACTTCTGAATAGTTTGACCCAACCTATTTAAAGATATAACCACATCATCCACAGATTTTTCGGGATTTCGCAAGATTTTTTGAAGTACCGCACTCTTTTGCCTGGCAGACGGCTCAGATCTCCCTGATCTTGGCGAAATGCTTGTCTTTCTATCTCCTTTGGAGTTGCATGATTTTCCAATTAACAATTGACAAAGGCACATTTAATCTAGCCCTGATTTAGAGCCCAGACTTACATTACAACCTCCAAATTGGCCGACAATACACTCTCGAGTAAAATCGGTTAATTCTAACGTCCCAGATATACACGGTATTTTGAGTATAGTGTTAATAAATTAGGTTTAGACCCCATGTACTTCAATATTTTTTTCAGAACCACCCGATTGCGTATTCTTAAAAAAATTATATATTTATAGGTGTCTATTTTCTTTTGACATGGTAGCGTACAATAGTAATCCAATAGAACTAAACATAATATACATAAGTTTAACTAATATTTGATGACAATTACTTTTCCATATACAATAGTAGTCGGATAGTCCACACAGTCGTACTCTTAAAATTATTTTGGAGTGTAAGGGCCGCTCCACACTATAGTGGCGATCACAGTCCGTTCTCGGTCCGGTATCGGTCTGGTTGCGTGATTCGACCAGAACGTAAATCTTACTGATAGTGTGAATGCACTCATTGTTTCTTGTATAATAATACATTATCAGACCTGTATCGGAACGAGAACGGACTGTGATCGGTACTATAGTGTGAGGGGCCCTAACTAGCACTATTTCACAGTCGTGCGGGCGGCGCCGCAGCGGCGGGCGGCGGTCAATGAACGCGACGCAGAGCACGGCCAGCTCGACGCGCAACCCGCTGGTGGACACCACTCTGCTTACTACGTATACTGACTTTAAGGTATTTATTTGTTTATTCAATGCTATAAGTTGGTATTAGCTGTTCTCTTATTGGTAATGTAAACTAGCTAAAACATGAATTTCCCTATTTTATACTTTAAAGTGAAAATTTTATCCCCTATTTAAGCATAGCATCCTGATGTAGCTTTTCTGACCCGATGGCTTAGTCTAGTTTGTAATATGTATCTATTACGTAACATGCACATTTGCATAGATACAGTTTTAGTATCTGCACACTGTACATTTTTGCTATCTAGACACTTCATAATTCCACAGGAAAATCTATAGTGTGCGGAACTACAAATCTTAGCTCTACTTTAACTGGAACATAACTTACCTCAGCGTATGCTAAACGCAACTGTATGCATTCACATCGTCTTTTTAGACGCGGGTTACGTTGGAATAATTAATGCGGTCATTAAATCTCTTGATGTGTATTTCGGAGCTTAATATTAAATTTATAGTGGTCCTTTATAAAAATATTTCAGTATCTAATTTCATTATTTAGAAAGAAATCTGTACTATCTCTAATATTTAAGTTGAATTTTTAATACACCTTTCTTGGAACTCACCTTGTGCAACATATCGTGATTTTATTTAAATCCAAAGCTTTAGTTGTCTGTTGTCTGTCAATAAACTAATGAAAAAGTTATTCATGTGCCCTGTAAAGACAACTTTTAAACTTAATAAATTCTGTAATCACAACTTACATAAAACATATAATTAATTCACAGATTTGACATGTAGGCTTCAAACGCTTAGTATATAGGTAAATACCTGTAACCAAAATTAAAAAAAATATATTTAACTTAATACTTATAAAAACAATTCTATAACCATTTTCAGGACGGCATAAACGAACGACAAATCAGTCGCAGTTCAATGGCAACAAGACAAGAAGCACCACCCCCTCCCACCATCATCTATCAGACGTTAGAAGAGAAATCGGAGACCCCAAAAAAAATTTTCAGGAACAACCCAACACCACTCACGCCGAAAATAGGAAAGGAGAACATTCAACATACAAACGTACAAATGACGCCTAAAAACAGTATTCTAACAACGCCTACAAGATTAACGAGATCCGCTTTAAAGTTAAATAACGATGGGTTCGCAACTCCCCGTGCTCCCCTCTCAGCGAATAAAGTGAACTTACAAAGACAAAACACAATGTCCAATATGGCACTTAAAACGACTCCCAATAATGTTAGCAGGTCTAAATCTCACTCGCATTTGGTTCGAGCGAAAAATCTACCACCCCTCATATAATCGGTGTGAACATAATATTACGTGCTTCTATTGTTATTGGCATGATTAGTATGGGTTTGAATCGATTTGAAAGGCTTGTTTTTAAATTCAAAGCAAATAAAACAAAATAGTATAAGTCATTTGTAATAATAAATTATGTATTTTTTCTAGCACTTGAGTATATATTTTTTTAGCGAAACATATTTAAAAACAGCCCACCGAAATGAAAAGCCGACAATGAAAAAAACAACACTTTATATCTCGGAAATTTAACTGACATTTCCTTCGAGGAATAATTAAAAAAAGAATAATTTAAATCGGTTTATAATAGGTGATATATGCATAAAAGCTTTATACTTCCAAATTGAGAACCTCTTCTCTTTGAAGACGGTTAATAAACTCACGAATATGAAACTTTGTTTTAGTTTATTTGATAAGTTTATCTATTCCATACTTAACAGGCAAGTACTATTTATTATAATGGTATATGAGTATTGAGATGTGTTTACATTTATTGACAGTTCTAGGTTTTCGAATAAAAATCAAATTTATTTATTGACATTTTTCCGTTAATATAAACTAACAATTTGAGTCTTTGATTTGAAACTCTATTTTTTATTTTCTACGACATCGTATTGTAATAATTTAATTTGTTGATAGTTTATGTTAGTATTCCATTTTTTACTTAGTTTCATAAGATTTTATAGATTTTTGAAGATATAATTTTGATTTTAGTTATACCTAGTTTATTAATTATGAATGCGAAGTAAAAATGACATTAGAATATATTATTTGATTGAAATAAAAAAAATGGCTGTCATGTTTAATTTCAGGATTTAGAAAAATGATAATATTGTGTTTATTTAATATTATTGGCAGCTCTTTTGCATATGAGGAATGTACTTAATAATACTCGTCAGTATTGGTTTTGATGTTTGCACGTGTGGTTCACTTTGTTCACTTTAACAACAATTTATTATAATTTTAATATAACTCGAATGATAATTTGAATCTGTAAATTATGGTTGTAATATATTATGCATAGTTTAAACTGGTGTTTTTTTCAAGTAAGTATTTTGTTAGTATTGAGTCTTTTTGAACTTACACTTCTTTTGGGACATTTGGAAAAAATTATGAGATTTGTACACAAAAGAAAAAAACTAAAGAAATTGTGGGCTTAAGCAATAAAGCGACCAAAAATTGGCGAAATCAAAATCTGTATAAGGTGGACATCGTTTTAAAGAAAATGATTTTAAAACTTAAATCGTCTACAGGTGAATATGTTTTTTTTATTTTTGTACTTTTTTACATATTAATTACAGAGTTTAAAACAAACTTTCATCCACCGAATTTCGAAAAATGCTAAAACGTATTTATTAAATACTAATTTTTAAATAATCGTGTTTCTATATAAACTTTATTAACCCCTTTTATGGATGAATTTCTAAAAAAAATCAAATTTATTTCTTATTTTTTACCTTAACACGTTCAGTGCCACCGACTCGCCCTGCGAGTTTACGTTAATTTTATTCCAGTGCCGGGGACTCGCGCGGCGAGTTCAGTATGTTTCGGTAATATTTTCAAAACGCTTCTGTATATTCTGTTCAAAATTACGGTGTAGACTTAATATGATGTCATGTTCACGTTTACATGGTGGCCTGGATGTAAAGAAATTTTTTACATTTAAAAGAAAAAAATTATTCTGCAATGCCGTGAACTCGCTAGGTGAGTTCAATGCCGCAGATTCTCAAATTTTAACGTCGTCAACACAATAACTTCGATTTTTAGTAGGTTGATGTGGCGTTCACTGTAAAATGTAAATCTATATAAATAAAAATGAATCATCGAAATATATTTACACGCATAACTTCCGATCAACTGCACCAAATTGGATATTTCTTTTTTTTTTGTATTTTTTATTGTTAGGACAAGTTTCGTATAGAAGAAAATTAAAAGATTTTTTACAAAAAAAATATTTTTTTTCATCTCGTGATATGAAAGTGAGTGAAATAAATAGTTTTTATCCCGGAAGTCATCCCTTAAGGGGGTGACAATGGGGATGAAAGTTTGTATGGGGAAGCAAGCTAGGCACGACACCCGAGCGAAGCTAGGGTAAGTCGCTAGTTATGAATAAAAATATTTTTTTTCTCTTTATAATATTATAGTTGAGATTCCAATGGGTAAGATACTCACAATAAACAAAAAGTATACCTAATAAAGAGATATTATTTTTATTCAGAAACACTCGCAGTCCCAGCCTTTCGCAAATTTTGTTAGGTTCATACTTTAGATGATAAATAAGGAAACAAAACAGGTACTAGAGTTAGCTATAAATATATAGTTACAATGTCCCATTTACCCTTTTCGGAATCTTTTATATAAATGATCGCCGACATCACAAATTTACAACATAATATAGGGTGGCCCGTTCTCAGAAAAGTAGACTTTATTATTGTCATATTTATATTGCAATTACAATTTTAAGACAAATAACATTGTGCCGGCGCGCGCTCCTACTAAACAAAAGCACTGATAACATTGTTTTTCACGAATCTCTCATTGGGTAATCCTAAGTCCCACTCCAAGGACGCAAAACATTTCGCCGATTCTATTGGACCCTTATTCGTGACGTCATTGACTACTCTTGTAAACCACGGTAAACTTTTTTCTAATGTCATAACAGTGATTTGTACGACCCTTTTTGTCAAATTTCAATTATATTATTTAAAAATATTATCTATTATTGTAAATAATATTACATAATAATAAATAGGTACAATGTTGATTAATTTCATTTTAAATTATTTTAAATACAAAAATTATTGAATTTATTTCCTTTTATTATTAGCGTTGCATTAAAAACGAATGGTATATATTTATAGAAGTTGATACCATATTCGTAGTACTAGGAGACAGCGTTAAATATTCAGAGCGAAATTGCTGTTCAGAAATATTATTAGTACAAAAAATAACATTAAAAATAACCACTGTACAAAAAGTTGACAACCACTGCCTAAATTACGAAACAAACTTACCTTTTATTTTATCCTTTGAGTTTTTTGCCATGTTTGTAAGTTAAAACACACTGAATAGTCGTCAAACACTTTATACTTCCGATACAAACGTTACGGAGACTAAGACAGTCACAATAATAACAAAAGATAAATTTTACCCTTACATAATGCCAGTGAACTCGCGTGGCGAGTCCATTCAAATTATATTCTAGTGCCGGCGACTCGCTTGGCGAGTCCAACGTGAAATGTATGCGGCATCCGCGAAGACATCATGAAAATCGTAGTGGCATTGAACGTGTTAAAGGCTTTGGCTGTGTTAATCTATCAGTCAGTCAGGACCACCACAGGATGCACCTCTTTTAAGCAACACTATTACTACATAGATTTATAAATGAAAGATATTAATTTGAAATACTGTAATTTTAGATAATTAAGTCTATTATGTGCATGAATAAATAGTTCTGTTAAATAGTTTATGTTAATAAACTCCTTTTGTAATTAAATTCCAAAAGTTTTACTAGGCGCATCACTCACATATCAATATAGGTATGTATAGAACATCTGCTTACGTTTCGCTTATTCTAATTAATGTAAATAGGCCATACGTGTGGCGCCCTCCTTTCAAAATATCTTCCCCATTCGAATTTCGATTAAAAGATTTTTAATCTGTGCCATTCACGATCAATAGACAATAATCAAGTACCATAGAGTATATTGCTACCTATATAAATCAAGTACCAAGTACCAACGAACGATCATGAAAATATTTTAAAATTGCAAGGTTTCTTTAATATTTTTTCGAAGTTAAGAATTTACTAAATACTAGCTAATTTCCACTCTACAATATAACATTCCTAAAGTAAATTTTATTGTGACTAATGATTGACTCGTATGAATTATGAAGATTGAAATTACTTGATGTCGAGCTTGTGATTGCCGGTTGGGTATAATAATGGTGATTTATTATTTGGTTAAAAGAATACACTTGCACTTTTTATTTTAATAATTTTTGCCATAATGTCAGCCGACGGTTATCGAGTAGAAATAACACATTACCTCAACCCTCATTTGATATGGGTTGAAGTATTAGATCCCTCGAATGCAAAAGATGAGTACGTGTTCGAACAGGTCGGATTATATGGCATACTACCATTAGACAACACTTTAGATATTGTACTTAATGAATTAAAGATCCAAAAATGCGATAAATGGATACCAGCAGCTACAAAAAAATTAAAAGAAATCTTCAACGATAGTACTGAAGTCTGGTTTACTCCCACCTACATAGATCGAGGGTAAACTAAATCATTTTTATTTAATTTTATTTTTATTCAATTACAGTTTGTAACAAGTGGTCTTCATTTTTTTACAGAACATCAATATTTGATGATAATATCCATAAATATGGAGAATTATTAATAAAACATAAAGATGGTAAATTGAAAAATGTATCCAAACTGTTAATCACAACAAACCTTGCCTATTTTGATGAGAATGATTTTCATCAAAAGTTAAGTTCTGGTAACTTAGAGACTAAACTTTCATCCACCAAAACAGAGGAAGTTGTAAGAAAAATTGAAAAATTTTATACTAAAAATAACCCAATGCTAAAATCAAAGAAAGAGGAAGCAGTCAAAAAACAAACCTCAGTATTTCAAATATCTCGAGAATTTGAATCATTATTAACAGTACGTAATGTTGAAAGACATAACAATGAGATGCTCAGTCAGATTCTGGAACAGAAAGCTAGAGATTTTGAGTTGTGTAAGGAAGTGGATGAAGAATCCGTTGGTTGTGGGTTTAAACTGAAATCTGATATTGAAAAAATTGCATTCAAACAAAGGCAGGCAACTCATAGATCTCAGAGTAGTACTAATTATGAAAAAACCTTTGATGATATTAAAACCTTTTTAACTACAAATTCTAAAGAAAAACGTAATACAGAAAGTGAAGTTTCAGAACGGGATAGTAATCAATTAGCTCTAAGTGCATTGTTAAATAAAGGGAAACTTCTTTTCAATAAGTTGGATCAAACAAATAAAAGTGAATCAGATAAAATGGAAAATATTCAAAGTACCAGCACAAAAACTGATGAACCATTAAAGTCTAAGGATGAAGCGACATGTAAATGTAAGTAATTAATGCATATTTATTGATATAAATAGAATTGGTTATCCTGACTGATCAATTCCCGAATCAAACCCCTAGACACAGCACATCATTGATCCGTAGAACTTTCTAAAACACCTTTAGGTTTTGAAAATTAACAACTTAACTGTCCGTAAAATAGACACAATAGTTAAACAATCGAAATGTTCATATATGACTCATGGGACAGGGAAATGGTTAAAGTGGAAAGTAGAAGCTTTCAGATGTCAAATACAAAAAAAAATGCCCCAAAAATACAATTTGTAACAATAGATTCACATGGTTTAAAACATGATAGTATTATTTATATCGGCGTCCCCGGAGAATAAAATGATTACTGATGTTACCATAGTTTTAGTGTTATCCCATATTTGAAGTCTACAGTGCCTAATACATCTACCCATTTTTTTTCGTGAATATCCAGCCATTATTCAAAAAGTTATAGAATAATGCAATCATTTTCGTCACTCTTTCAAACACAAGGCTTCTTGAAAAAAAATATAATATGAAGTTAGTGAAACCGTTTCTTCATTAAAGATACAACAAAAACTTTTGTAATAATATTCTCGAAAAACAAATCGGCGAAATAATTGTGAACGCTATTGTCATTTTGCTCTCGTAAAAATCTGCTTAGGCTCGGTGACTAACATGTTCTTAGTAAATAGTACTAATAATGACTGAGCAAAGAAATATCTTGCTATTTTATTCGGTCATTAGAGCTTACATTATACAGTGATAACACATTAGAATAGAATGCCAAGTGATATTGTTTTCCATTAATTTAGTCTGTATTATTTATTTGTTAAATTTTATTGTAAAACAGTAATACAATACTCACCATCTGCTATAAGTAACAACAATAAAATGCTGAGTGTTATTACTAAATAAAACTAACAACAAAATTTTAGTAACTTTTTAAATTCTAAATATCTTTAGTTTGGATAACCTTAGTATAACATATATTAAAACATTAAAAGTTAAAAAATTAGCTATTATTGAGCTTATCTCTCTACATCTATTGCTTAGAAAGTTGAAGCCAAAAGTAGGTTTTTTATTTTTCCTGAAAAAAGGTGTTTTTGCAGTTATCATTTTATTCTCCGGGGGAGGCGATATTATTTCAAAATCTAGTTCAACTACTCCATTGGCATATGCTTAGCCTTTAAGTTGCTTATGAATTTAAAAATATAGTCATAGACAATGTCTTAACCACTATGTAATAAGATTATTTAATTTTAATGGGACTTAGTATTTTATTTCTTTGCAATAATTGAAAAACAATTTTATAATAATTGAATAAATGTTTGTTATTCATTTAATCTAAATTGGTTGATTGGATTATATGTTATATTTTTATTTTAAATCTAAAAATGTATAAATCTATGAGGAGAGATTAACTATACTTAAATTTATAAATGTGAATGTAACTGTCTGTTAACTTTTCATGGTTAAACTGCTGAACAGATTTCAATCAAATTTGACATGGACATAAATAGTATCCCGAAGATGGACATAAGCTACTTTTGACTGGGAAGTAATGCGAGTGAAGCCATAAGCAAATGTACAGCTTAGTCATAGATTGTTTGATCGTGGACCAATACTTAATAGTGCTTTTATTTTTTCTATTTATATATGGACTATATAATTGTGCACACATTTATGTGTGGACCACTCCCCGTTTATTACATACCTATAATAAAAGTGTAACTGATTGCTGTCTGTACATGTATTTGAGAAAAACTATTATTGGGGGTCTTGATTAACTCATTAGAACCCCTAACAATGATTTTTGGAATTTTATATTTTATCTGTTTGTCTGTATGTTTCTGCGCGCTAATCTCAGACACTGCTTAATCGATTTGGATGCGGTTTTCACTAATGTATTGTGGTAAACGTCATTTAACATTTAGTATTTGTTTTATTTCTTTTGGTTCATAAATAAAAAAGTTATGTCAATATAAAATATGTATTATTTTTTGATGACCTTAAAATGTTGTTTTTGTTAACAGCTATAAAGAATAAAAAACCTAGCTCGCACAAAGACAGCAAAGGATCTTTTAATAAAAAAGGAAGCCAAATCAGTGATAAAAAAAATGACGATGATGTCAGTGACAATTCCTCACTAAAGGAAGGTATGTGATTGATTTATAAAAGGGGAAGAGTTTTTGCGTTTTTGCAATATTTTTGTTTGTATGTGCCTAACATTTTTAGAAACTATATAACAATAAGGGGTTAAAGCCTATGGCACTTTTAGGCACAAAATTGCTTACGTTTTTTGTTTGTTGAGTGTAATCCATTCACATATTGCACGGGTGGTTTATTTTTCCATATTGATATGGTTCATATTGATATGATATTTTTTGTGTATAATATCATTGATTTTTAATGGTTTTTATTGATAATTCCAAATAGAGTTTTTAAAATGGAAAACACATTACAAACTAGTTCTTAATATAAACATTTAAATCATTTAACTTAACACTGCTGGTAAGCAGGAATATATATGTAAAGAAATAAGATCTCTTTAACATGTTACCATTCTAATCTCTATATATTAAATTTGAATAGCGTTGTCTTTACTTTAAATGTTGTTTTATAAGACAATTAGTTCAGGTTAGTATGAAACAGTAAAAAAAACTTATTGTGTTGCTATGAAAATACAAAAAGTTTGTTTTAAGCTAAATTTAGAACAACAAACAATCTTTATACTACAAATTACCGTCTTGTAATAGAGATTACTATCTAACTTGAAAATACAAAGAAACAAATGTGCATTTAAAGCTTATTGCCAGGTTTGTTCATTCCTGTTCACAAATAAAATTATTAAAGTTTTATAACTTCACAGTTCAAAATATTTATTCGTGACACCCATCCGTCAGACAATGCCACAAATCAAATCTATACATAGAATAAAATTGTAACTAAGCTGAATCTGTACATTAAATATTTTTTCGAAAATCTTATTGAAATAAACATTATTTTAGAATTTTTGTCTGTCTGTCTGTGTGTCTGTTACCACATCACAGAAAAACCACTGGAGGGATTTTTATGAAATTTGGTATGGTGATAGCTGGTTATCCGGGTCAACATATAGGATACTTTTTACCGCGGGGAAATATCTCATTTCTGAGAAAAAATACAAAAACTGCAATGTAAGAGTATACTAAAATGTAAAACCTAAGAATTTGGATTTTGGTGATCTGACCGCGGGCAATGCTACTTTAACATAAAGAGATTAGAATGGTAAAATATTAAAGAGATACTATTTCTTTACATAATATGTATATATAAATCACCTTCCATTTGTTTCCAAAGCTGTTAATGATATAAACTTTATTTAGTTACTTGATATGTGGTTTTGAGTATGATTTTATTGTATTATCTTTCTTCAACAGATGAAACGTCAAAGAACTCTCCAAACGTTTCCAAACCATCGAAAAATATTAAAATCGAAAAAAAATATATGAAGCAAGTGGCATTTGGTCCCCCTGGGCTTGACCCACAAAAACTTAAAATAGAATTTAAATCGTTGGACCCAGGCGGATCTTACTTTGAAAATATGAAAAAAGAACCAAAAGAAATGGAATTCGATGGTAACAAAATGTTTGTGAACAATGAATCTGATTGGGATATGGACAAAAATATACAAAATGATTATGATACACAAATCAATAATGCCACAATAGAAAAAGAAAAAAACATAGAGGTAAAAAAAGAAATTCAAGAATCCAGCCCAAATATAGTTACACCAAAAGATTGTTCCATATTACAAAAGAAAATGAAAGCCTTAGAAAAATTTTCACTAAATATATCTTCCTCTAGTTCCCATACATTGGATAAAAGATCTGTGAGCAGTGACACAAACGATTCTGATGAAGGCATCAATGTAAATTTCAAAAGGGTAAATGCTAAAAACAAAAGCAATCCAACAGTTAATAAAGAAGAGAAACCTAAAGAAGTTCTAACTGAAGGTGGTTTATTGAAATACAACGTGAATCCTTTTAAAAATATCGATACTGATATATCTGTGTTTGTCGATAAGTTGGTGTCGCCAGTGTTGATGGTACATTTGAAAATCAATAGGTGTGTTCAACCTGTTCAAAATTTACGTGACGTGTGCTTTAATAAACATATACATGAAGTCCTAAAAATTATGTCGATTAAAGGCCCAATGATGCTACAAACGGTGTCTTGGTCTATTATTTTGAGAGGTTACAGCTTATTCATGATCAGTCCTCCAAACAGTGGTAAGACAATGGGCTATTTGCCAGCAGTTTGTCGATTAGTCAGCGATTCGTCGCCGATTATAGGTAGCTCTGGTCCGATAGCGATTATAGTCTGCGCTACGGCTAAATTGGTTGCGAATGTAGAAAGAGTGGCGAAAATGTTTCTAGGGTTAGAGGATCGAGTTCTCGCGTGCTATTCCGGTGTCGATGATCTTTATGTCACAACAAGTCTCCTAAACGGTTGTGATTTGTTGATAGCTACGCCATATTATCTATCGAAATTATTGCAAATGTCCGATTTCAGTGTCGATTTGAGGCGGTTATCGATTTTCGTTCTTGACGATTGTGAAAGATTATTCAGTACGTACGAAGACGAAATTAAAACATTCCAAATAAAAATAAACAAAATGTTGAAAAAAAGAACACAGAAAGAATTAAAAGTTCAGTATATACTAGCTTCGCGTGTTTGGTGCGATAATATGGAGGCCTTAGCTTTGAAAGCTCCCGATACGGTTATTTGTATCGGGGCTTTCCAAGAGTGTGTTCTATATTCAAAAACGAATATGTCCGTTAGTTTCATCATAAACGATAAAGTAAAATGTTTATTTGAATTTTTACAAAATATAGACAGATCGAAAAAGACTGTCATAGTATGCGGGTCCGATGATGAAGTCAATATGCTAGAAAAGGCGTTAAAAAGTTCTAAACAAATAGTGTACGCGACTAATAACAAAATGACTGTACATGATTTGTACCATTTAAGTGCTTCATGGTCAGAGTGTAATGTTCCATTATTCGGACCTATATTGATTTGTTGCGATGGAAATTTGACTCATATGAATATTACAGACGCACATAATTTGATTCATTTCTCGTTACCGCATCTCTATTCGATGTTTTGTAAGCGATTTTCGGTTTTAAACGATAATTATCCATCGATATTTAAAAATAATAATGATATGGTCAAAATAAAAATCATTGTCGAGCAAAGCAATGCGGAACAATTGCCTAAAATTATAAACTTTATAAAACGTTGCACTGACGTCCCAGATGTCTTAGATGGTGTTTGCAAAGAGATTTTAAAAGAGAAAGATGTGATCAGAGCTAAGAATTTAGTCCCGTTATGCGATAGTTTCCTCATGTTGGGAGAATGCCCTGACGTTTACTATTGTCACGAAAGGCATAACATTTTAAAAGATTATGATATGCCACTAGAATGGTTGCCAACAGAAGGTTTTGTTACTTTCAAAGTTTTACATTACAATTCAGCGACATCATATTCTGGCAGGCTTTTGACTAACATTTCAGACGGCAATGTTGTAAAATATCCGCAAACCTATAGTTCCTTATCTCTGAAAATGGGCTTGTACTATTGCAAAGAGGTCAATAGAAAACTTCATGGTTGTCCCAAAGTAGGTGATATATGCGCCGTATCTATTAAAGTCAATTTGTACGCGAGATGTCAAGTTGTTAAAATATTAAGCAAATATGAAAGAGGAAACCCAAATAACGTACTTATAAAACTAATTGATGAAGAATGGTATGAAGTTACGAGAGATATTAATCTTTACCATTTACCTGAAGAGTTGAAAGCGATAGAATCTTGCGTTGCTCAGATAAAGCTGACTAATATAGCGCCTAGAGATAATGACATTACGTTTTCTGATCTCGCTAAAAACCATATTAAGAAAATCATTGACAGCGAAGAAGATCTCTTCCTTAGAGGTCATATAGCCTTAACAATCGGAAATTGCATTTTCGTTGACACGTTAGAAGTATGCCAACATTTAACGTCTCTGAATGAAGTTGTTGTTAAGCATAACATTAAGCATGAGTTACTAAAAAATCACGCAATTCTTAACGAAGATCTTTTACCGTGTCTTAAAAAAATGTGTATTGAAAGGGGTATTCCGGTAAGGGGAAAGATGGAACCAGACTGTAATATTACAGAAGAAACTACACATCAAGAAACACAAATGAAAATAATATCAGAGAGCCTAGAACGTCCTGCCAACTTTGAAGAAAAAAACATCGAAGAAAGTCATGGTTTTATAAAGAAAGATCAAAGCAGACAAATTCAAAATGAAATATTAGGTGAACCTGACAAAGATTCCAATAAAGGAGTATCACAGAACGTATCTGTTACAGTAAATACTAAAAATCTTCCTGAAGATAAAGTGGTAAAAGAAGTACTGATATCTAATAGCCTGGAACATTTTCCCGACTTTGAAGAGAAAAGCTTTGAAACTAGTGATAACATTAAAAAACATAGAGTTGAAGAATCTCAAATTGGAAAAATAAATAATAATACAGAACCAACAAAATCAGTTACACAACAATCTCTTACTACAGTAGCTACAAATCAACCTAAAGGCAAGTGGGCAAGTTTGGAAAGCGATTATTTAAATTGCGTGTTCATCGGGTCGTCGAAAACCCCAGAACAGTTCTTTATGCGACTTCGCGATTTCGAATCCTCTATGAAAATATTATTAGATGACATAGAAAAATATGTTGCTAACGTTAAAAGCAATGAAGTTATTTTGCGAAAAGGCGAAAATGTTCTAGCTAAATTTCCAGATGATTCTACATACGAAAGAGCTAGAATAGATGAAATAAATGGAGATAATGTGAAGTGCTTTTTCTTGGACCAAGGAGATTGGATAGATATACCTAAAAACCATTTACTCCCAATTACCGAAGAGATCATTAATCAAATACCGTACCAAGCTATCGAATGCAAACTACTTGGAGTCCGAGCGCCTGATGATAAATGGATCGATTCCACAAATAAATGGTTCTACGATTATTGTTATGAAGACGAAAACGGAGAATTAAAAATGTTATATGCAAAATATTACACAAAAGAAGCGGCTGAATTTACCGGCGGTTTCAAGTATGGCGTATTCTTAATTGACACGAGTACTGAAAAAGATGTGTTGATCCATCAATTGATGATAGATCTTGATTTGGCAAATGAAAATTCAGATGAAGTCCAATACTTTAAAAACGATAAACGAAATGCGAGAAACAAAGAAATGTCAAATGAAAGTTGTGAAATTAACGATAACATAGTCGATTTGGTATCATCTTCACAGGGTTTTCCCCAAAAACTTATAAGAACGGTTCCATTGGTTAATTCTGATAATTCTGACGACGATGAAGATAAATGGGATGTGAACCTGGACTCAGGTGCTATGAAAAACATCGTTTCGTGGGTGAAAGTTCCACAAGATTCTACATTGACAGGTAAAACAGATGGTAAAAAAATGATCGTTGATGCAGAAATAACTAAATCTACTAATAAATATAATAAGTCAGTTACAAAGACAACAAATCCGGTCAGAAAACCAAATTTGAAGTGGCGGCAAAACATAAACACTGTCATCATTACCATATCAATCGATGTCGATAAATATTGCCTAGAAATTGAAGATAAAAGTTTAAAATTTAGTGCCGAATTGAACAATGCGAAATACGAATTTGATATTACACTGTACGGCGTGATCGATAAGGAAAAGTCTTCACATATTAAAAAAGGCTTAGTTATTTCGGTTAAATTAGAGAAATATAATAAGAAAAAATGGTTAGAGCTAGTCAGTACAAGGGAGAATATAAAAAATTGGATCTCTTATGACGTCAGTACTCTTGATACGTCGTCAGATGAAGACGACACATGTCAAGATACAAAAGATTTTGAGAATCACATGAGAAGAACGCGTGAAGAAGATTCAGAATCGGAGGGTGATGAATTTGAAGACGATCTGCACAGTTAATCATTTTTTTAATAAGGATTTGGGTTTAAATCCACGAATATTTCTAAAACTCATCATAATCTGAATATCTTCGGGAGCCAATGATTATGACTTGTTAATGATGTACGGCAAATGCAAGTCTTTTTTCATAATTTTATAAAATTAAAAAATATGAAAAGTAGTTCCAACAAAAAAAAACAAAATCAAATCATGTACGGCTGCACACCCGGAGGTCTTGGGTTCGAGTCCCGGGTCGGGCCAAGTTTAGTTATTGAGTCTTCCTGTATAGTAAGTCTCAGTAACAGCCCGGAGTTGGGAAGTTGGCGGTGTTTCACCCCCGTGTCTCGGAGAGCACGTAAAGCCGTCGGTCCTGCGCCTTAACTCTCACTGGTCGTGTCGAGTGGTCGTCCCACCGGAGTATGAGAGTGATAGGAATAGAGTGCACTTGTGTCTGCGCGTACACTTGAGCACTATAATATCTCCTGCGCAGTTGGCTAATCTCAATAAGATTGGCCGCCGTGGCCGGAATCGGCTAGGAGAACATAATCATAGATAAAAAATAAGAAAAAAAACATTGGTTTTTTGCAAATATCTCGAAAACTTTGAGGTTATTGTAAAAAGTATCATTTATAAAAGTTGTAGATTTTTAGTAGACCTTTTGTAGATTACATTTTTCAATAGGACGTCAAATTAAGCCGAAATGTGAAACAAACTATTTTTCAACGCTTTTGAGCTCCCCATTTCTTGGGGGACATCGGGGACATTTTATGGATTTTTGTTCCTTATACACCTTCTAACGTTTTGAAGATATACAACCTCGGGTTTTGATTTTTTTGTTCCGGAACTGGATTCCGATCGGACTAATAGTATATAAAAGATTTTATTTTATTGTTATGATAGACGTGTTTCTATTTATTTCAGTCAAAATAGTGCAGGTAGGTTTTTTTTTCTATTTCCGAATGTTCGGTTAAACCGAATGTAAAACGAATTTCGGCCCATCCCTACTATTAAGTGAAGTTGATCATCCATAATTTTTCTCTTTTCGGTTTAAAAATAGAGAGGTATTATTTAAATGGCCATGAAAACAATCGGAATCCGTTGCATAGCTTACAAGAATAAAAACCACGTATATGATTTGACCGACACTTAAAAAATGTAACTAATATTTTCAAAAAAAAAAATTCTTTTGATTTTCTTTTTTAGTTTGTCAATTATATGGGACCACAGAAGATATATTTAAGAATTGTGCCCAACTGGCACTACTAGAACCCACTAAATAAAAGAATTGAATTGAATATATTTAATAAACATAACACCTAAAAACTATTATAGATGCTCTTCTTATGTGGATATCCCGGTATAGTAGCTCTGGTTACTCCTCTAAATCCGGCCCTATTACTGACAATATTCGAATTTTGACCAAAGACGTTACTGTTTAAAAGAAATGATAGAATACCCCACAGTATTTTCATATCTTCTCTAGTCAATTTAGTCAGATTTAGTATTTTTAAATTGCGGCTTGAAGTTTACGTCAAAATACTAACGATTGTTATTATTTAAGAAAATAACTACAGTACTAAGGGTTAATATGAATACAGATGTGCACTCCTTATTCTCAAGGAATTAAGAATGCACTTGTGTTAGTGCGCCTATTGATATTCCCTACGCAGATGGCTCTCAGTGAAATCGAACGACTTGACCGATATCGGTCAGAACACTTAAAGAATTTCCAAATTCTAATACATATAAAGTTAATACAATACAGTCATTGTTGGAATACTAATTGAGCGATTAACTACGATTTTCTATAAAGTACGAAAATAGTAACTATTTATACGGGCAGCAGCTGCGATATTTCTTTCATCGATTGTATCTGATTGTATCTGTGTGTGGCATCGTAGCTCCTAATCGAATGGACAGATTTAAATGCGGTTTTTTACCCAACTGCGTGACGCAAAGTAGGGTAATGTGTTTATCAGCCTATATATGTATGTATGTATGTATGTATGTATGTATGTGGGTTTGTACCTTTGTGGTACTATTTAGACCAAACGCGTGGGCCGATTTTAATAAATGACACGTCGTTTGATTCGTCATGACGGCGCAAATGCTATAGAAAGCATAAAAATTTGGATAACTCAAAATGGCCGATTTTGGACGCCATAATGTTAAAAGTGTGTGTAAACGTGTATGTCTCCGACTGCATAATACTATATTCCTTCGTAAACTTGTTTTCATCTTTTTAGTTAGCTTTTATGCAGTCGGGGTTTTTTTTTACTTTTATAATATATTTTTTTGTTTGATGTTTGAAGGTTCTTAGCTATAATTTATGAGATGGATTACTTGTTTATTTTAAGATAGATTAACAAGATTAACATATTCTAATTAAAATAAACATGAAAAAATACTTTATCTTTATACATAGGTACATAATATTTCGATGTATTCGATTTTACTAAGTGTTATTTATAATAGTGTAAAAATAAGTTTAATCAACTACGGTAAAAAGGATAAAGCCAAGACTTATTCTGTTAAGTAAAAAGGTTCTAATATTGAATATTTTTATCAAAATATATGTAATTTACTGAAAAATGCTCATAATTATTAGCAGTTAAAGTATGCCATTTTGATGAAATGATCCAACGATAAATTTTAAATATTAAAATTTATTATTGGATGTGTTACAGGAGAGATATATATCCTGTAGTACATTTTGAAAATGTTCAAGACAGTTTTATATCATATTCTTCTGTATTGTAGATTTAGGCGAATATTTGACTATTTAAATAAAATTACTATTCGATTTCTTACGGTTAAGGTCGGATAACAGATCGATTGAAAATATTATTTTCATAACATATTTAAATACTAGAGGCTCGTACCATATTTTACAAACAATCTGTATTAATATTATAAATGTGATTTGTGTGTATGGATGTTTGTTACTCTTTTACGCCAGAACGGCTGAACGGATGTGGATGAAATTTGGCACAGAGATTATAGTCTGGAAAGCAAAAATGTACAGTTTCCGTGGGATAGGTTTGCTTTTGTTTTCTTAGAGGTGAACCCCAGCGAAGCGAGGGCGAGCCTCTAGTATTTAAATATGTTATGAAAATAGTCAAATATTCGCCTAAATCTAAGAAAGTATCATAACATTGACTTGACTGTGTAGAGACAGGGATGGTATCTATTGGTGTCTCACCCTCGTGTCTAATAGCATCTAAATCATAAAATTGGTCCTACACTTGGTCACTCCGTTCGTTTCGAGTTGCCGTCCTATCGGGCTATGAGAGTGCAGGGATGGACGATGTAATTGCTTTTGTACACATTCGTAGATTATAATATCGCTTGAGTTACTTAGTTTTAGGAGTTTGGTCTCTTGTCTCTAAAAAAATCTGTATTCAATAAAAATATTTTTAAGTGATTCAAATGTCTGTTCAGCTTTCAGCACCAAACTTACAAAGTTACAATATTTTGTGCTGAAAGCACAAAATATTGTGTAATTATGTATCTATATTATTACATAATATTTTCGAATTTAATCTTATTTAGATAATATGTATAGTTAAGTACTTAGAAGTTTTAAGTTTGAACATTGATTTTTTTCTTTTAAGATTTTAGAATAATTTGGAAAATTGTTACTTCTCGTTTTTGTTTATATTTATGTAGGTACATACATTTCGGTGTTGAGTATCTTCATTTAAAGTGGAGGTCAAATAAATATTATTATTTTATCCTTTATTAATGCTCTTCAATACAATTAAATAAATCCGTGTTTTAGCATTTTTCGAAATTTATCCCATTAGGGGGCAAAATAGGGGATAAAAGTTTGTATGAAACCTACTTATCCCTACTCTCTACGAGTAGGTACTAATACTCGTATATATGTAATCATACTCATTTGAAAATAAATGGAAATAAAACTAAAATACGAGTTAAAAATGGTATTTATTCCGTTTCCAAGCAACCCTACGAGTTCCTTTCTATAGAAAGTTATATAGCTAGGGAGCTGGTGGCAGTAATCCATACTAATATTATACGAGTAAATGTGAAAGTGTGTTTGCTTGTTTGTTCTTTCACGTCGAAACGAAATGACGGATTTGCCTAATTTTTTGTGTGGAAATAGTTGGAGGGCTGGAGAGTGACATAGGCTACTTTTTACCGCGGGAGATTATTTCATTCCCACTGGAAAACCGTTATAATACAACCAAAAAAATGTTTATGATCAGAATTGCTTGAAACTTGTATAAATGCTCTTCAATACAATTAAATAAATACGTGTTTTAGCATTTTTCAAAATTCATTCCATGAGGGGATAAAATGGGGCATGAAAGTTCGTATGAAACTACCTTTTTAGAGATTTTTTTGTAGTAAGCCGCGGGTTCTGCTAGTTTTTATATAATTTCATCGTCTGACAGAGGTTGATAATATAAGAGTAGGTACTAAGTAAAATAATCATTTTAAACAATTTCTGTCATTCATTAATTGCTGCAATATCAAACAATGATAATAAAAATAAGTATCTAAAAATTGTATTTAATTTAAAAAAATATATAATGCTAGTGGCAGATATTTTTCCTGCTGTGTTTTAGAGTAATAATTATTTTTCTAATTATTATGATATATAGAAAAATAAATTAGGTACTTCATCGATTTCAGGAATTCAGACAGATTAGAATAATTATTAAAATTATATTATAAGAGATAAAAAAAAAATACTTCTGCCACTATGATGATGTTGCATTAATAATCTGTATTGTAGAAAAAATGTTAAAAAAAAAAAACAAAAAAACTATAACATCATTTCTGCCTTTAAGTTAAATAAATAAATAAATAAATAAGGAAAAGCATATAAATGAAAAAGGCAGATAAAATTGATACTGTCTTTTCGAAGGCAGAAGTTTTTACTACCTTAGGACAGCTGCAAGGGAATACAAATACACACTCACTAATATTTGTGTGTATTATATTTGTTCGCATGGAAAAGAAAGTTAGAAAGAATAGGTGTTTTAAAACCGTTTTTTTTAAATAATACATTAAAAAATAAAACAAAAGAAATAACATATACGTCATATTTGTTTTTTAAATTACATCTAAAATCAGAGTTGTAGATGTCTGCCACTTTTTTCTTATATTTACACATGCTTTATAAAATATAAAAACAATTCTTGAAAAGACGATGGAATGATATAGCATAGCACTAATTATTATTATTTTTACAGTTTTAATTTTTTTTATATAAAAACTCCCACTATGTATTTAATGGATATAATTGATGACAGAAACGATAATATAATTTGTAACAGTTTTATTTTTACAATTTCGAAATTATTTATAAAAAAGAATCTGAGCTACCTGAGCTCGCCACTTATTTTTTCTAGTTAGCATATAGGTCCTGATTACATTATGTCTTGGTATCAACGACGATGAGATCATATACCTAAATTGCCACCAGCTCCCTAGGTATATATAATAAATAATAATATTTATTCTTTATTATTAAATACAATATTTTATTAAATACACATTTTTCTATTTTCTTATTTACTTAAATAAAAAATCAGTTCCTAAGTAGGTAATTGATTTATCAAATCCACAAAACTATATTAACATAGGTAACACCTATTTTGAATAATTCTTAATATTGATGTTGATTGCAATAATTTTTACGAGTTTTACAATAATCATGATTATCATTAGATAATCGTTTTTTAATCAAGTAATGAAAGTGGTAATAATCTAATAAATAAGTTAATTTTATATAATTTGTCAATATTTTGATTATAAAATTCCAATACATTGTTTACTAATTGAAGTAAATAATCACTAGGAGGTTATGAGAATAGGTGTTATAATGGCGGCCGTATAATATTAGAATAGGTTTTGTTAATCAACAACAATTGTTTTTTTATCATTCAAATCAACTTGATTTTTTAATAAAATCTTGTAATCTGAACTATCAAAATCAACAAATACACAACTGAACATGTTTTTATTGTAACATTTACGCAAGAAACGTTTTATCGAATTTCATTAAATTATTTAATGACACTCGATAAAACTATGTAATTGTGATCTTTTGGGAACAGATGATATCCATTTTCTTTGCATCCTGGCACTGTACAGTACTTTGTCATGATAACTAAATTTTAAATAAAATGAAAAAAAAATCTATCTATGATATGGAGCTTTACAATATACTAAGGGACATACCGATCGTGACATCTGGCGGGAGAAAGAGGCAAAATTCTTCCCCATTGAAAATTAATATTAGAAATAATATCGTGGCATTACAAAGTAGTACCCATTATTGGAAATATAACGATATTGATTTTTATTAAACTTCAAAAACTTAATACTTTTATCCAATACTTCCATTTCTCTTACTTTTAGTATATTTTTTTTAAGTTAGAATATATAAATAGGCTTTCGCATTATTTTATTTTTTAATATTTTGCTTTTAACATAGACATAAAACAAATCGATACATGTAACGCCATCTATTATCATTTTTTTAACTATTTTTTTTGACTTTGTTCGTGATGTGACCCTATCATTATACGTTACGTCGATGAGTATAATAAAAGAAAAATACATCTAGCTTACGCCATTGGCGTCTTCATTTTGAATTAGTTAGCAAACGCTTCACGTGATCTTATCTGAGTGCAAGAGATCTTTACATAAACTCAAATATTTTATAATAAAAGTAAACTAATTGTTAGAGAAATGAAAAATCTCTTCAAAATCGGTCCAGCTATTTTTATATAATGTTACGAATTTGTTTTTGTGACTTCAATTATATGTATAGATTTTAAATAATTTTCATTGTAGGAAATCATGACCAATGAGATTGAGCATTTGGTAATAAATTAAAATACAGTCAAAAGCTTCTATATAATCCACTGGACATGTCGATATTTTTTGATTTTAAAGTAGGGTTGAATGGTAGAAGATTCAGACGAGCTGTAGATGGAGATAAGTGTGATATTGAAGTAATAATAGAACATAAATATACTGAAAAGTTATTTGGTAAACCTGATATTGGTACTTTGATGTAAGTTTCAAGTTACTTCGTATTTCTGTCTATCACAGGGGAATGAGTATTGGCCTTAAATTTCACAGCACTTCCTATTGCTAAGCACGGATAGTCAAGTTGTAATCTAGAGCCTAAACATATTATATATTTTGCATTAGCAACTTATACTCGCTTCTCTCCTGGGTGCCTTACAATATTATATGCCTATGTATTAACCCAGGTTACAGTCTATTTCCCCCCCAACGTGCGTTCACCTTGTCGTGGTGGGGGGGCTCAGTAGTGTACTCGCGAAGCTAAGAAACGCACAGGGAGGTGGCCCGCTTCGGTGGGCGGTGGGAGGCGGCCCTCTTCGGAGGGCGGAGTACCATGCGGGTTGCTCCTGGTACTTCTCTGATAGCAGAGTGGACCGTGGAGCAACCCCATGGTTGTTGTGGTCTGCTTCGGCAGACCTGCCGTCGGGGTGTCGTAGTTGAATGCGTAAGCGATCCTGCGACGCCCCATTAAGACGGGGGAAGATTTTGTTGGGTTTTAGTGGGTAGTACTGGCTTTGCCGGTGAGTCCCACACTTCGTGCGTAAATGCATTTCCCAACGTTAAAAAAAAAAAGGTTACAGTCTATTTATGTACATACCTACTAAACTTCATCTATTTTCGTCCATCCGGCCGTTTCAACGTGAAGAAATAACACAGATACGATACATACATACATATATAGGTACATACAAATATGCACATTTATAAAAACTTAAAAAAAAATAGAAACCGACTTCCAGGCACTAAAATGTAAAAAATAACTAAACGGAGGTTTTCATTTAGAATATATACCTACTCAGATATTTTCGAAGTCGGTGCCAGCCGATGCAAAGCAAATCTAATATATTTCTAAATCTAATATATTTAATCTGTTAACTTTTGTATCCTACTTCTAGCGGTTGCCTGTAAGAGATCACTTTTAGTGATATGGCCGCCTTTGCACATTTCTTTAAATGTATTTTTTTTGTATGTATCATTTTTATTTCTGTGTGCAATAAAGTGTTTAAATAAATAAATAAATATATTTCGATACGTAAAATACATATTTACCTATTAGATATTCATATCTTAAAATATTGTCGGCTGGTTACTAACACAGATCATGACGTGATACTATTATACTAGTCTACTAATACATAAGAGATTTTTTTTGTAGCGAATTATCCACTCTTTCAATATGCATGATAAATGAAAACAAGGAAGTGATCGGTTTTATGGCTCTATGTGACCATCCGAATATACCTGGCGTGGATCCATCCGACTGGGAAGTATGGCTACGTAATATGTTTCAGTTAGTATAATAATTTTCTTGTTTTAATTGCGTAAATTACATCCAACCACCACTTTAGCTCCTGTGGGGCATAATTTTTATATTTTTTATTTATATTTTTATTTCAATACTGTACAGTAATTTATAAAGAATAATATTAATAACTAGCATTGCCCGCGGCTCCGCCCGCAATCAGATGACTAAAAACCATATTTTTAGGTTTTACATATTAGTATACTCTTATAATGCAGTTTTTGTATTTTTTCTCAGAAATGAGATATTTTCCCGCGGTAAAAAGTATCCTATATGTTGACCCGGATAACCAGCTATCATCATACCAAATTTCATCAAAATCTGTCCAGTGGTTTTCTCGTGATGCGGTAACAGACAGACAGACAGACGAAAATTCTAAAAACTATAGATTCGGACTCTGTATTGATAATAATGTCTATTTCAATTAGATTTTGCAAAAAATATTTAATGTACAGATTCGACTTAGTTACAATTTTATTATATGTATAGACTAAATGCCCGCTTAAACAGGCTGAAGTGCCATCTATTGGCAAGTTACAGCAAAAATAAATCGAATATAATTTTCTTTCTCTATGAAATCTTTGTGAGAAAAGAATATATAGTATGTATTTAACCCTTTTTAACTGCTGTCTGCTGAGCACGGGCGTCCCTTAACTACTACTGGAATCAGGCCATAATGCACCAAGGTGGCCAAGTGCGAGTTGGCTGACTTCACATAGGTATATTTATTTCGAAAACTTGCTAGGTTTTTTCAGACACGCAAGTTTCTTCACGATGTTCTCCTACACCGTAAAACAAGTTAATAATATTAGAAATGATTTGCACATGAAAGTATCACAGATTCGAGACCCGAGAATTGAACTCGCTTTAGTCGGTTTTTCAAGCGAGCGCGTTACCACTGGGCATGTCTAAATTTTTTTATAATTTGTAGGCTTACTTTAAACATTCCTATTTATATAAATATAAGCCTAATTACAAACATCCTAACAACTTACTGCCTACATTACGAATATAGTATTCTTTTCGGTACAATTGATTTTTATTTCAGAAAATATTACTTATCACGAAACACTTTGTTCATACACTTTATGTGTTGCGTAGATTCGGTAACAGATTTTTTTCTGGAAGAAGCGTTTGTGTCAATTTTTCGTAACGATGACTATCTTTTGCACATTTTATTTGTTTTGCCGACGGGATGTTCTAATGGTAATACTAGTACTTAATAAATGTTTTTTTAATTATTTTTATAAAGTATACGTTTCGAATATATTACCATAACTATATTTTTTAATAGATTGGACCTCTCGATATTTAACATTTAAAAAACACAATATATATAAATACAAACCCAAGTTTTGTAACGACTCTGAAAATACTATGTATTTTTATACTGCATTGCGGAATGAATTTTGTGCTAAACTAAAAATACGTAGAGCCGTGTAAGTGATGTTTTCTCTATGTTTAATTGATAATAAATTTATTAAATATCTTAAAATTTAAAATAATTCATAATTTTCATATATAGAGAAGAAGATAATGACGATATAGTAAGGATTTTAGCGAAAAAATGTCCAAGGTTACACGAATTATATGGCGAATTCTATATTAGTGAAATTATAGGACGCCATCCAGAAACCGATAGGCAAATCATTGTAGCTGACGTAAGTTATAAATACTTTCTTATTTCCTTTAACATTTCATATGTATGGATTAAAACATGCGTTATTGGGATCATCGTATAAAATGTATACAAAGTAAAAGTAAAAAGGTAGGTATTGCATCCTTTTATCGTTAGAAACTGTAGGTAAGGAACAGACGCTGTCCTTTCCCTCAATAATGTCCCTTCCTTCAAATAATGTCTCTTACTTTTTTGTTTCATTGTCTCAATTTTATTGTGCCAAAAAATTATTTTTCTAATGTGTTTTTTAAATTGTTTTATTGCATTAATCGGAATTTTGAATTTTGAAATTTTTTCAGCAACACGATCAAGCTGTGGGAGTCATGTGTTTAAATTCAGAAATTAATTACGATATGCTTCAAAATACTTACGAAGTTGACCCTTTTCATGGTCTTAAAAAAGCAACGCCTTTAGAAAAAGAGAGATACAAGCGAACAAACACATTGCTTCATACTTTCGGGTGAAATTTTATAAAAATTGTTTACCTAATACTGATGTTAAATTTAGTTATTGTGTGTGTGTGTGTGTGTGTAGATTATGTTATAACAGGATAGCGGCATTATACAATATTTAAATAAATAAAAAGAATGGAATAGAAGACCGCAGGGTTTGTAAACAAAACTACATGCTTGGAAAACCTTTACTATACGACTTAAAAGCTTGGATGTGGCAAGGGCCAGGTAGAAGAGGTATGAAAGTAAAATGAACGTAGTGGATAACAACATGGAAGGTTAGAATTAAAAGATAGTAAAAATGGAGAAAAATGTACTCAGATTGTTTAAACATGTAATAAGAATGACAGGCGAAAAAAGTCACAAGCGTATAAGTTTACTAAGAGTAGCTGAAGTTGAGGATGATCTCAAAAGACTTTTGAAGACTAAGTGTGTTGAAGTAAGAGGTAGGAAGAGTAAATTGATAGGTGGGAGTAGAGTGAATGAGTTGCTTGGGGCTCTAGCCCCTACAACGACTACGCAAGGCGTAGGTATAGAGTGAAGTTATACATATACTACAATACTATTTGTGTACATAAAATAAAATGTATTGATTTAAATAAAATCAAAAATTTTCAATTTTAAATAGAGAACCTATAATGAATGGCAAATGGAGTCCCTTTGATGAAATTAAAAGAAAAAGGAATCTTAAAATAAGGGATGAAGTAAGTACTATTGTTAAATATTATCATATAAAATATTATTAATTTATTATTTTTAATAAACAATAATGTGTATAAAATTAAAAAGAAATATTTTCTAAAGACAGAATCAATAGCAAAACAGGATAAAGCTAAAAAAAGTCATAGTAAAGTTAATTTTGTTCGTAACATCACGACACAAAGCGACGACTACAAACACCAATATTCCGAAGATTATAGTGAACGAGAACTACGGTCTTCAAATATTTCCTTGAATGTTTCTCAATCGGTTGCAAATATACTTGAAGAGGAGCCCTTCGATTATGAAATAGTGAATATCGATAAACGATTGTTAACTGTACCTGAAGTACTTTCATGTGACTTTTTATTGTAAGTGATAAATATGAATTTTTTTGTTTAAATGAATTTTAGCGTAGCACAATTATTTTAACGATGTTATTAATATTCTCGACAATAACATAAGATGTTACGAGTATACCACTCTGACAAATGACAATTTATCTAATGCTCTTACATCTATAATACATCAATCATAATACCTACAAGCTGTTTACTTCTCATAAATACTTTTCCAGTTGTTCTTTATTGATATTTTTAATTAAAAAAATATATTGAAAGCAGGCCTAACACAGAAAACATGGGACCGAGGCGCTCCCGAGCTATTGAGATTCAAGAAACGATTAAACGTAATTATGAACAAATTCCTTTGAAATTTTAATTACCATTTTATTATAATGGAATTTTGAACATGACCTTTAATTCAAGGAAGATCTTCTATATTAAAAGCAAAAACAATTGAGGAAACTAAGTCGCAAAAATATTCCGGCGATCCTAATGCGTTTATGATTGAGTTGTTTGGGTTTCGCGAAGATATTGACGATAGGTTTGTTATTATTTATTAGTAAATGTACATTCAAATTGCTCGTAATAACTATAATCAGATCTTATAGTCTAAGCGCAATATACAATAACTTCTTTTCATATGTACTGCTAACTACAGTAGATTCTAAAGTATAAATTGCATTGTTATCTCTACACATTAGGTCTCTTACTCTATATCTGATTGCCTATTTTTGCGCTCGGTTCGTTTATATTCTACTATGCTTAAGATTTGATTTATATTTGTACATATATTGTATGATATATTTTGTATGAAATTTGAAGAAATCTTGAATTTTTAAAGTGAGGTATGCAATCTACCTACAGTATGGCATGTACGAAGCAAGAGTCTTTTTTCTTATTTCTTACCATGCAGTTATCCAAATCTATAGGTACATATAATAAAATTCTGAGTCGAATCTGTACATTAAATTTTTTTTTTTAAATCTTATTGAAATAGTCATTATTATCGATACAGAGGCCGAATCTCGTCTTTAGAATTTTTGTTTGCTTTTCTGTGACCGCATCACGAAAAAATCACTGGACAGATTTTGAAGAAATTTGGTATGATGGTAGCCGGGTCAACATATAGGACACTTTTTACTGCGAGAAAATATCTCATCTTTGAGAAATCTATACTAAACGTTAAAACTTAACTAGGGACAAACCCGTGCGGAGGGAGGGTGAATCGCTAGTGTAACATAAAGTGATAATATAGATAATTCCAATTTTAGGCAAGGATTTCACTTATTGGAAGCTGCATTCGAAATAATGAAAGAATACGACTACTGTATCATTCGCGTACCTTGCAAAGATAGGAGCTTTCACTTACTTCAACATTTTTGCGTGAGTTTTTCAAATACTTGTTCATAAAAATATTTACATACATAAATTAAATAAATATAACTTTTTTTGTTACAGTTTGTTCCTCCTAAAAACAATATATCGAGTGACTACGCCTTATATGTAGCTCACAGAAGTTCTGTACTCGGGTGATTACTTGTACGATTACTCATACAAATAGTTTTTATCTTCACTAACTAAAAACACCAATTTATAGTCCCATTAATAACACTATTAAATTAGCTTTATTGTTTTATAATTTAAATAATAGCATCAAATCATCTTTATTGTAATTTGATTGCCTTAAATAATGAGTATATTTTTAGTAAGCTAAGAGTCCGTAGAGCAGAAATAATGGATATTCCGCAAATAGCCCAACTATTAAAAAGTTTAGATAACAAAGAAACTTTGTGGACTATAGAGAATACTATTTTGCTTAAAAATAAATTACAGTGCTACGTGCTTTTAACCAGTACGACGCTTGTGGGGATTGGTATAATAGAGTAAGAATAATTTTACGTTTTATTTATTTTATGATATTGTTATTAATATAAAGTATTGAGACATAATATCCTTTTTGAAATCTCTAAAATATTCTGCTTTTACCTAAGCATTTTAAAAAATGTATTTCCAATTTCATTGATACATATGCATGTACAATTGCAAGCAGTACGTACTTATATAGAAACATAGATTAAAGAATGCAAACACAAATTCACGTCTGTAATTTTGAACGTTACTTTTTTAGATTTAAACTTTTACTTAACGTTTTAAGTAAACGTCGTCGTAGGTATGTACTTAAAATGACGGAAACGACTATTTGAATGCTTTACATCAAACGTTATCATGGGAGAGGCTGTAAAGTTTAAAGTGATAACTTTTCTTTTCCTTTTAAAACTTGAGTTCATTATTTTATAGAAAACTGTCTTGCATAAGTACATTAAATATTAACAATCAAATTCGGCTTTTTATAGGCAACCGGAACAAATAGATTTTATACGTGCAAAATTTAATTTAGACGCGCATCGTTTGCATAAATACTATGCGAGCGAAGGATACAATTGTGGAATCTCGACATTAAAAGCTGTTTTGGTTTACCCTGTCTTTGAAGCGCACTTCCGATTCTTTGCGAGGGAAATGATGAGATTTTCTGGATCCTATTCAATCCTGTGGCTAACTGCGTATCGTAATAAATGGGTAATAAGTAATAACTGTTAAAAATATAACCTACTAGTTATCCACTCTGGCTTTGCTTATATGCAAAGTGACATATAAAAAGTTACATACATTCACCTAAATCACTTTTTAACAAATAATAATAGATAATTTAGATAATAATAGATGTCAGTGCGTTGATCCTACTAAGTTAGAAAACTTACATGCTTACAACAAGTCACTAAAGTTTCATCACAATCGAATTGACGATTTAGAAACGCAAACATTAGAAAGCATTCACCTATCATCATCACCTATTCATTTTTAGATTAATGTATGTTAAAAATTTTTTAGAGGCGGTTGACTGTTTGAATCCTATTTTAGGAGAATTATAACATAAGCTATGCAAATGTAAGTTGCTTAATTGAGCGCCATTCAGCACACAGTATATTTCCATGGTTAAGTTTTAACCTCTGCCAGCGTCACAAAGTAAATAGCGAAAATCCTCACTAACATTTAAAATGGTAGTTTGGTTTGTTTATTACTTACAGCTTCTTTCACACTTCCATGCTACGTGATCAACGAGTATACTTGATTTTTTGAATGGGTAACGTCTTTAGGCATGAACGTGTCATTAAGTTAAAATAATATTTTTGCAGATACCCAATAAACATAATATGAACATATTATAGGAATACTGAGGTATATTTCTAGGTATCCTAAAAGTACTTGTAATACATTTTAATGCCTTTTGTTTTGTTTTAATATTATAGCTGACACACAAAGCAAATTCTTTAGTCGGTTCAATGATTCCTTTACTACCTAGAAAATCAGAAATAGATTGTACGTCTATTGGAGAACTGAGAAGAATTCGGAAACTATCAAAAACTGTGTAAGGGCTTATTCAATAAACTGGCTTCATTTTTTATATAACATTTATGATTTTGTTATAGAATTGCGATGGAAGTAATAGACCTTAAAATTAGGTACAATAAAGCAATGTTTTATTTATTTTGGAATTAGTTTTTTTTAATGAAAAATGCCTCCTGTGTTGAAATTGTAACTGCTAAGCAGTAAGTAACATAAGAACGTCTTAAATGATACATACAGAGGCACAGAAATAGTAAGTTGCAAAATATTAAAAAAATAAATTCTCATATCAAATAGGTATTGAGCTTAATAATGGAATTAACGATAATTTTTTTTTCTATTTATGTTACAACATATGATAATGATACATAAATATTTCTCAGGATCGCCTTCAGTAGCTGGTTTTTGAGCAAAAAGCTTACTAGCATTCCTCAAATCAATGTGGATACACGATTAGTAATTGTTGGAGCATCTCGAACAGCAATGGCATTCTTAAATACGTTACTATTCAGGTATTATTTTCGCTGTATTTACAAATTTTCAAATTATTTTATTCAGCATTAAAATTTATAATATTTTACTGAATGTCATGAGTGTACTACCAGTTCGGAAATAAGAAGCCTGAGACTTGAGAAGAAAGCTAATCACCCTCGCTTCGCTCGAGTTTGTCCCTAGGTACGTTTCAACGGTTAAGAAATAGAAAGACTATATATATTATATAATATATAGCCTATAGCCTTTCTCAATAAACGGACTATCTAATGCAAAGAGAATTATCCCCCTTTAAAAAGTCCCTGAGAGTAGTGCGTTCAAACAAGCAAACAAAATTTTAACAAATAAACAAACAAACTCTGCTTCTTTATAATATTAAATAGGTACCTAGTACATATATACTAGTTTATTAAGATACTCTCTTATTTATTTGTTTTATTTTTGTAAGAATTTATAAAAATCTACAAGATAAAACCAAATACCATTACTTTCATTATTTTAGTTTTAGATTATTTTATAAGTACCACGTATAATTCGTGTAAATATTTTGTGTTTTATTGCTTCTCTTCTTAAAGTCAATGTAATTCTAGATGCCCTAAAACTTTTTTCAATAAATGCAAAAACTTTTCTACATCAAAGTATAATCTTGTAGTTACCTAGCTTTATATAGTAGAGAGGTGGTAGAGATTTATTAGCTTATAGTTTCTCTAAGATGAAAATGTAATATTGACTTTAATACTATATTTTATTCTGAAATATTACAGAATAAGAAATAAAAAAAGATCTTTGAATTCTATTGTCTACTCCAGCTATTACTCTCTACTTCAATGAAGGGAGTAAATATTTGATGTATATGGTGTAAAGTATCTATATAATAATTTTGTTGTTCCAGTGATTCTTGTTCATATCTGTTATTCACAAATGTAACACTAATATCGCCTAATGGATTACCTTATAACAAGCGATCGAAGCCAATATCTGAAATGATGTTCAAAAAATATCGTACTAATTCAGAGAAATTTCTTAAAAGTGTGCCTTACACTTACTATGTAAATATTATTCAAGCTACAATGGTGGAGATCAATAAGTAATATAGAGCTTTAATTCAAAAAATAGCATAGTTGGAGCTCAAAAAGTTTTCTGTAGAGAAGTCCAATAATATGCAATAACAAGCTAACCAAATTTTATGAGTAGAATTTGTAGAGTAGCAAATTATATAGATACAATTTGAGTACTCCATACGATCATATATATAATAATAAAAATAATTCCCCGACCGACTTCGGCCACGGCGGCGAGTCTCATTGAGACTAGCCATCTGCGCAGGAGATATTATAGTGCACAAGTACACGCATACACAAGTGCACTCTCTATTCCTGTCACTCTCAGACTCTGGTGGGACGACTGCTCGACACGACCGGCGAAAGTTAAGACGCAGGACCGACGGCTTTACGTGCTCTCCGAGGCAGGGGGGTGAAACACTGCCAACTTCCCAACTCTGGGCTGTTACTGAGACTTACTAAATAGAAAGACTCAATAACTAAACTTGGCCCGACCCGTGATTCAAACGCAGGACATCTCGATGTGCAACCGTACTTGCTAGCAACAACGCCACCGAGGCAGTTACAATATAAAGTATCATATAATAAATATCATATAAGGGAAAAAATAGTTTATTTAGCTTGTGCAAAATCTGACAAATATGAAATTATACATAATTTGTTTTTCAGACGAGAAAAATATATAACTCTTTCAAATAAAGAGAGATGTGCATATGATATGTTATTTTTATTATTTGGAAAGCAATTCCAACATCCGGATTACTTAAAATCTGTTTTCCAAAGGTACCTTACGTACACATTTTGTAGATCTTCAACTTTTTTTCGTATTAATTTCAATACATATCTAAGTTTTGTTATTTCAGAAGTGATAAAATGTCACAATACACACGTCTAGATGTACCTAAAGCTAGCTTAAAGCCCGTAATTAATTATACTCCAACTAATGTCTTTATTGTGAACACTCTAACCGACGCTAATAGAGCACTTAATTTTGTTAAAGCTTTTAAATGGAACGATATGGATTGTAAGAGTTTAAATATTACACAGTTGAATAATTGGAATACATGTGATATGGAATTACTTATATCATACATATAACATTCAACTCAATCGAGAACCGCATATTTGCTTAAAAACATAGTTTCCATTGATATTAGCCATAATTAGCAATAAAAATAGTGATTTGTTCTCTGACTTATTTTTACCTTTATATATACATACACGCGACTTACCCTCGCTCTGCTCGGGCTCATCCCTAGTGAAAATTTTGGTTTGTATGTATTTTTAAAGCCGAATCATAAAAAAATTTAAATAAAAATTTTTGTGCAAAAAATAAAATTTTTGGGGTGGACCACCCTTATCACTTAGGGGTATGAAAATAGTGTTCCTCCTATTCTCAGACCTACTGAATATACACACAAAATGTCATAAGAATCGGTCAAGCCGTTTCGGAGTTTTTTTACAAACACTGTGGCACGAAAATTTTATATATTAGATTTTAGGCTACCCACTGTATTAAAATTAGCATAAGTATTTAATGTTCTAAGCTTTTTCGTTAATTTTTTTGTATTTATTTCCCTAAAGTTCTCTCTTAGCTTATACATTAGTTGACTTAATTATCTAACTTTACTTCATCGTGTTCAAATGGCTTGGTATTATTATAAAACTCACCCTCGGTTCGTCTCTGATAACGTTTTGACGCTTTTGATTTACTGGAATAGATTTTTTTAATATTTTTTCGTGAATTTTTCCGATGCTTGAATAGTTATTCTGCGAAGCTCTTAAGACAAATCCAACAAATCAAAAAAATTGAAACTCGGTCCAACAGTTCTCGAGTTATAAGTGTTGTAACAAACCCGACTTTGTATTATATATACTATATATATATATATATTATATAGGTATGTTTAAATATAATTTCCACCTAATCGATTTTTAGATGATATTATCGTGTATGGTGCGACAAAACATGCGTATTGTTGCTTAGCTACATTGGTTGAAATGAAGATACCCGTTGAGAATATAATATTTGTTGAACCATTTCCGCATGAAAATATTAGAAAAACTAGAGTTTCCTACTTTTGTAATGTTTATGTGAGTTATTTTTTAACATTCGTGTGGTTAATGACGATATCGAATTAATTAGGTATTTATAGATATGTATGTAAGATTCATAACAATATTTATGGAGCAGTCAATATGTGACTTATTAAAGTATTAACTCCTACTATGAGTATTTATATTAACACAGCCAGACTAACATAATATTGCATAATTATTATTTTTTTTATTTCTAATTGAATATATTAAAGACGTTGAACCGAATTTGCCATATGGGCCGAACGTCGACATCGTTTTAATATTTATAAGGACCAAATTAGGACCATACAATTATTTATGTTCCGGTCCAAAGATTACCAAATGCGTTATCAATGACTATACTTATATATTTTCTTGTCATAAATCTATAAACTTTTAATAAATTGATTAATAATAAAACTGTATTTATATAAAAAAATATTTTTTTTATATAGATTGACAAGTCAGTTACAGAGGTACTCAAAAACCTCAGGATTAAAGCATACCGATCTTACTATTTCCAAAATTGGGTCACTGATAGTGATAATTTTGTGACACATGTCGATTTTTTGTCGCATCACCATTTTCTCAGATTAAAATGTTCTGCTTTCTTCTATTATGGGTTTCGAGGAGTAAATAAACAAGCTTTCATTGGTATGTGATTTCTTATTTATATTAACGGCATCTATTGCTTTTAAAAATCATACATGTATGTTTTTTCTTGTATAACTTATTTTTCAAGCTATACACAAAAGTGGCATTGCGTATGATGGCGGTATCCTTATAGACCATGAGTTTAGAACAAAAGATCATTCAATATATGCAGCTGGACCAGCAACTAGATATTATAGAAAATATTATGCTGACAATAAAAGGCACAAATACTACGATGCCTATGAAATCGGTAGTAAGGTGAGCATTTATTATTTTATTTTACTTTTACACTTAAAATTACTTTATTGAGTTCTTGCAAAGGTTTTTTTGAAATAGAAAACTTGCTATTGTACGAGTATGGTTCCAACGCTGTTAGTGTAAGTTAAATGCCTTCGAAATATTTAAAAACATTGGTTTTGCAGTTAGGATATTTAATAAGGAATCAGTTAGATCCTTTATTTACTGAAGTTAAACAGGAACAGGAAAAGTATACCAACAATTCTGTAAAAAGTGTGAGTTTTGATTCGTCCTGCAATTCCAAAGGATGTGGTGATAGCATTTCAATTCATAGTCGACCTTTGTATGTATTATATGTTTATCTATTACATGATTTTTTTATTTATAATATTATTGGTAAAAAATAGGGTTTTCATTTCATAATTCTCGAAGACGTCATTGTAATAGCGTGGAATTAACTCTAAATGTTCCGGATTTTAAACAACCCCGCGTTACCTACTGTACCTTGCCTGGTGGCTTGCAATACCTAGAGGTGTGGTCTCCTGGAAAGAAAGTGCCTCATCAATATGTGCAGTCTTTACAATATAACGTTAGCTATATTAATAATATTAGAATTAATGTTATTAGCAGGTACTTTAATTTTTTTAAAGATATGAGATTGTCTTTTTTTGTTTATAGGTCGTGGATTGTAATAACAAATCTATTGATATGTTATTGCTAACCAGTTCTCGACGAAGTTTTTTGTGGTTTAAAATATCTATTTCTCAAAAAATAATTACAAAATAGTTTTTTTTTCGTAGTGCGTAGTTATGTTATTTTTAATGCCATTATATTTACCAACAAACATTTTATCCTGGGATTTTCTTAGTATGTTGCAATAAACAATTGCCCAAAGACGTACCAAAAGACGATTGTATAGATTAATGTGTTCTTTATTTAATTTCCAGGGTCTGGTTATGGAAACGTTTAAGGAAGGATATTTTAAACTCCATCTTACTAATGATTTTATCGTGGATGGCATTACATGTTTAACTCCCCAGAGCTATTCATTGGACAATTTTACAAAACTGTACGGACTTTCTGCTACGGTTTTAAATAACGTTCATTTACGTTATACTGTAAGACTTTGTCGTTTTTTTTACTATACATCTACTGGAATCAAGTATTTCTTGTAAATAAAATAAGATTTAAATATTAGCTTTTCTTATATAGGCAAAGAAATTAGATAACTTTTATAAATTCTTCCGTGCGCCTTGGGCTTATTTTATATACCATGATCAGAGTAAAGAATTATTTGCAATGGCAAAGGAGTTACTTCCAAAGGTATGTACATATATCATTCTTATAATTACCAATTCTAAACTACTTATAAAAAAAAGAATGCCAACATGTCTGAGAAAAAAAGCTTTAGGTAATATAAAACCAAAGATTTCAGATATTTTTTTAGTTGTTTTTTGTAGTTTCTTTATATATAGTTAACGTTTAATATTATTTTTTATAACGCTTAATATTATTTTAGGGACAACGTCAAGGCGATACTTTAGCGGAAGCTATGCGAAATATTGGAGGAAAATTAAGCCACCCGGTGATTGTGCATTTCATTATCCCTACACGTTGCACTTACATAAGTTTTTGTCTGTTAATATTTTCTTGTTATATAGTCTTTTAAATTTCAGACAGGACTTAAGATTAAGCCAAGTTTTGAGAAATCTCCTCATGTGGAAGCCATCACAGATTATGTCATAGAATGGTTGTCAGAGCATGATGTTCTATTACCCATGTATTTACAGCCATGGCAAGTAACCCAATATGGCCACGACACTAACTATAATCCAGCTCTGGGAAAAAAGAAGAATTCTATAGCGAAATTGCTGTCTAATATATTTTAATTAATAAAAATTGTTTTTAATTAAAATTGCCCTTGTTTTATCAAATTATTAAAACATAAACCTAAAAAAGAGAAAGAGTACCTTTTGCGAAAATAATCTTTTCCCTTGATATTTGATAATATTATGTAGTTTTAGTTTTGGTTTATCTATACTAATATTATAAAGAGTAAACGTTTGTGAGTTTGTGACGTTGTAGTATCGAGTCCCCGACGGATATACTTGAGTTTATCTCGCGTTACATTTATTTTTTAAGTCGAGGGTTTTTAAATTATTTTATCCTTTTCAACCGACTTCAAAAAGGAGGAGGTTCTCAATTCGACTGTATGTTTTTTTTTATGTTTGTTACCTCAGAACTCCGTCATTTATTAACCGATTTGGACAATTTTTGTTTTGTTTGAAAGGGTATACTTCCAGATTGGTCCCATTTAAATTTCAAAAAAAAATACCACCCCTTAGGGTGGAAAAACAACTAATGATGAATTTAACCTACTTCTAATTGTCATATTGACTTGAAACTTTGCAAGTATTTCTATTTCCGTTGATAGTACAGTGGTTCGGTGTTGTTGACCTGATCTGATGGCAAGGCCAGAAGGTGGATAGGTGGAACTCTTCAACGGCTAATAGTAGATACTTTGAGTTTGGGCTTATTTTGTTTGATTCGACAAGCCTAACACGTTAGAATCCTTACTTTGCTACTACTGTCTACACTAAAAAGGGAAAAATAAAAACTTTTTAACAAAAAAATAAAACCGACTTCAAACAAAAGCACTAAAAAGTAAAAAATAACTGATTGGTAGTTTTCATTTACTATACATACCTAATTAAATATTTTCGAAGTCGGTGTGCTTTGCTTTGTATGCGCTGGCACCGATTTCTAAAATATTTGATTAGGTATGTATTTAATAGGTAGGCTTTAATTACTTAGCCAAAGCACACCGACCGAAAATATTTAATTAGGTATGTATAGTAAATGAAAACTACCAATCAGTTATTTTTTACTTTTTAGTGCTTTTGTTTGAAGTCGGTTTTTATTTTTTTGTTTAAAAGTTTTTCAATTACTTTTTATCCGTCGTGGCGTCGCGGGTTTTTTCAAAATTTTTAATTTTGATTTTTTTTAAAAGTCCTTAACCTAATATTATTTTTCACATGAACAAGACCCGTTTCCTGTCGTAAAACTTCACTCAATGTCATTTTTTACATTTCATTATTTTTATATTAAATATTATTGAAAAGAAGTAAAATAAACCATGACACAACCAAAAGCCTGCAAACCTCTGGTCCTTAACAATTTATTAATACAAAATGTAAACACATGGGGAAATATCCAATATAACATTCCTTTACGGCTTTCCAACAATGAAACAAGGACGGGAACTAGTATCGCTCATCGGTACATACCGGCCATACCACATAGCTTGGACTGTGTAAGTATATAAGTAAAAAACTATTTTTTTACTTAATACAATGGATCCTAATTCAGACTTTATTCATCACACTTTAATTACTTATAGTTAGAATGACTTGAAATTCAGCAAGCACTTCAACTGTACGAGTGTCTACAATATGTACATAATACTTATTTGGAAAAATAAATAATTATTAGATTATAAGGTACTTTTCAAAAAGATGTATTATATTTATCAAAAAATTTCCAGAAAATTGATGATCCACTCCCTGAAAGGGTTACAGGAAGAGACATGGTGGTGGAGAAAGAATCGTACAAGACTACAACGGGGGAGTACTGCGTCAAGCCAAATCCGAATAAAGCTATGGAACGATCAGATTGCGCTATCAATTGTACAAGAGTCATTTTTATGACTGGTGTTGAAAAACGAGTAAGCCATTAGAAATATTATGGAAACCTACTTACAATTATGCGTAATTAATATTTACGCTATAAATTATTTCTGATGGGACCATGTATATACAATGTCCATATTGTACACTTAAAAGGGGTATTTGGGGCATAATATTATATTCTTATTATTCATAATTTATTTTAGTTTAATATTTGTATTACATACTAGCCTTCATCGACCAAAAGATATATTTTAATCACTTTTCAGTTGCAAGGTAAAAATATAACGCAGCCAATTATGATTTCTGAAATGAAAGATACTTTTAGAGGTGCTACAAGGTCTCCTACTGTTCCTCCAGATTACATTGTGAAACCACCTGATCCTGAATATATTTTTGACGTAAGTTAGTTTCTGGTTTTGAAAGCAAAATTCATCATTCTTGAAATTAATATCACCCTCAAACAAAGAATTATTAAAATTATTATTTCACACAGGTATGAGATTCACAAAAACATACCTACTTACTACCCATTTGAAAACTTTCCCCTTACCAATCAATCATGATGAATTTTGCATCTGACTTCATTAACTATTTTCCGTGGGATATTAGTAGTGTACTAATATAAGTAAATGTGTCGTAATATAATAAGAAAAATATACCATACTGATGTGCATAAAAAGATACTCATTTTCTATCCACCAATAAACAGGTAGTAGCTGCCGGTAGAAATGAGGCTCCAGTAATACCATACAGTGCGGGTGGTTTCCGTAGACTTCTCGACCCATACGTGTCTACCTACAGAGCGTACCATAAGCCTTTCACCGTCGAAGACCAATACGGTATAGGAGCGAAAGATCAGATTACTTTCTATTCAGAATTTAATGTGCCTAAGGTAACAAATACTGAATAATTATAGCTGTATTTTGTAAGTTCTCGTTTTATGTAAAAGAAAATAATATGGAGTATTACAAATATTATGTTTTGCTCGGATATCATATTACAGGTAAAAGGTTTTGGCCCTAAACATAAAGAGATTTGGATGCCCCTAACTGCTAAAGTACATAGAGGCGTCTATGATAGAATACATGTGAAGAAAGAGTATAAAGAAGTAGCAGCTTGCCATAATCCTGTAAATAATATTAAGGGGTAATCAAAATAGAAACATGTTTTTTAAGTACAGATCGTAATCTATATAAATAAAAAGGGAATGTTTTTTTTTTGCATCTTTGTACTATATGAGTTTTTAAAATATTTAACTGATTGTGTTGATACCTTGGAAATAAATAATTTTAAAAACTAGATATGTAATTTGATGTTAGAGCATAAAGAAGTGCACTTCAATAATTAAAAATTCATAAAGTTTTACCATTACAGAGTCTTCGAATCAGAAATGAAAAAGAAGTACAAAGTACCATTCGCTTCGTCTTCTTTAGCGTCATGGGATCATGGAGAGATGTTCGATTTGGCACCGTTCCCCCCTAACCCGTACCAAACGAATATAGCGCCTTTTATGTACTGCAGTGACTACTGTCATATAGCCCAAGGAACTCCGCCGTATGCAGTGATAGATCAACTTAAACATAACAGAAAAGCACATACGCCATGTGTCCAAAAATTTATTGTTTCTAGAGATTTTACTCCATAGAATATTTTTGAAAATAAAGTATGGTTTTAATATACCATGATTTTGATGATTTTTGATCGTATATTATAAATAATCTAGTTATAACCGAGGGAAAAAACATTTTCTATAAACACATATAGTGCTCTTTTATGCACGATAGATAGCTGTCATATAGCTCAGGGAATTTTACGCTAGAGTTTGCCATGAGTTTTCTAAATGACCCCACTGAAAAAGTTTTCGCAATCATTAAGATTCCTGCTCTTATTTTCATCTGAAGAAAATTGTGGGAAGCAACGTTCATTGACAAACTGGCCCTGCTTTTCATGCCTAGGAGACGGGTTTGTCTTAATTTTTTTTTTTATGTTGGAGTTAGATACTATAAATATAAAACTTTGAAATGAAAGACTATTATTTTTAAAAGTGATGTATATGTATTGTATAATCAATTAAATAATGTTACTTTAATCCTGTGATTACGATTTTACCTGAAACAACGGTTTCAATATTTTAAATATAAAAAAAAATTCATAATAAACTAGTGACTATATAAAACTTGGTAACAAACAAATAAACGAGTTTTAAGTTAAAAGTTATACTTATATCTAAGCATTCAAATTTTTCCACAGATTTTTACATCTATACTAGTATAATATAAAGAGGAAAGATTTTTCTTTTGTTTGTACCGAATATGTTCCGAAAATACTGGACCGATTTAGATGCCATTTGGTAAGAAGATAGTTTGAGACCCTGGGAAGAGGACATAGGATTTTTATCCCGGAAATCATCTTTAAGAGGGGTGAAAATGGGGACGAAAGTGTATGGGGAATCAAACTAGGGACGAACCCGAGCGAGGGTGAATCGCTAGTTTGAAATATTAGCTTACCTCACAAACCTCTTAATGAGCGTGATCTCTACATCAGCCGTGAGAAAGTTAACACACATAATTTCAATGTTTCCTTTAATATTAATCGATATTTTCTGCGCTTCTTACCTAAAATTATTCATAGTTAGAACACTTGATTGAGATCAAATATAAAAATTTAATCGTAATATACAAATTTATTACTCTAGGTCTTCTTACAAAGCAACTTGAACAATTAGGTGAATCGCACTCGCACAATGATGTCTTCTGTTTCTGTAAATAAAACAGTCAATATTTTAAATTTTAATTTGAAGGCTATATTTTAATTGTGAAATATACCATACTTGCTGCTTTTTGTCCTTTTCAATAAAAAACGTTTCTAAAGACGTCGTTCTCCCAGCCTGTAATGATACTTTCTGTATTAAGACAATATATCGGATTTAATTTATTAATAATTTTACTTGTTTGACATGATCGTATTATATATTATATTTTGGCCCAGTGGTAACGCGCCCGCTTGGGAAACCGAGGGAAGCGGGTTCAAATCCCGGGTCTCGCACTTCTTCATATTTTCATGTGCGAATCATTTCTAACATGATTATCACTTGTCTTACGGCGAAGGAAAATATCGTGAGGAAAACTGCCTGTCTGAGAGAACCTAGCAAGTTTTCGAAAGACATGTGAAGTTCGCCAACTTGCAAGTGTGGTGGACTATGGCCTGATCGGACATTAAAAAAAGGGCTAAAAACAATACACTATTGTGTTATCTCTCCACAAGTTTTAATTATAACTTTTATATTAATTTTTATTAGTAAGATATTGTCATACCTCTACACAAGTGCAAGAGCTGTGTTGTTCAATACTTCTATTTCTCAACATAATTTTTCTTAGCGGCTGGTGTACTTTCGACTTCAGGTTTTTTAGGGTTTATCCTAAAAAATATTAATTTCAACAGTATAATAGCTATTTTAGATAACGTAATAAAAAAGTTATAATTGATATATAAATGTGTTAATAGATTGTATTGTAATGTAATTTAACTTACTCCTTTCTTGGCACCTTTGCCTCCAAATCTACTTTCAATAGCAGCTTTCATAGATGGATTATTCTACAACACAAATTAATTTCTAGAATATATTACCTAATATATAATATAATACTTAGTATATATATTATATGAATTTTTAAGCTTAATTACAACCTATAATACTAAATTTTAAAAATATATATTTTATAAACAACTTACTCCTGGGCAAGTTTGATTTAAACATTTTTTATTCTTAGATTCGTCTTCACATTTTTCATTCTGAAATACATATATGTAGATACATTGGAAGTATGTACTTCTTTAATTATTTTTGACTTAATTATTAATATACTTAATAGTCACAATAGGCATTCAATTTATGCTATAACTTTACATGTTTCAGGGGTAACAATAACTTCCCCCCCAACGTGCGTTCACCTTGTCGTGGTGGGGGGGCTCAGTAGTGTACTCGCGAAGCCAAGAAACGCACAGGAAGGTGGCCCGCTTCGGTGGGCGGTGGGAGGCGGCCTTCTTCGGAGGGTGGTGTACCATGCGGGTTGCTCCTGGTACTTCTCTGATAGCAGAGTGGACCGTGGAGCAACCCCATGGTTGTTGTGGTCTGCTTCGGCAGACCTGCCGTCGGGGCGTCGTAGTTGAATGCGTAAGCGATCCTGCGACGCCCCATTAAGACGGGGGAAGGTTTTGTTGGGTTTTAGTGGGTAGTACTGGCTTCGCCGGTGAGTCCCACACTTCGTGCGTAAATGCATTTCCCAACGTTAAAAAAAAAGGGGTAACAATAACTTATAAGAAAACTTCATACGTCTTCACTCCACTTCTTGGGATAAGCTATTGTGTATTGGATGGCCGTTTAGTTAAACTCATACTACCTCAGTGTCACGACAGTAGTTATTTTTAAGATAATTATTATCAAATAATAATAGCAAATAATATTAATAATATATAATTACAGTAGGACATTGTTCTTCTGGCGGTATAGGATAATATTTATTTTTCTTTCTCGGTGGACGACATGGTGGATTGTGGAAACATCGCGATGGATGGTTGCAAGGAGCACCGGCCCGAGCTGGCCAGTAGCATGGCATTAGGTACGGAAAGCAGGATGACGGGGGAATGCACTGTGGTAAATGGTGGCACAATCGGGCAGCCATTGGCTAAAAATGTTATAATACTCATCTAAATAAGAACCCGATAATTTAATAAGTTTATTTGTAATTATTTTAAAAAATCTGTTGTATTTTAAATAACTTTGCTTTGCACACGTACATTATCTTAATTAGTCCCTATTGAAAAGAACAAGTAAATCTTTTAATTCTCAAGAACAGTAGATTACATACAAAAAGCTATATACGAAAGTACCTTTTGTAAAATGCAACTTGAACGTGGCGTCAACTCCATCTGAAGTAGAAAATATTTAATATTTAATGTATAATAATATAATATAGGTATGTATAATAATATATAATATTTAAATAATATATTTATGTAAATATACAGTTTAACTTTCTTTTTCATAAAATATTATGTATAATAATACTTACTGGCGATGGCTCAAAGTTTGGCTTTCGTTTAAAAGAAATCTGCAAACAATTTAATTTTATTTGTGAATCAGAAATATGTAAAATAATTATTTACAATAAACTTATTGCCTCTTATAATATTCATATTACCTTCATTCCATAACAATTAAAACAATCCAGTCTACATTTTGAAGGCATGCATGACGCCTAAAATAAAACATTCAATATAGTTATAACTTGTACCTATTATCTTTATATATAATTAATTACGTATATTTTACTGTGACATTTGTATATCAGACCTTACAAATGCATTTTCCTTTGGGACATTGGCTGCACTGAAAAAAAAATACATATATAATTTAATTAATGTAAAACATTATACAATATACATTAAAGAAAGGTTGACAAAACTTACTTACCAGCGATGGACATGGTGGTATATCCTGAAAACGTAAAATATACAGTAGAGTTAGATTAATTCATAAATTAAACACACGAATATTTGTTACTAAAATAAATTAAATTATTTTACATACACATGGTTGTCTACACGGCGTCCTACATGGAGGTCCACACGGCGACTTACACGGTGGTCCACATGGTCCAACGCAAATTGGACAACACGGATCTAAGCAATGATGGCAGCCGCCGCACTACATAGTTAAAGTTTATTAATAAAGTTTTTTTTATCTATACTAATATTATAAAGAGGTAAAGTTTGTGAGTTTTTGAGGTTGGAATGGGGTGATCTCTGGATCTACAGAACCGATTTAGATGAAATTTTGTAAAAAGATTGTTGGAAACCCTGAAAATGACATAGGGTACTTTTTATTCCGAAAATCATCCTGTAAGGGGATGGAAATGGGGATGAAAGTTTGTATGAGGAAGCAGTATAGTGACGAACCCAAGCGAAGCGAGGGTGAGTCGCTAGTAAACTAATAATATATTCAGCCGTTTTTAACGTCCCACTGCTGGGCACGGGCCTCCCTTCAGTACGAGTGGAATCAGGACATAGTCCACCACACTGTAGTAAACTAATACATGTTTAGTTAAATAAAACAAATTAAAAATAATATTTTTTTATCGATACTAAAAAAAACATTGTTACCTTTAACGATGTGGGAAGATCTGAGTTGCTCTGTAAAAAGGAAGACAGATATATTGTATATAATATTATTTATTAATATAGTACCTATATAAATTAATCAGTGTTAAATTGATCAAAAATTATTCATATAATACGATTATTGTAAATGGATACCTTATGTCTACAGCAACCCTTTACACAGCATATCTGAATAATTGCAGTCTGAGGGAACGCCGGTTTGTCTTCCTTTCGCATCTTTTTCGATGTCTTTTTACCAACGATGGCTATGTTTGATAAACCAAACATGTTGTGTTCCCTATCTAACTTGAGTATTGTCGATAAACATTTTTCTCCAAAGCTAACTTTATGATTAATATTGTCATCTGATTCCCTACTACATGTTGATGTTGAAGAATTGACAGGTGAAAGTGATGGCGAACTGTAATTACAAATGTCCAGTCAAAAATATTATTTTACTTCATGAGTAATTTAACATGAAATTATTTAAGTTTTTTTTTCTACTACTATATTCAGAAATCTTTTTTTGCTTGTCTTAGTCTTACAGTATCCCCCAGCTAAGGCATTAATTTTTCTGGAAGAACACAATGATCTCTGAATATATAGTAAGATTTATAAAATATTATTTCTTTTATCCATTAAAATATACCTGGAATCTATAGAACCTTCTCGTTGTTCGGTGAGCCACCTCATTTTTGTTAATTTTAGTTTCTTTGGATTTACATACTGATCAAATTCATCACTATCTGATAATTCAAGGTCTTCTTCAAATTTGATCGTCTACAAAATAATAAAATTTGTATTAATTTGCCATTAGTAGAGTCGTATATGTATAATATGCATATATAATAAAAAAATATATCGGAAAACTGGAAATAAAACAATGCGTTTTTCTTTCTAATCCGTAACTTTCATGTAATGAAGCTTATTTACTGCAAATTTATAAAATATAATATTCTCGTAACTCACGTTGGGCTTTCGTTGTACTTCATGTTCTACTTTAGAGTCATTGTGTTTTTGAGATTCGACGAGTTCGTGTAATGCTTTTGATCTTTCTACTTGAATTGGCTGGTCTTCAATAAGCTGAAGCATGCAATTTTTATCAATTTGTTTATATAATTCATACAAATAAAATTTAAATTGGTTGTAATTGTGATTTAATTTTCAAACTATTATTATTAACTTCCACAATAATTTATTTACGAATAACTAGACGTAATTACTTTTACTCTGTTATTAAAGAAAAAACATTGAATGCTATTCCGTTACTCACTTCATCAGCATCAACATGTAACGATCGGTCTTGGTTCGGTGAATTCACATCATTTCCAGTTAATTGTCTTACTTCATTGATCAGGCATACATAAGTTAAGTAAACGTTCTGGTCCGATACACTGCTCACCAACTTTACTGGTGATATATGGCTAAAATTTTGGTAGTACCCGTCGTAATGTTTCATATTGCAGAGAATTTTATTGATTTTAGTTGTTACATTACATTCTGTTATATTTTTAGTGTAATGTTTGAAATTGTGATGGTATATAACTGTAATTTAGTTTAGTCAAACCATGTTTTTGATGTGTTGTAAAAATAACATCTTTCAAACAGTTCAAATTTTTTCTTTCAATCAAAAAAGAAGAATAAATTTATACAAAAAGTATAGTTGTAATTTTTTGTATTTTTTTTATATTGGTGACATGAATAAAAACAAATAATAATAAGCTAATAGGGCAGCTGATGGTGAGCTGTTAAGGAGTAACGATGACACTGATCTGACATCTACAGAATGACAAACTCTATCCTCCGCTACTAACTTGTTTTAATTGGCCGTCCAGATTAGATCGCAAGAGTTAAGTGCCTGAAAACTCAGTTCGCATCAAAACTGGAAAACTCGCTTACAAGCACTTTCGCGTTAGTGAAACCAACATACTCAGATAACTACGCTGATGTTGTTCCAAGGCACTATATCTGAGCCCGTCAATAACCCAGTGTTGTTGTCCATCCAGAATAAATTTCAGACTTCCATTTATTTTTAACTGTTTTCCATAGTTCTCAGCATTATTCGGTGAACATCGTTTAGTAATTACCTATGGTTACTCCACCTCTGGACTCGGCTGATGCACCTCAAACGAATTAAAAACTGTTAAGGGGCCCTATGTAGGAATTGTATCCCTACGCAAGCCTTCTAAGAGAACAGGCTTATTTGAGTCTATGAAACTAAAAGAAAATATATAGTAATAATCATAAACACAAGTATGAATAGTTCGCTGTGGGAAAATGTTATACAGCTTTCATTAGATTAGGAAGTAATTTATGTCATGTGCGCTAATTAGCGTCATGGTTTGAATAGAAAATTGAGGCTTATGAACTTTAATGCGGATATATCGCTTTTATATGTTAAAAATTAAGCATATATCACAAAGATTAAATACCACGATGCTAACGACAACTAATGTGGTATTGTTAGTTATAAACATTAGATTTGCTCGGATTCACTTTTATTTAGAGTAGGTATGTTATGTTCAAACGATATATGGAATTTTTACACAACATAACATACCAACTTAAAATAAAATAAAAAAAGTTTAATTTATTCCTATTGTACAATATAGGTACCACATGGAATATAACCTATAATTTTAAATATCTCTACGTATAATTTTTATATTTTTCAAATAAATTAATATCTAAGCCCTATAATTAAAATTTAAAACAAATTAATAATCTTTTATAGCTTGATTGTTAGGTATTCTATTTAAGAGATAGGTTTTATAAGATACGGAAATAAAATATTATAAAAAATATTTCTAAGGGAAGGTATAAATGTACTTAATTTATTAGGCTACTTAATGTAGTGTTTACTATTGGGAAAATAAACAGTTCTACAGAATTCATATTTACATCATGACTGTACAACAATTTTTGTATCAATACTAAGTGGGTATCTATCTTCAGCGCTGGATTTACACTAGTAGGGGCACTCGGGGCTAGTGCCCAGGGCGGCCAAATTCGGAAGGCAGGGTAAAAATTCTCTTCACGTTATCGAAAAAGTTTTGTTTTATTTTCCAAAAAATGATTAATTAAAGAAAAACTAGTATGTTTTTCGAAAAAATGAAATCAATTATATATTTTTTTGCATTTTTACAAAAAATAATAATTAAAAAAACTTTATCAAAACTTTACTCATTTTATGCAAAATTTCGATAATAGGGCGGCATTTTTTACTATGCTCAGGGGCGGATTAATGTTAAATCCGGCTATGTCTATCTTAATGTATAAAATTCCCGTGTCACAATGTTGGTCCGCGATGAACTCCGAAACTACTTGAACGATTTTCATACTGAAAAAATATAACTGTGCCATAGCAACGTGTGACCGGGCTTGCTAGTTACCTATTTGATAAAATAGACGAGAAGTAAAGTAAGTACACGCGTAGCCTTATGGCTCAAGCAACAACCGGTTTGGCATAAGTTTTTACTCTAAGAAAGTAATATACTTACTATTTAAAGTAAAATAAGTGTAGCAAAATATACCAGGTTCAGTGTCCAGTGACCCAGAGTGAATGACACCGGGTCGCGCAAAAAGCAACTTTAACAAAGGAATAACAAAAAAAACTGATTTTCACTCAAGATTAGCGGCTACGGTCCGATCGTCGTGATGAATTCTACCTTTTTTATTACCTGACATTTTCGATGTGAATTAAAACACATTATCAAATTAATAGATAGGCGCTAGTGCGGAAAAATTGTAAATAACTCACGTCTTCAATTTTCTGAAGCTTATGTTCGTAGTATAAAATTGAATCAATTTGTATTTTTGTATATACTCGTATATTATGTACTTTAGTCAATTTAGTTATTAAAAGCTTATAGTTACTTGAGCTAAAAATATAATTTTGAAATATAAAAACAGAAAACAAAACTTGATCTGAATAAACTTTAAAAGTAGAAGAGAATGCTGAAATTTGGGATAGAATTAATTTTATATTTTTATTTTTACATTTTAAATATGAAATGTATACCTATACATACAAATAGGGGCTGTCTTGCTTGTTTTTACATTCCTAGTAGCTTCCTGTAGAAGTATTATGAAATGATGATTAATACTAGCTTAATAAATCTGTATCAAATGTGTATAGCGGTGATTCAAGTGTCAGGGGAGGTAAACAATTTGTAGTAGTAATTATTTTTTATGGTGCACGATCAATCATGCTGTAAAATGATATATATAAAAAAAACAATTAATACTGTCCTATCTCTTACTCTCCTTAAAATATTTTTCAAGTTATTAACATCCATACTATTATTATAAATGCGAAAGTAACTCTGTCTGTCTGACTGTTACCTTTTCACGCTTTATCCCTTGAGCCGATTTAGATGTTTAGTATAGAGATAGTGAGAATGAGACACTGGGAATAGGATATTATTTATCCTGAAAATCATACCTAAAGGGGGTGAAAAGAGGGAGTGGAAGTTTCTATGGGGAATCAATCATTTCTCAAGTAAGGGATATAAAACTCATCATACCTTTGTGTATATACCGAGCAAAGTGAGAGTGAGCCGCTTGTCTATATATATTTTGTTGTTTATTTTCTTTTAATACTAAGATATAATAAAAAGGTTGTTTTAGTATAATATATAGAATACATACAATAAATATATATTGAAATTAGAATTTATCGACATCTGAATAGATATTAGTGTTAATGTCTGCTACTACTACTTTTACAATAAATAATTTTATCTAGCTTAATTTGTACCACATGTTGGCTAGCCCTGAATCACCTCGGTCGAAACGGAGGCTTTGTAGCGTATCATTTCTGTTGTGATGATGGTGTCGGTCTATAATGACAAGCATATTACGATAGATCATTTAATTTTTTTTTGTTATTATTAATATAATTAATTATTTTATTTAATATTTTACGGCACTACTTTTTGTGAATTATGAAACTGTAAGTGTTAAAAAAAAGTAAAAATGACGATGTTATCAGTATTATTTTATGTGTTTACGTTTATGGTAGCTGTTAATGGTCAGTTTGGAAGTAAGTTTATTTTTTTTTATTTGTAGAATTTCCATTTCGAAATTTAAATAATAGTGATGTTATAGTGATACTCTTATTTCTCACTGTTTATGAAAAAAAAACTGCTATTTATTAAAGAAATAACTAAGAATTAATATAAGAAATATTGTTTTAGTTTTAAAATTTAAATATGTAATTCAAGTCACAGTAGTGTGTTTTTATATGTATACTTAGCAAAGTAACATATTAACATAAATATCTACTCGTAATATATAACATATAAGAGAATATACTTAAAAACTTAAGCGGTAAAGTTATATGGCTAGTTATAATAATTTATTTAGATATATACTTATACATATTATTTAGGTTGCAAAAATTAAACATGAAAATTACGTGTAAAAAAAGTGTTTTCAAAGATCTTTTTTTCTTTAAAAGGTTATAACAAAATCCTAATCCACCGATAATAGCTTATATATTGATGTACACGTACAGTGTTGGTGTAAACCCCTTAGTCGTAAAAATGGCACAAAAGCAGCATCATTAACAGAGTGCAATACAAATATGATTGTAACCTCGATATGATTACGATAATTTCCATCATACCCAGTTTCAGGGTCATTTAGTGTAACAAAAGTCATGCATGCACTATTGATGACGGCTACATCTAATTTCATTTTTTTAAATTATTAGGTAATGCAGGCCATTTTTGTTTTTATAGTTGTCTTAAGTTTCGCTTTAAATTTATTGATAGTGTATACTAAATTTACTGTTAAATTTATTATACACTAGCGACTCACCCTTGCTTCGCTCGGGTTCGTCCCTACTTACGTTTTACGTACGTTTACTTACGTTTAGTATATATTTCTCAGAGATGAGATATTTTGCCGCAGTAAACAAACAGTATTCTGTATTGTTGAACCGGATAACCAACTATCATCATACTAAATTTTATCGAAATCCCTCCACAATAGCAAAAATATTCAAGGTACAGCTTTAATGTTTTAAATTCTTGACATGTCTCATACTAAGACAAAATTAATAAACTTTCTAATCATTTATGTAAAGATAAATTAAATATTCATTAAATATGTTCTTTTCAGCCGTATCCATTAGCGTCGATATGAATCCGCCAGCAGAAGTAATGTCCGATCACGTAAGTTATTTTTAATTGTATACATTATATAACTTTACTTTCCAAAAGTACCAATAGAATAGTAAGTAATTATGTTTTGAATGTTTTTCAGAAATGTCCCGCAAATATGTCATGTGTACCAGTAAGCTCATGTCCGTTACTAGAAGATCTAATGGATTACTCATGTTTTACTTCAGATAAGTAAGAATTATTATTATTCAATTGCCGATGATATCATGTAACATAGATATAAAAACCACATACACACTAAAATTTAGTACTTGGACTTTGGTACCTAACGCTACTCTAGACATAGTCTCTATATAGCGAAGCAGCGGAGAATAGGCATTAGGCACACTACATTTCCATTATATTTTCTCATATTTTTCCGAAACGAAAATAGTATACAATATAAAAAAATATATATTTAAATATTTTTAAAGGTACTTCCACCGTTTGAATTCGTTATCTTGTGGTCACATGAATAATGAAGACTATGTATGCTGTCCATCTTGCGAGTGCGCGAAGGTATATGCACCGGGTACACCTCAGTGCGGGAAAAGTATGGTAAACGGAATAGATTATAATGACCTTGGGGCTCATCCATGGGTGGCTAGGATAGGCTTTACAAGTAAGAAATTGCAAAATTTTTTAATATTTTTACCTCTCAAGTATTTAAATTACCTACTAGTAATTATATTTTTTTAGATAAAGATACGGGAAATGTAAGGTTTGCTTGCAGCGGTTCAATCATATCTAAGCGTGTAGTTCTTACAGCCGCACATTGCGCTCTGGCCAAACCAGAAGGATATAAATTGTAAGTATATAACATTTTTGCTTTCAAAGATGGTCAAGTTATATTTAATTAAAAATACCCTATGCATATTATTTTAACAGTATCTAGTAAGCTTTAATTTAATATGATATTAGCGACTCACCCTCGCTTTGCTCGGGTTCGTTCCAAGATTGATTCCCCATGCAAACTTTCATCCCCATTTTCATCCCCTTAACGGATGATTTCCGGGATAAAAAGTATCATATGTTCTACCCAGGGTCTTAAACTATCTTCTTACCAAATTTTATCTAAATCGGTTCTGTAGATCCAGAGATTATCCCCTACAACGTCACAAACTCACAAATTCATAATCAAAACTTTACCTCTTTATAATATTAGTATAGAAAAGCTTTAATGTCGAACTATTCTCATGACAACTACGTGAGTACGTGCCGTAATTCGTTATATTTCATAAATTCAAATACTATAAGTGTAATGATTCATATTTTAAGTATTTTGTTTCTATTTACTTAAAATATAAATTCATCATAATCATCATTCATCTTCTGAATATATTTTATTTTAAATATATTCATATAAAGAATTATATGAATATATTTAAAATAATTAATTCTAGGGCGGGCCAACTTTGACAACATCCTCCGTTTTGAACTTTGATTATGTTTTTTTTATATATTTAAGGTCAACAGTCGTAATAGGTGAATGGGATATAAGCCGTAGTCCTGATTGTAATGAATACTTCTGCGCGCCAGCAACTCAGGCAATTAAAGTAGAGAGTGTAGTCGTGCATCCTGGATATGAACAGAAGATATTTCGACATGACATCGCTATGATCGTTTTGAAAAACGACATCAAATATTCTGGTAAGTTTGCTGATATTTTAAAATATCCTTAGATTAAAATATAAAAAATAATGCGTAAATGTAAAAAAGACAAATAAAATCTATATATACCATTTCATTTCTGGCGTTGCAATTTAATCTAAAGGAGATCGTATCCCGTTGATTTTAAATATTGGGCATGACACATCTACATATTTCGGAGTTATTTTATATTTTATGGACCTTCGACACAAAGGGGTCGTAATTTATTTAGATTTACTTGTTTATTAATAAGACATTTTATTATTACAGCTTGATATACATACTTATTGCTGTGATTTTATTTTCACTCAGTCTATGTCTGTCTGCAAGCTTTGACCCGCACCTATTCAATATGAAAATGTTTTCACGTACTAATGTACATAATATATATTATAGGATGTTAATAATTATATTGGAAATCACAACAAAATAAAATAAGGGACGAAATTGTGTAAAAAAACAATAATAATTAACGATTTTTGCTTGGTACATTACACTAAATGCTTTAGTGACATTGAAATTACATATGATAGGTTAAAGTGTCCTTGTACAAGGACATGTATGAGCAATAATGATATCGTTGATCTAGTTACTGATAGTATTGCTTTATTTCAGTAACCGCCGCGCCGATCTGTTTGAATGATAAGCCGGAAATAGTGATCAACGAGCGCGCTTCGCTGGTCGGCTGGGGAAAACTGTCAGGGCAAAACAACTTGGTATGCTGAAACATATTTTGTTTTATAGGCATATTTATAGTTTTTAAAAAATTTTGTCGAAATAAAATAATACAAAATTGTGTGTATAAAATAACAGCAAATGTCTACAATAATACATTTATAGATAGATTGAAAGTATTCAATGTAATCTGAATAAAAATTCTAGCATTTTACCATTTTTTAAAAATTTTGAATAATTAATTTCGTTCTTGGCTCTGTTAGTATTAATATTACTTCATATATGGTTTCAGAGCCAAAATTTTCAACTAACAACGAACAGGAATTCAGGCATTTCCAGGCAATAACGATTGTGCTATTACATTATGTATGTATTTAATTTCATACGTCCTAAAGATTTATTTAAAATATCTGTATTTCAGATCGGTCGTCAGCAACAATTGCGCGTGCCTCTTGTGCCTTTAGAGACATGTGAACGTATTTTTGGTGAGTCAGTGCCTATAAATGAGAGCCAGCTATGCGCTGGTGGAGAAGAAGGAAAAGATGCTTGCTCTGGTTTCGGCGGGGCTCCTCTCATTATAAGTAAAGACGGCCAATATTATCAGGTAAACGAACACAGAGAAGTTTTTTTAATATATAGATAAATTATAATATTTTTCTAACTTCTGTTAATTATTCGAGGCCACACAATAGAATTTTTACACTATATAATTTGTTTTTTTTTTACCTAAGTAGGTATAATTCAATTTTAAAAACATTAGACACCTTAATAAATAAAGTTTAAAATTATAATAATACAAAATACAATTTTATTAAATTTAATTGTTTCTTAATGTCGTTTTTACAGGTTGGGATAGTATCTTTTGGATCTGAAAATTGTGGCAGCGAAGGTATTCCCAGCGTGTACACGAGCATTGCCCACTATAATAAGTGGATAGTGGAAAATATGCCATCGTAATTTTATTAAGATTTACTTACAATAATTTGACAGTGCAATTTTAATTTAATAAAGATATTATAAATTTCCGATGGCTGTATTATTATTACTATTTCTATCACAAATATATATATATATATATATATATATATATATATATATATATATATATATATATATATATAGTATTCTGAATTAGTGCTTGACTACGTTCCACCTGATGGTAAGTGGTAACGCAGTCGTAGGTCGCACTAATTCAGTAGCTACCTATTCACTCTTGCCTTGAAGACTTGAAACACCGACGCCGGCAGGTTGTTCCAATCGTAAGCCGCACGTATAATGAAAATATTACGAAATTAGAAAAAATGAAAATAAACAGAGTAGTTAACGTAAGAGCAGCTAATTTTAATTTCACGGGTGTTACTAGATATATCATGATTTTCAACTTATCATTTGATTTAAATCTCCTTGTCGTGTAAGACAGTTTGTATATTCTCGAACATACTATATTTAATATATGTAAATAATATTATAATGTGAATATTATCGTTAACATTTAATGTATAAGATCTGGCAAGTAAAAAGCACCTTACTGCTAATGCCGAATAAAATAAATATTATTATGCAGAGACGTTTTACGTTACTTTTTCAAGTTTATTTCATTATGATTTTTTATATAAAAGGTTGCGTAACGCTATGTAATTATAGTGTCGCGCGCACGGTGGGGTCACCATAAGTATAGAGCATAGAGTTCCGATTAGGTCTTCCTGAGCTGAATCTTGGATGTGTTGGTCAAATACCTGAAAATACCATTGTTTTTTTATTGTGTATTTCTAAATATCAACTAGCTAAGTTGTATATATTAATTTTTATAAACTCTGAATAATAAATAATAGCTCAAACTCTTAAGAGCGCACCGAGGCAATAACGAAACAATTGCGTTCGTTTTATCCCTTCCTGTATTGTTATTACTTAAACTGTAATTATGCAATAAATATGTAGGATATTTAAGAATTTATTCTATAAATCATACACTTTAGAAACCCGATTACTTGTAGTTTCCTCGATAGAACAAAAATTCCAAAATGATATCTAAAAACAAAATAAACCCTTAGTGCGGCGTAAATAATTCAAGAAAATTTATCAGTTTTTTAATAATAACAAAACGTAAAATAATAACGTACGTTTTCTTGAAAAGAATCTTTCTCTCAGTGTAATGATATCCTTATCCAGACATATATATTCAGACATAAACGATTATTTTATAGAAATATAAAAAAATGATAATTTAAACATAATATGTACTCACTCCGTCAATAGTAACAGTAGGCACGAAATTAAGGTGCACTAAGCTGGTGTAGTATTCTGATTCCAACTGCAACATTGTTCCTTGCCCAGAAGAAACGCATTGTTCAATTCCTTCATTTGGAAGACCAGCTTTTTCTATACACTGTAATAGAATATCGGACTACTATTATAATAACAAAAGTTTGTATGTATGTCTTCTTAACGGTGAAACGGCTTGGAATTGGATGAAATTCAGTATACAGATATACCTGGACATACCTACCTTTGGCACCTAGGGGCGCATTCAAGTCTAAGCGATGGTTATAGTACCTATTACATTCTTTCAATACTTAATTTTATATATAAATATATGTTGGGACATTAAGACACAGCGCCATCTAGTTTCATGATAGGCTACGAGGCTTGTGTTATGGATACCAGGTAGTTGATACACTACACATATATAACTTTAAATACATACATATTATAAATATAAACACCCATGACTGGAGTACAAACGTTCGTCATTACACAAATGAATGCCCCCAGCGGGACTCGAACCCGCGTCCGCTGGCACAGCAAGTAGGGTCACTACAAACTGAGCCAAACGTGTCGTTAATTATATAGCTAAATAATAATAAAATTTTATTTATTAAAATATCTGTTAATATAATTTTTTCATAGATATTTTTATTTTACAATCACTTTTCTGACCAATTAAAAAACTAAAATTTGTTAATATAATGTTCCCATCTAACTGCGTATTTCTCTTTGTTTATTATGGATGTCTCATAATATCTTCATTGAGTGGATCTTCACAATGTACAAGAATACCTTTAGGTACTATATTTAAGTACATAAATCAACATAGGCTCTTTTTTATTTTTTAAATCTAAAAATCTAAGTGGCCAAAGAGTATAATTTTGTACGAAACTTTTCTTGATAATAATTATTATGCCAGCTTTTATTAAAAAAAAGATGTCTTACTTGAAAGGATTGGATAGGATAGGATGGCTCTTTGTATAAAAATTTACTCAGAATGCAGACTACTTCACGAATGTGGAATAAAATTTACATGACCTTTTGTAGTATATCGTAGAATTACGAATACAGACGTAGGTTCTGTACTCGTTTACATTTCCGGTGGAACTATTAACGTTAACTTAATAATTTTTTATATAACAAAGATCCTAATAAGCGGATATCAAGATATATAGATATTCTAAGGTTTTTCAAGATCACATTATTTAGTAAATTGTTAATTAAAAATAATGTGAAAAGAACTACTTGCATTTTTAATAATAATTTTAAATATGAAATATGTTAAAAGAAAAAATATATGAAATAGATTTACTTACATCAAATTTGCCGTTTGAACCTGCTTCCGTTGCCATCTCACAGGCGACATAAGCTAATTTCTTTTTATCACTTTGCGCCTTAAGATAATGTAAGCTGCAATCTTGGACCATATTCCCTAAACATTCGGCAGATCCGTGTTGACATTCAAAGCCATCATCACCGTAGTTTATACTCTGGAAAATATCGCAATAATTCACGTAAAAAATCTTGCTTGATAAATTTATTTATTTCATTACTTTTTATTTTAGTCCCATAGAATATACCTATTACATTTTGATAATCATGATAGTTTAAAATATCTTGTATATAGATACTTTTTATGCAAATAAGATTTTTATCAGCCATTAAAGTTACTGAGTGATATACGTGCAGCAGTTAGTAGTACCTACTTTCTTAGATTTATGCGAATATTTGACAATTAACATTTTAAGACGAACCGTCTGTCCCGTGACCATGATTGATGTAAAGCATTATAAATGTCGGGAACAAAAAATCAAAATAAATTCGCGAAAAAAACCGAAAAAATAGTTTTATTAAAAATGTTCTTAAGAGTTTAGTAGTACCAGTAAATCATGTCATGTTAAATGTTAAAGTTGATAACTTCCGAGTTATTTTACGATTTTTATTTATAAACTTGTTTATATGTTTTTAACTATATTTTTTAATCTTGATCATTGTCAAGCATATTAAGCTAAACATATTTGCGTAAGCTATTTTTTTATTTATTAGGTATAACATTAAATGTTTATTATGTAATAAAAATATGCAAGCATTTAGTTTATCTTGCGGGTTTGTCAACGTTCGGGGATCGAACCTGCGATCATTTAATATTAACAGATGAATCTGCAGTGAACAGCACTGTGGTGGTTTTTGTCCGCATGTGATTTTAAGGGTACGTGATGGTCAGGTTGCCAATGCCAGCTATAGTTGTGCGATATAGGACCAAAAGCTATCAAAGCAGAAATTTAAACTTACTCTAGATTTTCCAAATGGTACCAATTTTAATGATAAATATTCGTGAAGTAGATGTAGAGCTGGTTGTAACTGCTTCAATATAAAGGCCTTACTGTCAGGACAATTGCTTTCATAGTAGATAGTAAGCAACAACTGTAAAAAATATTATCAAATTTAATTTAGAATTAACTCATATTGATTTAAAATGGTGATCAAATATTATAAATTAATAAAGTTAAATGCAGGCTACGTGAAATATTCTACTTTGATCATGGTCAGGCCTTCTCGTTAGGTCCTTTTCTTACTTAACCCAGTCACCCTCACTACCTACCTACAATGCTGTACATATTTAACGAATCTAATATTCTACAATAATTTGCCTTCGTCATTTCACAAACCAGCAAGTTTAAACTTCAACAGTTGCAAGCTTCGTCATTTGCAAACAAATGGCCCCGTTTGTATAACGACGAAATGTACAATATGCATGTGACACATATGTACATATGTATTATGTATGTATGTATATTGTATATGTCTATACAAGATTTTTACGTTCTTGGTGGCAAAATCAAGTTTAAATTTATAGGAGCAATGCCAGTACATTGCAGTGGCAGTACCTAGCAAGTGAACTTTAAAAATGATTAAACAAAAAAAAGTAAAAGTAGATGAGCCAGTCATTGCTCCGAAGAAAGGAATCATAACTACTATAGAACATTCCACAATGTACTTATTTTGACTTTTGATCTTTGTTTAAGCCCTGATATGTTTCATATAGCTACATATATGAATTAATCCAATATTGTTTTATGATCATATCAGGACAACTTTTACTGCTCTACTTTACCATATTAACTATGTTGACCTCGCCGGGGGGACTAACTGCTAACTAAATTTCGACATAAGACTATTTATAAATTTACATTTGTTCAAATGTAATGCATCAATAATAAAAAAGAAACTACTCGTATTACTTATAATAGGAAATTACTCAGTCTTTCATTTGAGCTCATTGTACAATAAAGTTAAATCTTTAAAACAATATTTAATACATCGATCCTTATAGCAGTTAGTCTTGTATGGGATAGGAACGAAACTATTATATAATTACTGGCTACTGAATACGTAAATACGGCAATCAGGTGTGATATAATACTTTATATGTACATATATAATTTATAGAGATATTTCTGATATCGGGATAAGAGTTATTGCTCTTAAAGTCACAGATATCTGATAATAAAATATAGATACTTGACAACATACAAAGAGTAAAAAAGTTAAATAAATAAATTTTCAGTAAAGCTGAAGGATACTTTAAAAGTGACGAAATATGTTAAAATATTATAAACCTTCACGGGCAATTTAAATAAATACTCTATTCATTTTCACTATTGTGGTAATGTCATGGCAATTACTTAATACTTAGGAAACTGTGACACATAATCTATCTATATAAATAAAAATGAATCACCGAAATGTATGTACACGCATAACTTCCGACCGACTGCACCAAATTGGATAATTCTTTTTTTTGTATTTTTTATTCTCAGGACAATTTTTGTAGAAGAGAATAAATAAAAAGATATTTATTTTTATTAAAATAAGATTTTTTTAAATGCCATGATATGAAAAGTGAATGAGTGAAATAGTTTTTATCCCGGAAATCATCCCATAAGGGGTTGAGAATGGAGATGAAAGTTTGTATGGGGAAGCATGCTAGGGACGAACCCGAGCAAAGCGAGGGTGAATCGCTAGTGGTAAATATATTTTTTATATTCGTCGCTTGTAGACAGTTTTAAAAACTTAATCATTGAAATACTTATAAAGAACTGTAATAAAGTTTTGCGAATCGCATCTACAGCTTAGGATTAAACAAGTTTTTGCAAGTACCGATATGTAAATAGATAAGTACTATTTTAATGTAAGAACATTTATACAAGTGTAAGAAACGTTTGTATAGAAATTGGTATTTTAAATCATGAAAATAATTTAAAATAAGCAAGTGTGTGATATAGCTATGTTTAATATATTTAAAATAAATTTTAGAAATATTTTAATCTTTTATGAATATTTTTAATATTATCAATAGCTATAATTAAAAATAATTATAGCTATTGATAATATGAGAAAGAAAATAAATATAGATTATATCTTACCTTACGTGGTACAGCGTTACTAATTTGATCCACAGAAATAAGTATTAATATAAATAAAAGTTTTAAATGCACCATACTTTATAAAATATTATTAACATTTACAAAAATACGCTAAACTATAAGTAAACTTTTTGCCATATAAAAATTGTAGCACGACTATGCTATATACATTTTTAACATACGTGTGAATAGTCCAATTCCCGCAACAGTTGTCGAGTACGCGCAGTTGGTCGTTTTGACTGTTTACATACACTAAGCGTAGTTGTAGCTAAAGTAAATGCTTGTAATTGGAAAATAAAATAATATGTTATATATATGAAAAAATAATATTTAATTATTATAAAATTATATTTAATTAATGTACGAATCTCAAATGTACATAATATATCTCTTAATATATATGAATGAAGTGTATGCTCTTAAAATGTATATAAATTTGGGCATTTAAAATAATATTTTCAACCGACTTCAAAAAGGAGGAGGTTCTCAATTCGACTGTATATTTTTTTATGTTTGTTACCTCAGAACTCCGTCATTTATTAACCGATTTGGACAATTTTTGTGTTGTTTGAAAGTGTATACTTCCAGATTGGTCCCATTTAAATTCACAAAAAAATACCACCCCTAAGGGTGGAAAAATAGCTAATGATGAATTTAACCTACTTCTAAATGTCATATTGACTTGAAACTTTGCAAATGTTTCTATTTCCGTTGATAGTACAGTGGTTCGGTATTGTTGACCTGATCTGATGGCAAGGCCAGAAGGTGGATAGGAGGAACTCTTCAACGGCTAATAGATACGCACACCGACTTCGAAAATATTTGTTTAGGTATGTATAGTAAATGAAAACTACCAATCAGTTATTTTTTACTTTTTAGTGCTTTTGTTTGAAGTCGGTTTTTATTTTTTTGTTAAAAAGTTTTTATTTTTCCCTTTTTTAATAGATTTTTATATATTTTACTTACAAGTACGTGTTTTTTCTTAATATATTAGCAAATCATGCAAATTTGTGTGTATAATGCATAAGCAAATGCAAAACACAGAATGAAGATCCAGTACGGTTGAATAAGGTAGATTATATACGATATAAGAAACAGTATGACTAAAAAATATACGATTTCCATTTAGTTTTAGGCTGCAGTTTTTATTGATATTAATAATGACATTTTGTTGTTATGACAAATTTAAAATGTCATCTCCAGAATATTTATGATTATAATCTAAGAGCGTAACTATAAGCCAATAAAGAAAAAAAATCTAAGAGCGTATGTTGTATTTTTTATTTTATGCTCTTTAGGCAAATTAAATTTTATTTCTTTTAAAATTATTTTTCTGATTTAAAAAATATTGATTGAAATTATTCGACAAATAATATGTACACAATTATAAATATCTATGAGGTTAGTTGTAGAATCTTTTTACTTAGGAACTAAAAAAAATTTACTTTAAAAAAAAAAGCAAAGAGAAATCAACCTTGGAAGGAGATAATTTTTTTTATAGTATTCTGAATTAGTGCTTGACTACGTTCCACCTGATGGTAAGTGGTAACGTAGTCGTAGATGGTAAGTCGCACTAATTCAGTATTCACTCTTGCCTTGAAGACACCCATGTTATAATCGGACGGAAACACCGACGCCGGCAGGTTGTCCCAGTCCTTAGCCGCACGTATAATGAATGACGTTGCGAAACGCTTCGTCCGGACGGATGGAATGTCCACGACATAAGGATGGAGACCAGCCGTTCGTCGGGTTGTCCGATGGTGGAAAGGGGACGGAGGAATTAAGTCATGTAGTTCCTGCGCGCACTCTCCGAAATGTAACCTATAGAATACACAGAGGCTGGCAACCCTACGTCGGTGATCGAGGGTTTGTAAGTTAGCTTTTACCAGCGTAGGGTCACCAATAAGCCTGTGAGCACGCCTCTCAATTGAGTCCAAGGCTGACAGATGGCATTTCGCAGCACCAGCCAATATGTGACTACAGTATTCCACACACGACCGGACTTGAGCTTTTATAAAACAAGAAGCTGTCCCGGTGTGAAATACTGTCGGACCTTTGCTAGTATGCCAACTTTCATCGCTGCAACATTAGCCTTGGACTCGATGAACCGCCCGTAGTTCATGTTGGGGCAAATGTCCATGTCCAACAACTGTAGACGGTCAGTATATTCCAGAGGCACATTCCGGAAAGTAGGAGTCAAGGTGAAAGGACTCCTTTTTGTGGTGAACAGACACGCCTGTGTTTTGGTGGCGTTGAAACTCACAAGATTGGCATCGCCCCAAGTGGAGACTGTCCTGAGTGTGAGATTTAACCGCTCTACCATGGCCTCTCTTTCGGACTGAATTTGATCTCTACTGGCCCGAGGATTCGGCAGGTATCTCTCTACAATAGTGCTGTCGTCTGCGTACCCATAGATACCGGGTATAAGCAGGTCGTTGATATGCAGCAAGAACAAGGTTGCAGAGAGAACAGACCCCTGAGGAACTCCTGAGTTGGTCTTTAAGGGTTGTGATGAACAACCCTCAACCACAACTATGAGTGATCGATCGCTCAGGAAGTCTTTAATCCAGCCGATCAGACCAGGAGATATGCCATAGGCTCAAAGCTTGCTTATAAGGCTAGCGTGCCAGACCCTATTAAACGCCTTCGAGACATCGAGGGAGACGGCAATCGCCTCCCCGCTTCGCTCAAGAGCTTCGCCAAAGATGTGATTGGCATGTAACACTAGAAGGTCCCCAGTTGACTGATTCCGGCAAAACCCATATTGTCGATCACTGAGGAGATCGTTCTGTTCTAGGTATGCCATAAGACGTGTGTTCAATACACGCTCCATAATCTTGCAGATTATGGAGGTGATTGAGATCGTTCGATAATTGGTAGGGTCAGCACGGCTTCCTTTCTTGGGCACTGGTTGCACGTTGGCAGACAATTAGCTGAGTGGCCGTCTACATCGGGTACCCTCGTCGCTTGTTCAACCAACTGGGAGAGTCCAAGTGACACCGCAAACTTCCACGCTTCTCTCCCAGCATGGTCTGTCTTCTGGTATGGGAACAACCAATCTTCATGATGGGCGTTAAAGTCCCCCAGAAAGACAAGCTGCGCGGTGGGGTACCGTTGCATAGCCACATCAGCGGCCTCACTGAGATATTCAAACAATCGAGTTGTCTCCTGGTCACCTGTGTGCGATCGGTAGACACAGGAATACAGGATCTTTTCGATGACATTACCCAGATTGTAGAGAATGTGTGGTCTTCAAGGTGGCGGAGACGCTGGAAACAGAGGTCATTTCGTACGTACAAACAGACACCGGCCCGTGAGCTGAAATTATGCTCCAACGTGTAGCCGGGATAGTCCAGGTACGCAGCGCTCAATGGACATTGAATCTGCGTCTCCGTCAAAAAGAGCATGTGTGGCTGCGCAGTCTCGAGGTGGAAGTGGACTGATGAGAGATTTGTGTGCAATCCTCGGATATTAGTGAGTTGTACTTTAAGTGAGGGGGAGTGCAGCCGCTTAAAAACATTATTCTTTTTTTCTTGTCATGGAATTTAACATCATAATATATAAATAATAATATATAAATAATAATAATATAATAATATAATAAGCTGAAAGTTATATAAACTTTCGTTTTGGCATTCTAAATGATGTGTCAAAAGTTCATATTACAATTTCTTGTCCGTATCTTTAAGATATTAAAGTCAAACGGCCCAAAAATCATTTTTTGCAAATATCTCATTTCTTATGCAATAAATGGTATTTGCATATATAACAAAAGCTGTAGAGCATACAATTCTCTACAATTTTTGCAAAAACACTTTTTTTTACTTTTAAGATATAGCATATAGAGCCATATATTATGACGTAACTCAGTCACTACTAACATTATATACAGCTATAATAAAATCAATTCGTTTAATAATACAACTTATTACCTTTCAATCCCAGGTTAAACTCATAATATAAACTATATAGGGATAACATTTGATTACAAGAAGTATTTAAGCGTTTTGAAAATTATTATTATGTAAACCTTTTTGTTACTTATACAGTATAGTATTATATGATCTGTGCTTATACTGAATTTACTAATAAATTATAGCTTAAACACTCTTTGCGCTTTTGCTATTAAGCCTTTTATTTCTTTCGACATATTGATCTATTACTGAACTTATAAGTCTCCCTGAGCCAAGAGAAGAACTTTCTGTTTTATAAAAATGCTTTAGAGAAGAATCTTGTTGTTGAATGTTGGTTTGTAAACTTCCTAACGATCTTTGGTAGTAAGACCTGACTTCCTCTTCATAGTTACGTATTTGAGATTCTGGCCGTGATGTTTGTTGTACATATTTATCTCTAGTTTCTGTTAATAAAGCTCTGAAAAAATCACAATTTATAAAATTAGTCTAAATAATAAAAATGTTATGTAATCCCATCAATTATTTAATTAATTAATGAATTAGTAATTAATTACTTTAATAATCTTACTACTATTATAAATGCGAAAGTTTGGACGAATGTTTGAAACTAAATCACGCCAGAATGGCTGAACGAATCTGGATGAAATTCGGCACAGAGATAGATTATAGTCTGGAATAGCACATAGGTAACTTTTTATCTCGGAAAAACGTACGGTCTTGTAGGATAGATTTGTTTCTGTTTTCCACTGAGATTTTTTATACCATACTAACCGTTAAAACGTACCTAGGTAACCCGAACAAAGCGAGGTTGAGTCGCTAGTATGTTATATAAAGTGTTTATATCTAAAATACCTTATAATAAATACCTTGGCACCCAGTGTGTTTGGTTATGTGTTCTTATCTCCCGAAATTCACTCTTAAATTTCTCTTTATCATATACTGATTTGAATTTGCTAAGTGGTAGACGCCATTCATCTATCCTTGGTTTTGGAGAACGTACCTTAAGATATAATACACAGTTAATTACCATAGATACTAATATTAAATTAGTGTAATTGGTTTATAAGGCCATGAGTTGAATTTGATAAAATTTCGTACCTACCATTAACTAAATAATCTCTTAAAATTGTATAATAACAACTATAAAAGAAAGTCGTGTTAGTTACACTATTTATAACTCAAGAACGGCTGAACCGATTTGGCTGAAAATTGGTGGAGAGGTAGCTTAGAACCAGGAGACGGACATAGGATTTTTATTCCGTTCGACCGCGTTCACGTGACATAAAACTCAAGAATGGCTGGACCAATTTATATGATATTTGAATTTTTGGATTTCTCTTAGTCCGGAATAGGATAATAAGTATTAAAACATCAGAACAAATAACGAAAAAAAATATTAAAATTTATATGGCTAATGCTGGCTAATAACTATTTATACTCTTTAAAACGTACCTAGCGACGAACACGAGCGAAGCGAGGGTGAGCCGTTAGTTGATTTATTAAAACAGTCTTATAAGTACAGATTAAAATAATTGAATCAGAAAAATAACCAATTAAAATGTCCTCGTGGTAGACAAGAGTCATCACAGAAAACCTGACACAAAGGATGCGATCAACCTTTCAGTTTTATTGTACTATGGCATCCAGAAAGATATTTGCCAAAAAGTTATTACTTATTCAATAATACTAAGACTAAAATAATTTTAAAAGTTCGTACCCATGGAGTATCAGAATATGTGTAATATGTAAAAATGTCCTTTGTGTTTGAAGGTCGGCTTAGTTGTTCAGAAGTAAATGGTCGGTGACATAACTTATTCGTAGTCAAATATGGATCCAAGTATTTTTCAAACCCGTCGTGTGTGGTATATATTGTTTCTATTTCGTTTTCAAATGGTTCTACTTCTGGCTGATATGTAAGTAAAAAAATAAACTAGTACATAAACGATAGTAGAATTTTAACTAAAATAAAAAAATAAAATGTTAGTATGAGTATATAATATAAAATGTTCTTGAGAGAAAGTCGTTTACACTTTCAACATATGTACTACTCACTAATTCTAGCCGCAGCGAAGCAGGATGTTTAAACTGGTCTTTATTTGTAACAAGCCTAGAATGTGAAACAGGCTCTGTAAATGAATCTTTCATCTCACTGGTCCCGTGTGCTGTATGTGCTGGTGTTCTATCTGTAAGCTATAGATAGTTTTGGCTATAGATTTTGTAGGTTAAGTTGCTTAAATTTTTCCCCTGAATATCTGAAGTGCATCTGGTATTTCAGCCATTTTTCCTAGGTCCAAAGCGCACTTGAAAAGGCTATCTCGGTAGGAGTCAGTAAGTGATGCAAGCTAGTTTCTTCTACTTCCCTAATAGCAAATTGGACTAAGAGGGCAACCCATTTATTGTTTTGGATAAGGAGGAATACAACATGTTTTAAAAATACCCTAACTAGTGTACCCAAGTTAGGACGCGGCTAGGTAATGCATGCGATTTTAACCCTCGAAAAGATTTACCACGGTAGGCCAGCAATCGGGGTGTCGTGATTGAATGCCAATATAACATTGCCCAAATAGAACAGTAGGATTTAAAAAAATATTTAGACAAGTTTTTACAAAAAAACGTATTTTTGTCGTTCATCATACTTCTCGTACTTACTTACTTCAACTTTATCTTAAAAAGGTTTCTGTGATTAACAGTAGATAGAATTAAATTAAAAATCAATAAAACTATATTACATAATATAAATTATGGCGTGGTAGAACTACGGGATTGGCCATTTTATTTTACTTTCATTATTATTATTCGTTGTTTACTTACCTTTTTACTCGGCGGGTAGTTTTGATTACCAGAGGTGTGTTTGTTAAATCGGGTTATTTCAGGAATTTTATATGTAAAGTCGAGGGCAGTTTGTGATTTTGTTAATTCATTAGTTACTTCGTAGTCTCTACTGTATTCATTTTCTTCACTTGAATGCTTTTTCTGATAACATTAAAATTAATTAATATAAAAAGTCAATGTATATGAAAGTGAGCTTTTATTTAAAAAAAAATATCCATTTCACATAACTTTATATTATGTTTATATTTTTTAAGCTAGTCTTTTCTAGTTTATTTCATGTAGATAGATTCATATATAGATATAAATAGGCAAAGACAAAACCACACAGTCTACCACCAACAACCAGTCAGTACCTTTTTCTCCTCTGTTTGTCAATCGAATTTCTCTTTTTTATTTAGTAGCTATTGACGAACGCTAAATGTTATCAATAAAATATTTAAAACAGTCTTTTATATGTATACATATATATAGGTAAATTCTGTTCATACATGTTTTCCTTAAAGTGCGAGTAATGATTATTATAAACCATAAAAAAAATTATATATATTAGATGCCTAATATAACTCATTAAATGTATTACACGCATACTTACAAGTCCCGTCAATACTTCAGGTGGTGGTCTCCATTGCCGACCGATAGTTTCACTAGAACTCTCAAAAGCTGGGAATTTTCTCACTGGATAATTTATGTGAACTGGGTCCCAATAGGTAAGTGGTAGCTTCTTGGGGTAATTAGCTTGCATGTTTTCCATAACAATACGTAAACGAAACTAACTTAATAATTAATATTAAAATCAGATAGGTTAATAATAGGTTAGTTAATTTAATTAATACTCAATGTTAATAAGATTCTTTTAGCTTAGACAAATATTGCTTTAACACCTCCAGGTAAATTTCTAAGAAATTAATTAATTTTTTAAGAAATCCATTGTTAACTGTAACGCCGGCGTGAAGAGAATAAACTTATTTCTTAGGTATTAATAAGACGATTTTTCTCAAGTTAACGTGCATTTACATTGATATGCAAGCTCTTGTTGCTATGATATTATTGATCAGACACATAGGTGATCTATTTAATATACCTATTTGTAGTTTGTTAATTGTTTGAATTGGGGCGGGAATCCTATTTAAAAACTCCAATAGGATCCCATCAAAAGCGACAAAAGCCACATAGAGACCAATAAACATTTATTGGTTCCTATGTGGCTTTTGTTGCTTTTGGTGGGATTCTATTGGAGTTTTTCAACAGGGGAGGTAGCATGACGAGGGTTTATAAATTAAAAGTTTTCGAAATTCGCACTTTGGTGTAGTTTTTGACTAACATTATTTTTTACGGAGATTGCTGATTTAATTTTCGCACGCAATCGATATTTATATTGTATTTAGATGTGAAAGAAATTGAAGGTGGGAATCCAAAAATTATGAGAACCATTTTGTAACAGAAATGAAGAAGGAAGGGAATGATTCATTGTACATTATGACTGGACACCTTTAAACACAGGATCTCTAAAGACATTAAAACTAATAATAAAAGGATAGAAAAAAAATCTGAGATTTGTTTGGTAAAAATTCTTTTTATTTTCACAAATGACTGAAATCGTTATCAGAACACAATATACGTGTTAGCTAACTTTAAAATACAAGACTGCAATAAATACAAAACTGTACTTTAACATGTAGTATTACTACGAGATAAAATATAAAAAACACATACATGTAATCATAACAGAATGTGAGTCGGAATTTCTTAAAAAATGTTAAAATATAAAATTGTAAAATTAGGAAAAGAAAATATATTTAAAAATTAAAATTTAAAGACACTTTTCCTGTTTTTTTTTAAATAGTTTAAGCGATAGGTAGTTAAAATTCGTAGTAATACTATATGTTTTAACACATTCGAATATGGCGATATTAATTATTGATTGTAATATTTGGAAACTCATCGATGTTTACTTATTCGATAAATTGATAGATCCACTTCAGTCCTTGCTGCTTACAAATTACTCATAGAAGCTCAAAATTCTATTATTTACTGTTTACAACTAAATATAGAGCTGGAATTTTTTGGTAACATATTTAATAGAGCATATTGTATATGTAAACCTATTTGTAATATGAATATTGTACATGTATGCTATTATAATTGCTAAATAACATTAAATATTACACTGTAACCCTATTTAAGTATGCATGCTTCTTAAAATATTTTAATTTTTTTTATATAAAGTGCTACCATATAAATGACTTTATTTCGAAAGGTACGTTTCATAGGTCAGCAAGTAACGACGTTATATCGTACGAACAAAAAGCTAATAATATTTATGGAATAGTTTGTCATTGAAAAAATAAATTAATTAATAAACAGACTCACTAAATTTGAGCAACCATCAAGTTACAACATTGCCACTACAAAAACTGCTTTAAATGGTTTTTTTACATTGACTGGCAAAAACATTTTATTTTGTTTTTCAATGCAAAATTATATTCATAAAAAAATTAGAAGTCAAGCCAGTATAAAGTCATTTGGATAGTAGCACGCTAAGTAAATATGTAAATAGAATAAGTGCAAAAACTCGCTAAATAATCGTCATTTGCGATCAATACTATAATAATTTTATAGGTGGGCTACAAATTATGGTTTTTTCGATTATGAAAATATTCGAAGTCAATTATATTCGATTATTTGTTATATTAAATAAATATGTTGGTAGATTAACACACAGCACCATCTAGTTCCATCGTAAGCTACGAGGCTTGAGTTATGGATACCAGATAGTTGATACACTACACATAAATAACTTTAAATACATACATATTATAAATATAAACACTCATGACTGGAGTACAAACATTCGTGCTCATCACAAAATGAATGTCCCCAGCGGGACTTGAACCCGCGACCGTTGGCACTGCAAGTAGGGTCATTACAAGCTGAGCCAAACGTGTTCTCATTATAACATTAAAAGATATTATTAGTTTGCAATATATTAAATGCTATTTTGTGCCACAATTAATTATTTTCATAATCGATAACTCATTGATTATCGATAACTAATTAAACTGCGTAAAATTGGACTGATGTGTTTCTATCATTTCAATACGTATGTAAAATGTCGCCATATCAGAATATGTTTGAATATGATGAATAAATATTAGCTGCTGCTATTATAATAAATTTTAGACCGACATTTTTTGTAGGTAATGAAAATTATACCTTATTTTCAAGTTTTACAAAATGCAAGAGTCCATGCCATCGTTAAGTACTCAATAGCTTATAACTCTATTGAACTTGTACCTGAAACCGCCAAAATTTATTCATCAGCCCCTTAACACTGAGTCGCACATCTTAAACTAGATATAAATAAATTATATTAAGAAAATCCTCTACGAATATACAAAATTAATACAAGTCTTACGTTACTAATACAAATTACATCACAGTTCAATAAACAAGTTAGCGCTTATAAAAGTTAGAATAGATATTCAAAATGAAATTTAGAACTAGAAAAACTTTTAAGATATACTAAAATTTAAAACTAAAAACAACGTTTTGGTGAGTTCATTCAGGGTACATTGTAATTTAGGAACATATACATACATACACCCGAGTATCAAGCCGCCTTTTGAAGGTAGCGTTCGATAAGCTTATTAATTAAAATAATTATTATCAAATAAAACAACTAAGACACACACAACAAAACACACGTCATACAAATATACAAAACGTTTAAGAGAATCGGATTTATCAGTCGATATTATATAAACTACACTAACGGGGGTAAAAAAGCTACATGAAAGACAATTAGTACGCAAGTATGAAGCAATAGCAAGGCTTTAAAAATACTGCGCGATCGCGATGTACTTAACTATATTATGTAGATTATAGTCGGGTTATATAGAAAATATCACTTTTAGATGACAAAAATATATTTTCTGAAGTTATCTGCTGGTAATGAGCAGTTGACAACCTTCGTTTCATACAAAAGTTATTGATTAATTTCACGTTTAAATTACTCATATCGGTTGGTACAATAGATAGTTAAGGATAAGAGAGCAAAGCCTGTTGTGGCCAAGCGATTTTCGCATCTATCCTCTTGTAAGCCAGTATGAAATTTTGTCCACTTTTCTCTGACATTACCTCTTGTGGACAATCGTTTTCGTTCAACATTGTTTCTGGAACAAAAAAATATTTTAAACTTTATATAAACAATAAAAAGTACTTCGATTTCATTATTTAAATTCTGCACGTCGTTCACAAAATATTTGAAATATATTATCATAACTATAAACCATAAATACTTAAAACCAACTCAAGTTTTCGAGATAACAGACAAGTAAAAAGAAACATATATTTCATTTTAATACATCACTAAGCGGCAATACATAATCACTATAAATATAAAACGAATAATAGTTAATCTTAACTTAAAAAAATATAAAAAGCAGTCATAAGGACAGCCGTCAGAAGAGAAAACTTAAAACTATAACCAAACAGTTGTTATATTTGGATATTCAAATTAATTGTTTGATCTTAAATTAAAATTTGTAAATTAAAACTGTTTACATTTATTTGGCTTTGACATTTATCGGCACTCTGAGTGATAGCGTTAACACGTCATGTCACCATATCAATGACGACTTACATGAATTTACTCCCCATCCAAACCTGCCTATAGAAGTTTAGACTTCAAAAATAAAGCAAATACCCATCACCAACCTTGTCCATCATGCAACGCAAACAACGCGTAGTCCTGCGGGTTAGTTATGGCCGCAGCGTGCGCGAGCGCGCGGCACAGGTCCCTGGCGCGCGCACCCGGCCGGCACGGCAGCGCCACGCGACGTATCGACCCGCGGCATTCGTCCGGCAGCGCGACGCGTACCACTGCCACGTTGCAGCCCTCGCGGGTAGATTCTGATGAGCCTCTACGCCACTGTGTGGGTAATTCATATTTAATATAGGTATAGGTACGTAATGTTGATACCTCCTTTTTGGAAGTTGGTTAAAAATAATAAAATAGATTTTTCTAAGAGTAAGGAGCTTGGATACTGGAATGAAGAGGTCTTAGATGACAGGTTTGAATCAAAATGCTATCTATAGTTCTAATATAATAATTATTATGTAAGAATTCCATAGGTCAGTGAAAAAAGAAACTAGGGAAGACATTTTAATATCAATTATTTGTAATTATGTATTGTTGGCTAACTATTAATATATTTATTCATGCATCATGTAAATCATTAATAAATCATTGCCATCATTTTTCAAGGTCAAAGTTAGCTAATAACATATATATATTAAAAAAATACATATAAAATAAACTCATACCGGTGCAGTACTGTCAGGTCCAGAATCCGGGGCCAATCTCTTCAATACAGCTACAGCAGAGAACAGTGCAGTTAAGTAGTACCCGCCCTCCCCCGCCAGTAGGGCGGCAGGAAGCAACCCCGCCATTAACTCAGCTTCCAACTCCGCGCAAACTAAGCGACAACGTGCGACCGTCCATGCGAGAACGGGAAGTAAGTCGTCAGCCCCGAGAGTTCGTTCTCCACGTATCTGTTGAAATAGACCTTTATGAATTGGCACTTCTGTTATAATATCGAAGTTCGTTTGTGTGTGTGTTTCTTACTCCATAATACCGAAACGGCTAAACGGATTTTGATGAAACTTTGGACTACGACTTTGAGTAACATATAGGTTACTGTTAGGTAAATAGCTATTAGTAACCTACATATTATCAATCATTTAATATATTATATAACATTATAATTATAGCAAATTTCATACATAAGATTGGGAAAAATTATAAATGGTTTTTAAATTTAAATTATTCATCATAGATTTGGATGGAAAAATAAGTGATTCGTATGAAAGTTAAACTTACCGCATTGAACATAACTGAAATAGCAGCGAGAAGATTTTCAAGTTTGTCCAACGGAGAATCAGCTTCTTGCATTTTGAGAAAATGTTTTGAGATTACTGATAATACCGCTGAAGATGGGACTTTCGTGGATTCCTAAAAACACAATACGTATTTATCGTAATTTCTAATGACAAGTGGGAGATTGCGGCCTAGCATTTTTACTACAATTCCACACGACATGACTTGTACAGTAATATTTAAGTATACATTTGTTTTGTATATATAATTAAGTATATTTGTAATTTCAATATATTTCCTTTTTTGTACATAAATAAACTATTAAATTTAAACAAAATCTAATTAATTTACCTTAATGCCAAGCTGTAAAGGTGTAGCATGCTGAGCTCGTTCAATTGCAGCATGTAACTGTCTTACATCAGCCGAGTGCCACGAAGCAAGTAATGAATACAACTTAGACCGTAGCGGCCGCACCACCAGCCTGTGCATTACGCCTTCCAATATCGCGTCCAGATTAAGGAATTCCGTTGATTTTAGCTAAAACGATTTTTTTTTTGAAAATTTTAATTTGAGTTAAAAATTCTAACATTTAGGTCAACTTGTAGGATATCATATAGGTAACTTACACAATAATACCTAATTAATTTTTAGAATATTTTTCTATATATATTATATATAATCTTTGTTGTATATAAGATTGTGAAATTTCTATTACCTTAAGCCTTTCTTTTTCCACCTCCTTTTCAAACTCCCTTTCGCCGTGTTTCACAAGATAATTTTTCATTCCTGACATGAATTGCCTCATATTTCGCATCATTACCTGAAATGAAGCATGAGGCAATGACCATAAATAATTCCGTTTTGTATATAATATACGCAATTAAAGTTTAATAAACTCAAATTAATTTCCTAAAAAACCCTTTCATTTGATATCCATATCTTGGGGGTGCATAAATCACTTCACTTATCTAACCATGCATTGTCATCTAAACTAAATATTTATGCAAAATTTCAGCTCAATCTATTGAGTATAACTACTTTAAAATAATGTTGCAAGATTTGACCCGAACAAACATACATACAAACATTGCAAGTAAAATAAAATACTTGTAAAAAATTATCTTGAAATTATAAAACGACAATGCTGCAGTGGCAATAAATCAGAGTCACAACGTATTGTATTTGACGTCGAAATGACTATTACATTCTTTCACCAGTTATATTTTCCTATATAGTAAACACCCATGTAACGTACCCTACATACAACTACACTTACACAACATACTAACCAAATGAATATAAATATTTTATTGTATATATAAAAGACTACAGAAACAATAAAGAGAGAACATTATTAACACAATTAGTATATCATTATCAATATTTTCTGTTCTGTTTATATTAATACAATATGCATTGATAGACATGCACGTGCATGCCTATTTGCCCTTTGATTAGGGCTAGGAGATAAGTAATTGTAATATTACTGATCTCATTTCTGTGAGGCCACGTGCTAGTGACGTGCCGGCGTCGTGGATGTAACGTAACGAAAATTGCAAAGCCTGCACTTTCTACGTAGTAAACAAACAGTGTATCGTACGTATGATCTTTGATACTTCCAATGAGTACAGTAACACATACAATTTATTGTTATTAATATTATTTTATACCTATTATAGCGAATGTAAAAGTTTATTAAATGTTTGTTAGTCTATTTCACGTAAACTGCCGAATAACTAAATGAAACATAGCAGATCATATTCTGGACTAAACTCAACTTTCTTTATATTTCTTCAACTTCTGAACTAGTTTAACTTTGACGTTATTTGTACAAAACCTTAATTCTAAGTATATAAAGGGTTAATCGCACTTATTTTAAAAAAAAAAAATTTTATAAAAAATACGCCGCCCAATTGAGTTCATTCGAATATTATTGTATTGAAAAATAATAATATTGTGTGCTTTCATTATTCATCTATTTGTGAAAAGGAAACGTGATACTCTGAATGATAATTTTATCACTACCTATTGTAAAGTTCAATAAATAAAATTAGTGCAACAAAATGGACGTTTTGAGTTTTATCAATAATATATATTCTAATGAAGGCTTTTAAAACATGTAAAGAAAAATTGAGTAACTTATCACTTCAATACTATAATAAGCTTAAAATAAAAAAATAACGCTATTTTTAACAAAGTCGTTAATATAATGATAGACAGTTATTTCCTAATTTTGTCAAATAAAAGGCCATTTGTAAATAATCGATAACAAAACTAAACATACTTGAGGGCAAGTTTCCTTAGAGTCCAAAGTGCAGGCGATAAAGTTGTCAACATTCTGCGCGAAGGTTGTACTCTTATCCTGCGCGAGGTGAAGTGCGTATGCGCGTAACGCGGCGCCCGTACCGCGAGACGTTCGTCCTCCACGCAAGGCTCGTACTCTCCCTGCCGCTGTTGGAAAACGTGCCTCAATATTATTTAGTATAATATAATAATATCTAAATATAAAAACATTTCTGTTTCGTCTGTCATGATAATGAAAGATACCTTTGATCAAAAATAAGCTCGGCAAGATACAACAAAAAATTCAAAGTTTAACGAGTTTACTTGGTGGTCATTAGAGAGTTTGGCTAATCTACTAAATATTTTTTTTCCATATCTTAAAAAATGTGATAAGGTATATATTGTGGGGAACATATCGTAAATTTAACTGTCGTTAAATGAAGTAAATATGCCTTGTAAAATAGAGGTTGAAATTATTATTATAGTGCTATATGACCACATCACAATGGGCCTAGCGTACGAGTTATATGGTCTACGCTTACTATAAAAAGATCACATATTTTCTACATGTGTATATAGTAAAATTACATAAACAAAATAAATATTTCATTAACTTTCTTGATATTTAAACTTATGTATGTTCAGAAATATAGTGCATTCCAACAGTTCCGCCACAAAATGCCGCTAATAATATTTTTATCAGACTAATGACAATGCTAAGTAATAGATTTTAGATAATTATAATTGTAAACTTTATAACATTATTTTTATGAATATTATTATAAAAACAAATAAAATATTTGATTTCTATTCGTTTGTTATATTGTTTTATTATGCTAAAAATATATAGTACATTTTATGCAATTTTATGCACATGTCAATAATTCCATATTAATGTTATAGGAGAGACATGGCGTACATATATATACATATTATAGTCCGGTCAAATCCATACTAATATTATAAATGTGAAAGTGTGTTTGTTTGTTTGTTTGTTTGTTTGTTTGTCCTTCCTTCAAGTCAAAACAGAATGAAGGATTGTTGTGATTTTTTGTGTGGAGATAGTTGGAGGGCTGGAGGGAGGCATAGGCTACTTTTTATCGCAGGAGGTTATCTTATTCTCACGAGAAAACACGTTATAATATAATACAGAAAAATATTTATGAGCAGAATTACTTGAACCTTGGTATTAATACTCTTTAGTGGAATTAAATAAATACGTGTTTTAGCACTTTTCGAAATTCATCCCATAAGGAGGGGATGAAAGTTTTTATGAAACCTAGCACCTTTTTAGTTTTTTTTGTATTTTTAACGCGAGCGAAGCCGCGGGTTCTACTAGTTAGACATAAAAATAGTGATCAAATAACAAAAACTCTGACAGAGCTGAATTTTAGTAGAGACCTTGGGTACACCAGTAAAAATAAAGTGCTAAAAGTCCCCATCGATCCCATGTGTGCTTAAAGTTATTCAAGGTCAAAGGTCAAAATTTTCGGTTTTTTGGATTTTTCTCCAAAACGGTAAGTCTTATCAAAAATATAGTCCAGACAAAAATTGTATTATGTAGGTGAATAATAACTAAGTATATGTATATAACATAACTACGCACTTAAGGAACTATTTACTATCGACTATTGGTTTTGAATTATGATTTTTATAATTGGTGTATGTCTTCAATCTACATATATCTATACTAATATTATAAAGAGGTAAATTTTGTGAGTTTGTAGGGGGTAATCTCTGGTTCTACTGAACCGATTTAGATTGAATTTGGTAAGAAAATAGTTTGAGACCCTGTGAAGGATACTTCTTACCCCAGAAATCATCCCTTAAGGGGGTGAAAATCGGGATGAACGTTTGCATTGGGAATAAACCTAGGGACGAACCCGAGCAAAGCGAGGGTGAGTCGCTAGTTATATGTATATAAAACAAAGTCGGATTAGTTACACTATTTATAACTTAAGAAGAGCTGGACCGATTTGTATGATCTTTAGTTTGTTGTATTTGCCTCCGCCCCGAATAGCAGAATAACTATTAGATCATCGGAAAAATTCACGAGAAAAAAATATTACATGGCTAACGCTTGCTAATAAGTATTTATATCTATTTAAATTGTACCCTAGGGACCCGGGGCGAAGCGAGGGTAAGTCGCTCGTATATTAATAAAAATAATGTGGTTAAACGACTATGTTTTATTTTTATTTTAGTAAAAATTAAATAAAGCATTTACTATCACGAGACTAAGTTCAACAAAACCTAAAATTATCGCTATAAGCACAAAGATTGTCATTTTAAGTAGATGGTATAGTAGTAAAAAAATACGTTTTATATTTACACGAAGATTTAAATTCTAGATAAAGTAGATACACTAACTCGTGAAAGCTTAATAGATTTATACTTTTGTTTATTTTTGTGATACTAACATTTGCAATTATTAAGATAAGCCTTCGGATAGTAACATACCACCTGTATTAAATGTATGATTTTTGGGCAATGATAAAATTATATAGAGTAAAATGTGTAAAAATATTTTTACTTGATTATTCGATAAATGCAAGAAAAATCATTACCTACACAAATACGAATTTGTGATTCCTGAAACATCTTCAACGACTATAACGGAAGGATCAGGCTTAATTTTACATAAACATTCCTTAATTTTATTGTAAAAACGCGTCCATGCACCGGCGACAGTATTTAGAAGTCTACGAAATGGATTAACGTAGCATTTTCTCTTTTCTTCATTTATTTTGTCTATGTCACTACAATGGCAGTGTGGCGGTTTGGCTACTACCATAGTGTTTTTCTTCTGCCCACTGGTTTCAGATAGCCGCTTACACAAATTTGATAACGCCTCCGTTTTGGCTAGATGCTGCTGAAATCTCGGCTCCATTAACTTTTCACGAGTCACAAACACCCATTCGCTTTCAAACACATATTCATCATGAGCGTCACAATGAAAATTTTTAATCGTAGTCAAAGCGAACACTCCGTCCGGAACGTCTGAAGTTTTGATAATTTCCGGAACTCTCTTCTCTTTTAAAGGCTCAAACTCATTTACCTGAGAATATTTTTTTCTTAAATTTGCCTCAGTCACCTTCGCGGACTTTCCTTGGAACAACCTTTTGAACCACTTCATGACCGATCACTTTGCGGTTACGTCCCGCTTGCACGAAAGATTTGAAGCGATGATTTCTCATTCAAACAGGGTTAGTCGCGTTTCAAACACGAGCGTCGGTGAACGACTGAGTCCAGACGAGCTGAGAGATTCATGGCACGCGCAGACCTTTGGCCATTAAGCATAATTAATTATTTACTCAGCTAATGTAATTATTGATAAAAGATATGCGCTGCGGCCTCATTGTTGGACTACTACATTCTGATTGATTTCAAAATAATTATTCGTAATGAGTAATTAAAATGTTATCTGTACGCAATGCGATTGTAGCTCGAATGAGTTGCTGTCAACTTTATCGTCTAGGTAATTTTATAGGATATAAAATCGTTAATGCTGTTAAAAGTTTTAATAGTTTGCTATATCAATGTTGAAAATCTGCTTTATACTAGAACACGAGTTATCTAAAAGGTTATTGTTTCTTGTAGATTAAATGTATAATTAGCTGTTCATTGTCTATAAACTCATTTTACAATACTATTATTATGTACCATAAAATCGTAATAAATTCAAATAAGCTTTTCTAGATACACGTGAGAGTATTAACGTGATTAACGAAATGCGTATTAGTTAGGATGCACGAGTCGTTAATGTCACTGACATTGCAATTTAAATAACGTGCTAAATGCAATGCAAATAATTATTTAAATTATAGTGTTTTGCATAAGTACTGCGTAAAAATATAAGAAATGTTAGTATAATAATATTGCTTCTTAGAGTGAATAAAATAATACCTAAATTAACCAGACTAATATATTAGTAGATATATAATATAATGAATGTAATTGATTATAAATGATCATAGATAACTCTGTTTATTTCTTGTCGAGTTAAAATAATTTGGAGAGTTTTTTTCTATGTTTATATTTTTATTCTTTAATCCAGGATATACTTAAGTTCCTCTCCTTTGTGAGTCTCCTTTGTGAATTTCATTCAAAACCGTTGACCCGGTAGAACTAAAACATACTCAATAATCCTTCTTCAGCTTTTATTTATTTACGATGTCATTACTTTATTAATAGGGAATAAGCGTGTGATTAAAATTTTCTGAATTAAACCTATATCAATATTTTTTAATGATCAATTTTTTTTCATTAAGAAAATAATTATTGAAAAGTGTAATCATAGATGGGAAATTCAAAGTAGTTGAAACGCAACGCCATTGGTCAGACCGAATGTGACGTTAAAGTCTATTATAATAGAGCGCTGTTGTTAGATGTTTGCGATTGGTACTAATAATCTAGATCTGTTCACTGTTGCAAAATTGTCATAGACTATATAGCCAAAATAATGGGCGTTTTATATATGTATCTGTATGATATTTATAAATGACTTTTTATAACTACTGACTGACTAAATTTTTTGGAGCTAAATATTTTTTTTACAATTATAGAAAAACAAAAACAAACCTATCCCACGGCAACCGTACCTTTTTCCGGGATAAAAAGTAGCCTATGTGTTATTCCAGACTAATAATATTGAATAATGCGTATTATTTATTAATGAATTAAGATTGAATAATATTGAATAATGCTTATTAAGCTAATAGTAATTAGCTTATTGATTTTAAAACAGGTATAGTGTGTACGTAATACTAATTAAGTTTCAATATATATTCTTTTTGCTTCACTTCGGCGCTTAATTTTTATTCTTGTCCCTCCGTTGGTGGAATCTTTTATTCGCTACAGAAAATTACGTTAAAATTTTGGATTGTATGTGCTTTTTAATAAGAATTGATTTCAAAAATTAGCGAATATCAAGGATTTGGCATCATGACTTCAGTATATGTTATTCATTTTGTGGTCACAAATAACACAAACAATTTTATATATAAATATTATATTTCTCACCTAATAAAGGGTCCAGTCTGTCCCGGAAGCTCTTAGCTCTTGTAACGGCATTTCCGCGTCTTGGCATTGGCGATTCCCATTCGCAAGGCTCATCCTATTATAAAAGTACATTTTTTAATTATTTTAATGTATGTAGTAATTAATGTAATAAATCAGTTACTAAACCAGACCAAACCTAAATAATAATAAATAATAAATACTATACAGACTAAACCATACACACTCTCCACACTACATGACACTATGTATTTCACTAAAATTATATTTTTCAAATGTAAGAGTAATTAAGAACTCACGTTTTCATAATTTTGTTGGAGATTTGATGGTGGTATGAGACCATCCCACTGAGAACTATCCCAAGGCTCAGAAAACACAGTGCCATCGTCACTTGCCTAAGAAAATAGAATAGAAATAATGTTAAGGACTAACTAATTACATTTATATATTTTCTATGATCGCTTTTAATTATCATGGCTTTATAAACTTTCTAAACATCCTAGGCGGCGGTAATAGCGGTAAAATCGTCTTTTGCCTGTCTTGAAATTTCATTTTCCAGTATAACTTAATAAAATTAAGTCACTCATTCAGAAAATAAAAAAAAAATACCACTCTGCCTCTTTATGTATTTTGTATTTATATACGGTTTTAAAACCAATATGCCAAGAACTATATTTTGTTATTTTACTCGTCCTGGTACTTATGTTTGAATTTAATTGTTAAAAAGGGTGTCCTCAACTTCCTTTAAAACTGTAATGCAACTCAGCTATTACTAATTACGACTCTACTTTGTATGGCAGTATTGAGAATCGTACGGCCCAAGTTGTATCTTTGCGTCTTGTCGACAAATAGCTCTTCTAGATGCATTTAAACAGATAATAAATCTAAAATCTTTGTTCACTTCCTAAATAAAATATTTTAATTGAAATGTACATCCGTTTATTTAATTATAAACAACATAGTACACAAATAAAGGATTACTACTATACCTGTTCAGAGAGAGGTCTAAGGTCGTGAACATTGTCGTAGCAAGAAGCTCTCGGTGGCGAGCGAATTTCTTCCGCCAGCGCCGCTGGCTCCGCGTTCAAATGTAGTTCAGGGAATCTATCATAAATTAAGGTTGATTAAAAATTAAAAAAAAAGCATAATGTGTGTCTTGAAGTTTTAACAGTCTTGAACACGTTACTTCAAGAACGTTTAGATGGTTTAGAGGTGAAAGTTTGTTCCTATCATATAGATTTTTATCACAAATTGTTTAGTTAAGACAAAACGTTATAAATGTATGTATGTACCATAATATATTAAAACTCAATATGCAGTGCTTAATACAGACGTAAAGTGCAAAATGAAGCTAACAGTAACTAATTTAGTCTATTGGAAAAATATATACAAAAATATATATAATTTTAAATGTACCTCTGTGCAACAACTTGGTGTACTGTTAGGTGTTGTGCGGCGTCATCTACGCCCAATCTGCTCTCTTGTTCCGCTAGTGACGGGAACGTGCCGTTCTCACTGTTTGAGCCTTCGTCGTTTTTGTCTACATATACATTATATAATAATGTTAAACATATTTTGATTTAACATATAAAGTATATATACCTGAACAAGCTGGTATTTTTAAAAGAAATATAGGATAAAGCGAATGCCCACTGCCAAAATTGCGAACTCTTTTCTCACTAGGAAGTTTTATATCTCGAAAATTTGTATTTTTGTATTTTTAATTTAAAAGTTGGCAGTGTTACATTACATAATAAATATTATATATAAACGTAAAATAGATACAAGGTTCACCAACTTCAAAATCAATTAAGCAGTTCAGTCTGAGGCTGCATTGAAAAAGTATGAGACCATCTTGAAGTTTTTTTAAATGAATATAAAAAGAATTATGAGAATTATTTTACAATATGAAGACAATATTGATAGCATTAAAAAATCAGATAAATTGAGCACCCTGTTTTAAAGTCGATCTATTTTTGACAACATTTGTTGCAATAACAATTTTATCGTAAAGACAATTAAAACCGTACTTATGAATTGCCAACTCGAGTCCACAGCCCAAGTGTTTTCGTTCTTGCCACTGGGTGGTTTAGCGGCAACGCGCGGGGGTTCTACCGGCTTCATCTTAGGTTTGCTCCTCAGTGACACTAGGTTGTCGACCGATGTTGATGTGTTAGGTGATGATGCTGTAAGTATGTTTGGTGCTAATTTAATTTTTACTTTTAAGCATTAACGTAAATGTAGTAAATGTACATATAAATTTAATAATTTCTATTTTTTGATGCATAAAAAATTTAGATATTTTCAGTATAAGAATTATGTACGAGTAAGCATTATTAAACGATAATTAATGATTCAAGACTTACGTGATAGTTCCTCAATACTGTGCATATCTCGTAATGGATAATATGGGTGACTTTGTGTCGGCGGCTCAGAATATCTTTGCGAAACGTTTACGCCAGATCTCAGCAGCTTTCGTCGCTGTACAGGAGGCAGCAGAGCGGCCTGGGAAATAATAATAGAAACTAAATCTCATAGATATTATGTTAGGCTTGAATAAGGAGTTACTTAATCTTTTTATATATTCCGCAAATAGGTACAATATAAGACGTTAGGTTTATTTTTTCTGCTATGTAAAAGTAAAACTCAATTATTTTTTATAATATTGCTATTTTTTACATTCTTACAGATGTTTCTTAAAGAATATATAAAGTGTTGGAGTAATCTAAAACGTAATAATTGAACAATATTCCTCACTTCTTTAATTGCATCTACTGGATCAGCATAGAAAGGACTGCCGGCGTGTTCTTTTTCAGATTCATCACCTTTACCACAGTCGTCTTCCAACTTGACCGTTTCCATACTTTCAATTGTATGACTCTCTCTTATTTTTAGCGCAGCTTCTATTTCTTCAGTCAATTTCTTATTCATATTCATAGCAATATTAAGTTTGTCTGGCCTTTTCGCTACAATTTCTCCTTTGCTGTTTGTAGTGGCTATAATTTCACTGGATCCATTAAAACTTTTCTTTAGAGAACTTTCTGAGAGATTTTTCTTTTCATTTAAACTTTCCATTGAATTGAGTATTATCATGTTTTCTTTTTCTAATATCGACTGAGTGCTTTTTGCTGCATTCAGCTTGGCTGTAAATTAAAATTTCAAAACTAAATACTATAATAAAATAATAAAAACTATAAGCTTACAATAAAAACACAGTTAAAAAGGTAATAACAAAGTGGATGATATAGATTGTATTATTACTAGTATAGACTTTACTTACGCAGTGTGTCAGGTAAGAGGTCGGGTCTCTTGCTTTTCATTATCCCGTTATTTAGATTGGCACTGTCATTATCAGATTTAGGCGGTTTAAAAGTCGAGCAGTTATTACTTTCTGGACCCCATATATCTTCATAATCACTTACTTTGTCCATTAAAGAACTTCTGTAATATACTCCTGGTGATTCAAGGATGTCAGATTCCTAGAAAAAAACAATATATTTTAGAACTAAGTTATTTAATTTATAAAATTATTTCTTACGTAATTGTCTAATGCTATCTATTTGCCTGTTCATATTTCTGTGTCGTATGTGCCATGCGGTTAAATATTTTTGCGGCTTAAAATATGTACGGTATTATATTCTATTCATGCTTTCGTGATGATTATATGGATATGCAGCGACGAATGCGAATTTTTACAGCAAATTTGCGTCAATATATAATACGCATATAAAATTTACATACATAATAATATATATAAAAAGACGAACACCCTACCTGATAATGTCTGGACTCCTTGCGCATGGAGTGCTTACTCCTCCTTGATCGACCCGAAGGCGTCGAACTTGTCGTATTTGTGTTAGGAGTAACCACTTTTTCTCGATCTTTACCAGTTACAGGAGACATTAAAGAATTATTGGAAGTCGGTGAAAAGACATTTTTATTTGAAAGAGGCGAACTTCGTGATATAGGAGAAAATATTTCGCTTTTGTTAGTTTGACTTATAGGTGAAAATACTCCACTTTTAGAAGAAATAGTATCGTTAGATACCGGTGAATTAATTTGACTTGTCGGTGAGAATATGCCACTTGTAACTGAATTAGTTCCATTAGGAGACACAAGTTGATTAGAAGTAAAAGCATTACTCGACTTCGTCAAAGAATTTGCTATTGGATCGACAGAATCGGATGTATTTGTATGAGATTGGGACTCTAATGGTGATTCAACTTCTGTGCTGTTCTGTTCAGCGATTTGTCTTTTAAAGCTGCCGTGTAAACTAGCGGTCATTGTACTTATACATTCTCCTTCTGGTGTCAGACGGTGCATCATATTCTATATAGGAACAGGAACAATTTTTAGTGAGTTTTGTACAATTTACAAGTTATATGTTAGAAACAAATATATCGAGCAATAGGCTATATACTATTTACAACAAAAGTCATGCTATTGGCAATACGCACGCCATGCTGTATTATTTAACATCTCCTCACCTGCATGTCTCCGTTAGAATTTGTTATGGATTTCACTGCGTCCATTGCGTTGAACCCGGCTTCGGCATTGTTATTTTTTATGGCATTAGACGCAAGCGTTAGTTGCAACCGGTCGCTTTGTATGCTTTCATTTATTTGGTGATTGTGTATTTGTGTATTATTGACGCTGAATGTTACTGTAGTCGTCACTGTTATGTTTCCATTTGCTTTGTTAATGGGACTAAAGGTTAATGCCTCTGATTTTGGGGATAAGGAAACTTTTGAGAATGGGGGCTTCGCCCATCTGGGCGGCGGTGGAGGTGGGGTAGTTTTTACATTGTTAGAATGTGTGGGAGAATGATTGTTTGCGGTTGGAAATGTGTGAGGATGTGTTATATGCGCCTGAAAATAGTTATCGCAGTGGTTAATAATCTTAAAACGATACTAATTAAGCAGTTAAAGTTTTATAAATACTCACGGTACTGGATATAAGATTTAGAGTATTCGGTGGGGTAGGTCGGGGTGCTCTAACGAATGATCCAGTCGGTTTTGCTGGTGGCGAAGGTGCAGTTCTACCCTTAAATGTACTTAAGCTTTGGCTTTGACTGGGTGGAGAGCTAGATGTATCTACTGGTGACATTTTCAATATCACGTTTTGATCCTTATCTGGACTTAAGATCTGTTCTCTGGAGTTTGTTAATGTACCTATAATTTAAAAATATGCAGTCAATATTTTGGTATATAATTTATACATATATGTATAATAAAATTCTAACTGAGTTGAATCTGTACATTAAATATGTTTTAGAAAATCTTATTGGAATAGTCATTATTATCGATACCGAGACCGAATCTATAGTATTTAGAATTTTTGTCTATCAGTTTATCTGTGACCGCATCACGGAAAAACCACTGGAGGGATTTTGATAAAATTTGGTATAATGATAGCTGATTCAACATTCCGGGTCAATATATAGGATACTTTTTACTGCGGGAAAATATGTCATCTCTGAGAAATCTATACTAAACGTTAAACCGTAACTAGGGACTAACCCGAGCGGAGTGAGTGAGTCGCTAGTTTGTTTATAATTGTAAGAAGATATATATTTACCAAATTAGTAAATAAAGTCTATATATTTAAAACCTCAATCACATACAACTATTATATCTGCATATAATATATTCACAAAATACTTAGAAAATATTAAATACTCACTGGCATTAAAACTGCTTAGACTAGATCCAGTATCAGACGGCGTAACTGCCATTGGAACAACTCCATTTGCCAATTGGCATGGCGATAGAAGGTTATTGGGGTTATTTTTTGGATTAGCCATTGGATAACCCCAAAACTCTTGGCCGAGTAATGCAAGAGAGCTAAGTTGATGGCGACTTTTTGCTTCTCGTAACGGCTTCGGTAGCTGCAATTGTACTGGTAACTCATCACTGTAAAGGAGAATATAGAATGTTTATTTTTTAAGTCTTTCTCCGAAGGTAATTAACTATTTTACAACGTTTTTTTTCGAAATCGTAATTTATGTCCTAATTTATGTTAATCTTTAAAAGTGACATATATTGGTTTTTTATTTTGCCATATTATTTAAGTATATTACAGCAGTTTATTGTAACAGTGTATATTTTATAAAAAAAAGAAATATTAATCATTCAATGTTAACAATATATCGATCTTAACGCTTAATTAAAACATAATGTGTTTATTAAAATTAAAATTTACCAGCACTGAGAATAATGCGCGATCAACTCTGGTATATTATCGAAGCGATTGTGAGAAGTTTCGAGGCCGATACGGCCGCTTGTGGATTGGATCAGATAGTGTTCTATATACGGCCCTTTATCTGCGGGTAGCCGGACGCTGATCGCCATTGTGTCAGGCTGACTCGACTGGCGTACCACAAAGTTCTGAAAACAATATTATTAATATTACATTAATATTTGAAGTTGAAATTGATTATGATCATGTTTGCTGTAAATCATCTGAAACGTAGGAAATCAAAAATCAAAGTAAATCATGAAAGAACCCATTTTTATAGAATAATAGTTTTAGTTCAATTAGTTTTTCAATTTATTTTCATATCGAGTGGTATTATCAATTTATTTTATATACAGTGTCAAATAATAGATAAATTATAGTAATACGAACTCATGCAATTTTTAATAATAGTTAAAAATACAAAACTTACTCCTTCTTCCTTGCCCTGAAGCAAATGAAAGGCACCAGCTCTTTGTATCCCGGGTAGGAACCAAACAGGATGCGTTCGTATTAATCTCTCCAATAAGCCGATGTCGCATGGTGGTTGTTCTTCGGATTCTGAACCTGAGGACCCTACTGAAGAGCAGTCGCCTTTAGCGCCTTCACCGTCTGATGAAAGGCTTTCTCGACTCTGGAAATTTTGAAGTATATACTCAATAATATATTCATTGAATTTTAATTAATAATAATTTAAAGTCGCGTTTTTCTCGATATAAATAGAAAAGCGTATCTTTTAGATGTGTGTGTCTTTGTGAGTGTTTTTCTCCTATCAAACTATACTGAGTATTGTTGATAGGGCCTGAGATATGGACTGGCGATGGAAATAGAACTTAAGATATTAACAAAAATTTAATTCGCGTATGTTTATGTGAAACGATTTTAAAGATTCGAATGAAGATGAAATATTATAACTTAAAATTAAGGGTGCTCCTACATAAATTTCACATAAAATGTACACCTTAACAGTGGATAATAATAATATTTAAATAATTTTGAAATTTGTGTACTTTTTAAAAATACAACTTTAATTACAAAATTGATGTTTTAAGCAGTAGTAATTATTAAAAGTAATAAAGTTAAGAAGTATCTAGGTTATAAAACAGTGGAATATTATTATACTACAAAAGGCAGCTTATTTCCTATTAGACATGGCTTCGTGGCGACACATCTAAATGGGAAATAATATTCCGTAACACGAAAACCATACACGACATAATAATACTTTACTCTTGTGTCTGCTTCGTTAGAAACAAAGTGCAAAATGAAACATTACGCTAATTGCTTTTGTGCTTTCACGAAACAAACGTATTAGAGAGGCTCTGTAGCTTAGTACAGTCTAATGTAGCGAGAAATAAAATATATTAAAATTAAATTAAAATTAGTTGATCTTTGTATTATCTCTTAAAATGTTGCCATTGCATACGTGTAGTAATAGTATACTTGTCTTCGTATTAAATAGAATTATTTAGAAAAATGTTGGTTGGAAAAGTGTGTAAGGAGTTAAACATTAAAAAATGCTAATGGAAACAAAAATTATTAATTATTTAATAAGTAACTTTAAAAAATATTATATAATTATTAATAATAAACAAAATGAGATAAGATGTTATAAATAACAGTTTGGGCACAAAGCCAAGTCCCCGGCGACCAGATAGTGTCGTAACTTGGGAATTAGGTTCAACTTGCAGACTTCCTACATTTTCTTTTGATTGCATCTTTTATGTATGGGGCCTTAGAACAGGACAAATCGTATCTTACAGAATTGAAATATTTTTATGGGACCTTTAACATTATTGTTCATATGGAATTGAGAAAACCTCAGTTTTACTAGATATAACATACTTAGGAAATCTTAAACTACTATTGTACATATAAGTAAAGCTGCTATTGTTCTTTAGATAATAAAAAAATGATATTGATTTGAATTAAGAAACTAAAAAGGATTATAAAAGTGTTTAAAATTGTATTTTGATTGTCTTATTACATTAAATGTGTCATTGCATAGGTAATAATATGTTTTTGCTATACTTTTTGTTCTAGTATAAATGCCAAAACGTAGTAAAAAATATTCCAGCAACTACATACTATATTAATTTAGAATAGTCAACATTGCGCTAACGTAAGTACGTATTCTATAAGATAGCGCAGTAGGTAATTCTAAAGGCATTCATTCACATTAATTCAATACGTATTGAAGGCTGGGTTTTATAAAAAGCTTGTATATAAAGACGGTACTTTACGACGAATTTGGAAGCCCTTTCGAAATATTATTAGCTTTTGTAAAAGGTTCTATTTTCCACGCCACAAAGGCAAAAGTAGCTGAAGGCAATTCCATACATAATCATTCTTTCCCGTTTTCTCTCATACGTTTCGTTGTTTATGTCTAGTTATTTTTTACCCTTTGGTCGGTCATCGCCCTCATATTACCATGATAAAGATAAGGATAACCTAGCAAAATTATGTGCAAACCCATTGTATATCTATATTACAAATACCATAGAATTAAGATTTGATTAGATTTTTTGAGAATTCCGAAAAAGAATTTAATATAAGTACATATACACATTTGTATGTACTTATTACCTACTTACGAGAATATTTAACAAAATTTTATAATTTACAGCTTCTATTTATATAAACTAGTAAATTACCTATATTTCACCTTTCGCGTACATACAAACAGTTCAAAATTAAAATAAATTTAGTAAAGTGTTGTGCTAATAAAAATAAATATATTTGGTGGTGTAATAACATTTTATTTATTTTATTAGGTTAAATTACAACAGAGAGCAACAAAAGTATTATATTCCTTAATTAACACAAGCGATCCATTAAAGGACACGTAATTGTGACAAAGTCGTCTTCACCCTATTGCATAATATGCGGTGAACTTATAAAATTAAATCGCAAACATTCATTACAATTTGCGGTAAAGCAGTGAATGAGGGAACGCAGTGTAAAATGACTTTATTAGCAAAATGCTGAATTGTTGGCATTGGTTGATAGTAATTTATGTTACGTAAATTGTTTAAAGTTCAGTAGCTACAAATATTTGTAAATGTCCACGATTATTTTATACAATGGTTATATGTACCTACGCTTTAAAGCGACAGTGTAGGTTTCAATTAATTTAGTCCAGTCAAATAAGGTCTGAAAATCAAAATTTGGCACTCAACTTTGCTTTTTTTATATAATGTAGTTTTAATGATACAAAAACGATGTGTAAAGGTTTTCGTGTCTGCAACCCCCCGGCAAGGGTTGAGAAAATTTTGTCAAAAATGTTTTTTCGCAATTACTCGAAAACGGTAAAAATTAGACAAAAAAGTTTTAACACAAATGTGTAGAACTTAAAATTTTACATAAAAAAGTATCATGATTTTTTTTACTCCGGTCAAAATTAACCGAGTTATGAAGGTTTTAAGTTTAAGGGACGAACGAGGAAATTAAAATTCGCTTATGTTTCTACTACGATTTTTTTAAATTTACGTTGCTCGGTTGCTTCGGTGGTGTAGTGGCTCGCATGTACGGCTGCACATCCGGAGGTCCCGGGACGGGCCAAATTTAGTTATTGAGTCTTTTTGTATGATTATCTATAATATATATTAATAAGCCTCAGTAACAGCCCGGAGTTGGCAAGTTGGCGATGTCTCAACCCCGTGCCTCGGAGAGCACGTAAAGCCGTCGGTCCTGCACCTTAGCTCTCACTGGTCGTGTCGAGTGGTCGTCCCACTAGAGTATGAGAGTGACAGGAATAGAGAGTGCACTTGTGTCTGCGCGTACACTTGTGCACTATAATATCTCCTGCACAGTTGGCTAGTCTCAATGAGATTGGCCGCCGTAGCCGGAATCGGTCAGGAGAACATCAAATATCAGATACAAAATGTTCAACCTAAAATGTTTTTTTACTTGATTATTTATTATTATATAAAACGGAATAAAAAGTAATGGAAAGTAGTTGTATAAAAATCAACTGAGTGAATGTAGTATTTCTATGAGTACCACATTCATGAAGACTGATATTTTAATGATTTCTAGAATATAAAATTCTTTTTACTGTGTTAAGGATTTATACGGAGGGCTTTAAAAGTTTACTTTTATACATATTTTCAGATCTTTTTAAGCTCAGACAGTGAGAATATATACTTTAGCAATTTATAATGAGATTTTTAAGCTAAACTGTATTCTTTTTCCAGCGATGAAGGTTTACATTCGCTCATTTCGTACCCGACAACTAGTCGAGCTAAAATAAAACTGGTTTTTAAAAAAAATATCCCAACCGTTCGCTGTTTTCCTCGAAATTGAAACAATAACAAAGTTTACAAGAAAAAATATGCTAGAAAGTTAAATTTAAATTAGTTTTAAATTTAAAAGAAAGTGAATTTTTTGCATGATAGCGCTATGAGAATGCTAATGGGAATAACAAAATATTTCAAGATCACTTCGAAAAAAAAATTATCACGTTTAAGTGGCCATTTTTCAATTTATACGGTGTATTTATATTATACATACTTATCTCTATTCAACAAAAAAGAATTCGAAAATTGATTCTCAAACCTAAAAAAGGACCTCTTCCTATTCGTATAGGGCCAAAAATTCAGATTTATTGATAATAATGTGTTAAATGCAATCCATTAAAAAAATATTAAACATATTGTTGTATACATTATTTTTGGACATTCTGTATTTTTTATTAATATACAAATGAATCCATATAACTTTGTATCTATGAAAAATTATAATAAAACAGTAAGTTACTAATGTTTTGCAAAATTCGATGTGGAACCTTAAAATATTTAATATAAGTTACGACCCGTTCGGAAGGCAAAGGCCTCCAGTAATGAGCGGATTTGGAGCGCAACGCGTCTCTACTTCAACGGATATATGAATACAGTGCTTTTAATACATTGCAGATTCTGCATGCTTACTAATGATGTTTACTTTTCTGAAATGAAAATTTATTCTGTATATATATTCACAAGTAAATTTATGAATGAATTAGAAAACATATAAGGAACGTCTATTCTTAATGTTTAGTACAGTACAATAGCTTGGGACATTTTGTACTTTTCATTACAAGAAATGGATTATATTAAGTATACAGTGACAACAAAATACAGCTATGTGGTATTTTTCAATACAATAGCAATAAAAGGATTATATATTTTTAATACACTGCAAAATTTTCGAATACAAATGGCAACCACAGCCTATAAAATAAAAAAAATCATATGAACCACTGTTATAGGTCTATAAATTAATGGTCTGTGGCAAATAAACGATACATATCCGACATCTGCACACGGCGAACTGCAGGTTGGGAATTTAAAGTTACCTACGGCAGCTTAAATTACAACTAAAATGCGCTTTAAATATGTTTGTTGTTATTTTTGAAAGATTTAATTATTCAGTTAGTGTAAAAGATAAGATTTTTTAAAATATTTCTCACGTTCGTCCTTATTTTTAGGGTGTCGTAGCCAAAGGCAAAAATGAAATAGTTGATTCATATAAACCGCTTGACAATTCTGCAGTCAAGTTACGAAAAATAAAAAATCAGGGTGATACTCCATACATGCAACCGTGGGGTGAAAAAATTGAGCCCACTTAAGCGTGAGAGGCACCTATGTGTGTGTTTCTAAGCCACTACTGCAAAAATTAACATTATTTTTAAATTAAACGATCCACCAAACCCATTATTTATAGAAAACAATGAGCGAATGCTATCAAACAATTTGTGGTATTTAAGAATCTATATTGCCAACGCGACAATTTGGCGGGAAATTAATTTTGTAAATCGGTAACAATACTAGGTATCGCGATGACGCCATGAATCATACAGCACAATGAGAACACCCGTCGGCAGGAGAGGTGTTAACAAAGGCAGCACGAACTCACGAGCTATATTGCTCCTCCAGTGTACGCGTGGATTTATTAGGAAAGTTGGATTCCAATTAGTTTTCTATGGTGTTAAACGGCGCGCTACGTTTGTAGCATTAATTTTGCAGGTTTGTTTTGGTTGTGCCATAATGGGCTATCCACGGGGAAATTAAATATGAATAGCCGAATGGTGTTTAGACTGAAAATAACAAGAGAATCGAGAGATATTTCAATATTAGTTTAGTATAATGTTTACTTAACGCTCCTGAGTTATATTTAGCTATGTAAAGAACTTTAAATGTTTGATAAGTTAAACACTATCATAGGTATTTGTTTCTAAACAGTACGGCAATCCATATTCAGTAAATCTTATATGAAACAGTAAAAATACAAGTTAAATAATATAAATTAATAAACAAGTATTATACTTTAAAAGAATATAAAATAATTTTAAAAATGAATTTTCACAGGCGTACTTGCACTTATCGCGGCGCTAATAAAGCCAGATAGCACTCTCAGATCCACTTTTAAAGCTATTGCAATCTCTTAAGACAACTTAAGTCCCAGCTGTGTACTGTAAGTCGTAAAAATATACAACTCTTGACTCTCAATGGCGTATAACAGTTCACTTTTACTCAACTTTGGCAAGTGCGAAGTGGTCACACGTGCTTGAATACTGCAAATGGGTATGTCGTTTAAGGAGTGAAGGTACGACACCTGCGACCTGACTTCTAGAGCAGGGTACTTATAATTAGGTTAATGGTTAACGTTACTGTCGGAAAACTGACTAAAGTTCTAATTATTTGTAATTGACATCCTATTTGTGACTTTGATTATAAAATAAATTAGACGAATGAATTAGACTATACCTACATATAATAAAATGGTAACTAAGCCGAATCTGTACATGAAATAAGTATTTTTTGGAAAATCTTATAGAAATAGATATAATTATCGATATAAATTTTAGAATTTTTGTCTGTCTGTGACCGCATCACGAAAAAACCACAGGACAGATTTTGATGAAATTGATAAATTTGATATGATGATAGCTGGTTATCCGGGTCAACATATAGGATACTTTTTACTGCGGAAAAATATCTCATCTCTGAGGTAAACGTTAGAACTTAAGAGGAATCCGAGCGGAGCGAAGGTGACTCGCTAGCTGAGTATAAAATTGATATAATACAAGTATTTGATTTTAAATGAAACTTAAGTTCCATGTTAGAATTAAAAATATGTAACGTGTGGTGTGTGTGGTGGTGATGGTGTACGTAATTTTATTAATTTTATGTACTTTATTTTATTCCTAATAAATTACTACTATGTTAATTTTTTTTAAGACAATACGTAAATAAAGTTATCCACAACACAAATTGTAGCAGTCTTTAAGCTAAGAGTTTAAATCAAACATTTTAATGACTTGATATCTAAAAAAGTACATTCCAGCAATATTTATTGAGACGTGCTTTTGAAATTGTACAAGCGACAAACTTTTAACGAGATGAAATCGAACAGACATGGAAAAAATGGATGCAAAAGCTTTGGGCCTGAATAAAAGAGTTATAACTGCAAACAAACTGGCGTCCCTTTAGTTTTCTTCAAGTTCAATCAAAGAGCGCAAACAATTGTGGTCCAGGGGGTGCCGGGATGGGGAGATGCAGCAGATGACTCACACGGGGCGGTTAAAATCAATAAGTCGCCTCGCCGTGCGTACCAATGTCAACTTTATGAGCGTGCTTATTTATACTAATTGGGTGATAATTAACTAGTTAAGCGATTTTATATTTTATATTATTATAGTTTATTTTAAAGTAAAAGGTAGTCAAAACTTAAATCAATTATGCTATTCAGTTGTCATAAACACAACATCAGAGCAACGGTCACTAATATTCTGTAAAAAGATCATTAGCGGATACAACCTGAATAGAAATGATTGTTAATGATCACCAAATATGAATCAATTATTACAGCTACTTACTAAACAATAGCGTATAGTTAATTATGTCATAATTAATTTTTATTCAGCGCTTTTTCAACGTCATACTGCTGGGCACGGGCCTCCCGTCAATACGAGGGGGATTAGGCCATAGTCCACCACGCTGGCCAAGTGCCGGTTGGCGGACTTCACATGTCTTTCGAAAACTTGCTAGGTTCTCTCAGATGTGCAGGTTACCGAATTAATTTACTGATATTATAATATAAACTTCATGATAAACTGGAATTATAATACATTCTACAAAAATAATTAAATTATCTTACCTTGAATTTAATCATAAATTATAGGTAATAAATTTATTATGATAAATGTTCTTATTAAAGAAAAAAATATATTAGACTAGTAAGTTTTTAGCTATTTTATCTAAGGGTCATCAAAGGCAACTTCACTCCCATGCTTTGTTTAGTAATTACGCGGAAATTCATCTATAATAAATAAATGCTATTTACCACCATTACCTAAAGCTGTTACCTATTTAGGTTAATTTAGTTTGTTTACAACAACACACAATATATACGGTAAATTTTCATTAAAATATCCTGTAGAGCGTTTTAGATTCAATTAAGGTGAATATGAATACAACCTTAGAGTTTTAATTATGAATCAATTACATGAAAATGTTTTCTATAAGTCTGTTCGTAGCAATTAAAACCGCTGCGGCGATGAAAGCATTGAATCAACTACACTGCAGTGGATGCAAATTATCGTCAGGTTTTTTTCAGTCAAGTCAGTCGAGGGGCGACAGAATACGGAAATGACGCGGCAGACCGATAATCGTTTGCTGTTGACAATGGTACAAATTATGCGCTTTTAACTTTAAAATGTCCAAAAAGTTCGATGGTGCCATTTATAAAAATTAACTGACTGCTCCGTAGAATATTTTTGTAGGTACTTATTTGGTTTGTATGAGGAAAATCTATGTATTATATTAAGTCCAGCATAGTTTCATGCAGCTATTATTCCTGTACCTACATTTTATGTTTAGATAGTTAATTTGATTTTCGATATAGAAATCGTTAGTTCTAATTCCTGTTGGAAATGTTTTTTTTGTCCACCAACACATTATTGTTATCTATAATGTGTTCGTTTTTATTATAAAAATTTTCTTGGAGACTAGTGCAAGGTTGTTTATTAATATTGCAAAGTAATAAAACTAATCAGCTTATGGTTTCTATGTCGACCATAGAGATATTCGTATCAAAAGTTAAAAGCTAAAATGCAAAGTCGATAAACATAGAGTGTATTAAACATAAGTGTAGGTGCTGGTAGCTTAAATTCAAGGGCGAGTTTCCGCAACGTTATCTTAGCCTCATGTAAATTCTAGTAAAAGTTATCATTCTGACATAAATAAGGCAAATTTTACTTTGCTTTTCTTAATAATACTTTACCGTATAACCTTAGTGATACTTTATTTTACCACATAAACATTAACAGTAGGTATCTACATGGGAATTTCTATTCGCAATTTCAAGCAATCGGACTGTCATTAATAAACCACAAAAGACAGTTTACTACGGACAAGGGCCACTAATCTGAGGGTTAATTGTCACACCAATGTTCTAGGACGTGTGGTATAATGAATATTGTTGCTAGCCTTTGGGAATTCTCGCACAATTTTTTTTTATTAAAGCAGATTATTAAAACAAATATGGTATTGTCAGGTATGTGGTTACTTACATATGTTGATGAAAGAGCTGTGTCAAACTTATTACTATCCTTCATAATAATGAATAACGAAGTATGTTTGTTGGTTTGTTAGAAGAAGTTTAATGTGAGAATTTAATATTATGAGAAATATAATATTTTTATATGCATAAAATATTTAATTTAATTTCTATATTATGTCATCATAACAACATTATATGAAATGTAGTAGCTTAAACCAACTAAACTTTCTTTATTTTTTTTTTCTCCACAACGATTAGCCGTCAAATACGCAATAAGTCAGCTAAAATAAAAAACAGAGACTCGTATTTCAAACACAGTCGGAAGGGTTTAGTGGACTCGAGTGTAGGCTACCTACAATACTGCTGGAGTAACACGTCGAGTGTTTTTGTCGCGCACTAAGTGCGGTGCAAGCGTTTGTGCGTAAATATTGTCACTAAATCTACCGTTGAATGAAACAAAAAATTCATGAACGGCTTTTATATTTCGTAAAGCTTTAGTTAGCCTTAGATTTTTACCATAATAACAAAATTTGATTAATAACATTACATTAGAATATTTTTGTTGGTATTTACTAAGCACTCTCTTTTTATCAATTTTAAAGATAAATATAAAATAATATAAACAGTTTATGAGTAACTTGAAATTTTATCAAATTATCTTGAATTTTATTATATTCATATTCAAATTTCCAAGGCACGTTTACACTTACCTATCTACTTTCGATTCACAGCTACATTCATGTAACATTACTCTCTTTATTGACATGGTAATGGCAGCAAAATTGAAGAAAAGCGAATTCTCTGACAGCTCGTGTACACTCTATGTGTATTATTTTGCATGTTACACATATAGACAGATGAATGTATTCCTGAATTTTATGCGACACCCAACAGAGTCCTAGGTAATTTTATATTTAAATAAAAGATAAGTTAAAGGAACTGTTTCATTCGTAAAAAAAGTTTTATATTCCTGTGTAATCTAAAAAATTAATAGAATAAACACATACCTGACTGAGGCTGTCTCCTAAACTGCCTTCAGCATCTATAGGCCTCAAGAGGTGGCTTGTTTCTTTGAGATCTCGTCTTTGTTTTCTATCTTGAGCTTCTCTCATAGCTTGGCTTTGCAATCTCTCGAAAAATTCTCTGGGTTTCATCGGCGGGGGCTCGTCATCTGGAGGTGGAGGCGGGGGTGGCGGCAGCCTCGTTCGTGGAGAACTACGTATGAGAGACCTTTCATCATCTTCAGTGGATCTTTCATCGTGCTCGGAATCAGAACTTCTACTGTCACGCCTTCTCACCCCTTGGAGATGGGGCTCAAGAAATGTTGCATTTCTGAAACAAACACAAAAATATAAATATATCAGGAAACTCGTTTAAAGTAAACAAGTAAATTGCGGCGTTCTGCGGCAAATAAGTCAATATATTTTGTACCACCACATGGTCCAGGCGTTTAAAGCAATAGCCGTCGGGACCATTTGGCACCATTACACAATCGATTCACGTGTCTATATCCGACCACCCACATGGGGTACCACTGACCAGACTAAAGGGACATTAAGCAAGATTTATTCCCCGAGTACGGCTGTTGTCGTATTAATTAAAAACCTTTGCAGGGCGCGAGATTGTGAAATGAACAACGCCTGGGTATGACATTTTCTGCTTCAATGTACTTACTGTATATGCTCTTCTAGTTAGCAAACATAACACTCGCATCAGGATATATTTAAAGCAAATACTTATGTATATAGATTATATAATAAATGTAGCATAGTATAATAATTGGTATTATTACATGAAAGGAATAATTGTAACAACGATATTACTTATTAGCAGAAGGTCAGTAGAAGAAGTTTTCATATTTTTTAAAACAACGAGTAAATCGATGTAAAAGCAATCCCGTTAGCTTAGGATCCATATGTGTAAATAATTGTCCCTCGCTGACACTGTGACACGGTAGTGACACTTAATTACTTTTTGATGTACACACGACGTATCCAATATTGAATTATCAACAAACATATTAGAAAATCGTGATCGATTTGTGTATACAATAATGTTCGTCATCTATACATATATTAATACGTGAAGCAAAAACTTTGTACCACTTTTTACGAAAATTGCGCGTACGGAGGAATATGAAATTTCCCACACTTATAGTTTATATAGAGAAGCAGTGCAGAATGCTAATATTTAAAAAAAATATGCATAAGAAATACATGAAATCAATAAATAAAATATTACACACGCTAACATGTATTTGACATACACACGCATATACATATACTCTTTTGTTTATTGTTATTGTTAAAGTCTGTGGTCAAATTGAGAATTATGTATAGCTTAATAGCTATTGACGAGCTGTAGTTTTATAAATAAAAAAACAACAATTATAAGCATGGTCGAAGTTCGACCACTCGGCGAACTCTAGTAATAATTATTAACGGAATTTAATTTATTGTGTGGAGTACACAGTGTACACACAGCGGAGTTTTAATTTTTATTAATAGGTATATTGTAAGTAGGGTTAGCTAACGTCTTAAAAGATATCAGGAAACTAATTGATTTAATTTAAGTATTACTCGAAAATGACGTATCTAAGCGTTATGTCACGTGGTCATTTCTTACACATATTTTTAGTTTTCTATAAACGATATCGCTTCTAGTAATTCCATTTGTCTAAAGAGCTGATGTTCGGGGGGCACGGCAGTGCCCCCGCCAAGTCGAGCAAAAAAAAAGGGCACGGCAGTACCATCCTTTTCTCGAAGCGATTCAGAGCATTTTCCACCCCCCCATAACTTCGTTATGGATAAAGCTAGAAGCCTGAATTTTGAGTGACTAAGAGAACATCATAAAACTAGGTATATTTCCAAATTACATTCAATTTGAACCTGTAGTTTATGAACTGTTGCAGATCAAAATTCGTCAATATCGTCACTCACTCACTCACTCACCGATCATCAAAATTCTAAGGTACTTCTAGCAGACATAGAAGCTTCAAATTTTGAACACAATTAGTGTTTAGCCTATAACAGAAGGAAAAACTCAAACATCACGCAATTTCAATCCTGTTTTTGAGATATACAAACTGCATAAGTAATTTTGTAATCCTATACAAATAGATATGCGATATATGGGATTACAAAGTTATTTTTGCAGTTCATACATATAATTTTTCGTCACTTAAACTACCCAAATAGCTGGGTAAATAGTGGATATACTGTAAGTGTTAGCGATGACTAAAATGTAATTATCAATATTGTAAATAGTTTTAAGAAGTAATATATAAATTAAAACATACGTATTTATGATCTTAATTATAAAAAAATATATACAAGTAATCCAACACTCGTGTGTTTCCGTAGCGAGAGTCGCTCTGTATGTTATCACCTCGGGGCAATACTGTAGCGAGAGCCGCTCTCAGTTGCTACAAGATCTCAAATATAAAAAAAAATATGAGTAATCGAAGACTCGGGTGTTTTCGTAATGAGAATCGCTTGGTATGTTATCACCTCGGGGCAAGACCGTAGCGAAAGCCGCTCTCGGTTGCTACAAGGTCTCAAATATAAAAAAATATATATAAGTAATCGAAGACTCGGGTGTTTTCGTAATGAGAATCGCTCGGTATGTTATCACCTCGGGGCAAGACCGTAGCGAGAGCCGCTCTCGGTTGCTACAAGATCTCCAATATAAAAAAATATATATAAGACTGTAATCGAAGACTCGGGTGTTTTCGTAATGAGAATCGCTTTGTATGTTATCACCTCGGGGCAATACCGTAGCGAAAGCCGCTATCAGTTGTGTGTATAATCTCAATTTAAAAAAATATATATATGCGCAAACACCAGCAAAAGCAGTCATGTGTAGCCTCCCGAGAGTCCCTGATGTCCAGGAGCTACACCAACCGGTCTCTACGTTCAAATCGTTCTACGACAGAATAGAGGCCATTCCATCGGCATTAACCTCACAACTAATCAATGGTTAGTTTAGGTAGGATCAAACCCAGATCGATTACCCTTATCGAACAAATCATACATAGAAGTAAGAGAATTCGTTGTAAAATAAAAACCAGCACGAACACTTGCAAAAAATATTCGTATCGTCATCGAGAATATTTTGTATAGGATAAATATAACTATTAAATAAATTATCTAAGACCAAATTTAGCCATTTAGCACTATGCATGTAATATGTATACGACGTGGTATATCTTTTGTATACCTATCTATATTAGGTTTATTGCATAAAAATCTTATATGATGATATGTAATTCAAGATTAGGATGCATTATTACTCAGGGGTTCAGTCAAAACGCTATTATTATTCCTACGCTATTTTTTTTTTAAATATCTCCTTGTAGATTATGACGTAAAATTATATTACATAATTAATGTCCATAATAAATATTGTTGTGGTAGTACAGAGCCCTCGGAGCGTTAGTTCGACTTCTACTGGACTAATACATAGGTACAATATTTATTTATCAATATTTAGTTTAGTCATGTTAAAAAAACACACGAATAACTCATATAATATTTTATTAACTTAAATATCCAACTAAAAAAAATTATCTTTCTCAGGGTACTGTTTGCCATCACTAAGTATTTAATTTGTTAGCCAATTCCTTCACCTTAACGACATCAAGGAACGCTAGAAGGTTTAGATATTTTTTAAAATAATAGGTAACAATAAAATAGCACATAATATAAATATTTTGACATAAATAAACTTCATCGTAGCTTGCTTTAATTTGTGTCGTTAATGTCAAATATAAATTTCGTTTAAAAATCATAAAATATTTTAATTAAATTTACACTATTTTTTCCTTCCATTATTTAAATTAAATATAATATTTTTCATTTCCTGATATCTTACTTTTATTTTTTTCACCTCATTCATATATTCTAATAAAATTTATAATTAATAGTAAATTAATTAATTATACAATAGTTGCACTGTAAAAGGAGGTTAGGTTAGTGTTTGTAAACCTTGTAACCTATTGTTATGTATGTTTGTATGTCCGATCCTATGTTCCCTCGTAATCACTAACCTAATTTCGATTCGTCGATTTATTAATGTTTATATTTGCAACTATATGTATTAGAAAAGTATTTTTTAAATGCGAAAATAATATTTTAAGCTTTTTTAGTAGCTTTACAATTTTTATGCATATACACATGGGTACATAAATGTAATGTGAAGCGTGTGTAGTTTATACCTACTAATATTCGATTACTGTTATTTATAATGAATTGATTAAAATATATATCTAATTGAGAAACAACTTGACTATTACTTAATTTTGAAACCAAGCTCGTATATTTTCTTTTACAAAGTATGATGTTGATATGAATTAGAAAACCTTGTCAACATCTCATTGCTCGTAACTGTATCCACCTAATAGAATATGGAATATAGAGGTCATAAAATATCAATCTCATCGAAAATTTCTTTTAAAATGGAATAGAAGACAAATTTCGGGATTTAACTACGATGCTGCAGATAGACACATAAATCTACACGTCTTATTAAACTTATGTAAGTTGAATATCAGTATCAGGGTAGGTATTTAGAGTCAACAATGAAATTAAAATATTCGTTAAACTAACCATACATATTTATACTTAATGCATAAGATAGTAGTATTAAAGTCCAGGAATCCGCGATTTCCCAATACAATAGACTTAGATTTTTTTTCATCCAGACTTGTCAAAATTTGTTATATCAAAGCCTCTGAAAAAAGCCCACAGAGACAAGGAGTGGGCTTTTAAAAAGTCCTTAGCTGACACACAAGAAATAGTACAAGAAAAGAGAAAAAGAAGAAATATTTACAAAAAGAAATGAGATCCCATCAAAAACATACTGTAAAAAATTGCAAGTCTCGCAATGCATTACTTCTACCGCAAAAAGCTATGAGATATAATGTAAAACCAAGTCGGTTAATTTATTCATTACCTACCTATGGAAGCATCTATCCGACAACTTTGTCATAAATCGTTACCGAATTAGTTAAGTTACAACATTTTATAGTGACCGTATTAATATTAGATATATTTATTTCTTTAATTAATAGAATGACTTGGCCATCGCACATGATAATAGAACTTACAAATAACAAAATTTACCTAATGTTAGCGTTCTGAGTGCATTATTTATGTTAGTGTATGCATAAACTTGACCCGCTAGTGCTATGTTCAGTTCATCTCAGCCCAAACACGTCCACAGCTGGACATAGGCCTCCCCCAAAAATTTTCATCCAGTGGGCTCCAGCGACTTCGACCAAGTCGTCCGTCCACTTTGGTCATGGTATGTTTAATTAGGACTATTTAAAGTAGTAGACTCTTATGTGATTATGTTTCCGTGCGATGGTCAAGTCATTCTATTAATTAAAAGAATAAATATATCTAATATTAATATGGTCACTATAAAATGTTGTGACTTAACTAATTCGGTAACGATTTATGACAAAGTTGTCGGATAGATGCTTCCATAGGTAGGTAATGAATAAATTAACCGACTTGGTTTTACATTATATCTCATAGCTTTTTGCGGTAGAAGTAATGCATTGCGAGACTTGCAATTTTTTACAGTATGTTTTTGATGGGATTAGATTTTATACTCGTTTTTGTTGAATTTTAATGCAAGGCACTTAAAATATTTTTTATGAAATCATAACTAGTTTTACTTAGATGAAGTTACATCATTGTACTAATGAGAATGTTAGACTATATAGATATATTGCTAGTACCCTGTAACAGTCATAAAATGTAAAAACGTTTCGTAATTGTATACATTGGTATTATTTTGTACAGAAATATTAATATTTAATGTTTAACGCAATGTAAATTAAATAATGGCGA